TTTCTCTCACATCGACATTTCTCTGTCCTTCCATTCTTTCAAAAAATCAATGGAAAAATATCTTCAGGTGAGGATTAAAAAAATAATAAGTATAAGTGAATTTTTATGCTGAAGTGGAAGAGGCAGGCCTTTCTCAGTGTGATTACACCAAAAGAAGAAATCATAAAGGAAAAGATAAATTGGCTAGATTTGTTTTCATACTCAACAAAAGCTTCTGTACGTAAACACTCATTGTCCAAAGGATAAAGGCAAACCCCAAGCCAGGAACAAATCCTGATTAACAGGCCAGAGGCTGGTGGTAAAATGTTAACTACTTCTGTCTTTTAAGAAACACAAACTGTTTCAGTCTGTCTCTAAAGCAATTGGCAAATACAGCAAAGCTCATGTATACACTGAGTAGCCAGATTATTATGATCTCTGAACGCATAATAATCTGGCCACTCGGTGTATATCCTATATAATAAAAGGCTAATATGCAAATTGTCCCCTTGACCAGGCGTTCGACCAGCAGACAGTCCAGCCAACCACCCATGTCCCATCCCCCTTTGCTTTTTAGTCTGGTTGCACTGCGTTTCCTCTGCTGGCCGGTCTCCACCCATGTATGAATTCATGCACCAGGCCTTTTAACACGCGCGCACACACATACACACACACACACACACACACACTGAGTAGCCAGATTATTATGCATTCAGAGATCTTACTCTGGCCACTCAGAGTGTGTGTGTGTATACACTAATAAAAGGGTAATATGCAAATTTGTCAGGATACCCTCACAGTAACAACTGAACAGCAGCCTGCATGGGGTGACAGGCCAGCAAGGGGGAAGTTGAGGGCAACCAAGCCAGCAGGGTGGGGAGGGAGCAGTAAGTGGCGTCTAGACTAGCAGGAGGGCAGTTAGGGGTAACCAGGCAGCAGGGGGAGGCAGTTGTGGGTGACCAGGCCTGCAGAGGGGCAGTTGAGGGTGACCAGACCAGCAGGGGATCAGTTAGGGGTAATCAGGCAGGCAGGCAGGTGAGCAGTTAGGAGCCAGCAATCCTGGATTGTGAGAGGGATATCTAACAGTCAATTTAGGCCCAATCCCCCGAGGAGACCTGGATTGGAGATGGGACCCAGTTGAATTTCGCCAGGCCTCTAATATATATATCGATATATGAGGCTCAGTGCATAAATTCATGTATGGGTGGGGTCCGGCCAGCCTGGCCAGGGGGAGGGGACATGGGTGGTTGGCTGGCCTGCCTGCTGGTCGAACTCCTGGTCAAGGGGACAATTTGCATATTAGTCTTACATTATATAGGATATATATACACTGAGTGGCCAGATTATTATGCATTCAGATCATAATAATCTGGCCACTCAGAGTATATTGACTCAGCAATTTCAATTATGAGGGTTTATCATATGTGACTAATCCTTGATATGCACAAAGATTTAGCTATTAATTTTGTTTATAATAGAAGGAAAAATTGAAACAATTTAAGTAACCACCAGTAAGTAATGTGAATTACAAAAATAAAACTAACCAGTGTGGCTCAGTTGTTGGAGCATAATCCCGTATGCTGGAAGATCGCTGGTTCAATCCCCAGTTGGGATGTGTACAGGAGGCAACCAATCAATGTTTCTCTCTCACATCTATGTTTCTTCTCTTCCTCTCCCTTCCTCTCTAAAACATTTCTTAAAGTTGTATAAATAAAATAAAACGAGTATAATGAAATATTAGGTAGCTTTTAAAAGTCAGAGCGATGAAAACTATATTGGCATTTAAAAATACTCATGATACATTTCCTCTGTTTTTAACATTTATGTACATGAGTATATACATGTGTACACACGTATGTACACACTGAAATTTAGGATATTACTGTTTATTTTGGGATTATGTATTTGTCATTTGTGTTTTTCCATGTTTTTCCAAGCTTTTGACACTGATCAGGTGCTAGTTTAATAAGTCAGGGGGTAGGGGGAGGGAACTAAAGGGAATTTTTTGGTTTATTTGAAAAATATGAAGAGTGAAAATAAGAAAACAGTAATCATATTCTTACTATTTAGAGTTAACCACTACTAACATTTGGCACATTTGTGTTTGTTTGTTTTTTTTCTTCTAATTTTTAAAATATTATTAATACCAAGCCAATAACCTTGGTTAGCTTTTACATATGAGTATGTAGACTATTTGAAGGTTTTCCTCCCCCACTCTTCTCTCTTTTATATTTTTCTGTATTTCTCAAATGAGCATGCTTTACTTTTTAAAGGAATGAAGTGTTTTTTAGAATACATACTGTTTCTCTCTTTTTTAAAAAAATATATTTTATTGATTTTTTACAGAGAGGAAGGGAGAGGAATAGAGAATTAGAAACATCGATGAGAGAGAAACACCGATCAGCTGCCTCCTGCACACCTTCCACTGGGGATGTGCCCGCAACCAAGGTACATGCCCTTGACTGGAATCGAACCCGGGACTTTTCAGTCCGAGGCCAATGCTCTATCCACTGAGCCAAACCAGTCAGGGACATACCGTTTCTTAAAATACACACAATCAGCGCTTTATACATTCAGGTTTCACCTCCACGGATTCAGTCAACTGCATAATGAAAACCACATCAACCGTTGGGAACCCATGGATGCAGAGGGCCACTATTTACACAGTTTTATATGGGGGACTTTAGTATCCGCAGATTTTGGTCTCCACGGGGAGCCCTGGACCACCTCCCCGCCGAATACCAAGGGGCTACTGTAATAACAAATGCAAGTGAACTTGTGAAATGATGAATAGTGGAGAGAAAACTAGACTGGACATCAGCGCCTGGTGGTGTATTCCTGGCTCTGCTGTGAGCCAGAGAATGACCCTGGGCTGGTCACCAAACCTCTCCAGATCTCTCTCTCATCTACAAGAGAGAGGTTTAAACTGGAAACATTTCTATGGTAACTTACAGTTCTAAAAATATTGTGATGCTAAATTAAGATTGAGAGAGTCTGTGGCTCCACAAATAATGGACTCTTAAGTTCTTAATTTCTTGGTATCCAGTCTGCAGTATTAGACTCCAGGTAGCACCGTCCTGAAGACCACTCTGAGAATTCTTCAGCGTTCTCACCCCACACTCCATGTTCTCAGGATGGAGATTCTGTTTCCATAAGCTGGAAGAACCATCTAGTCCAACTATTGTGTTTTATAGTTTTAAAAAACTGAGCTCCAGAGAGATTGCAATTTGTTCAAATCACAAAACCAGTCAGAGGCAGAGATGGGCTTTCTGATTCCTGGTCTGAGCTTTTTATACCACACATGCTTCGTGCACCATCTTTGCTCAATGCCACCAGGACCTCATTTGTACTGTCACCCAAATGGTCCTTGAGGGCAATTGTTCACTGTCCAAAGCCATTGTGTCAGTCAACTGTAAGCTGATTTGGGGGAATGGGGTCCAGGGAGGGATCAAGAAGCTCTGTCCATACCCTTTTCTCTTTAGGTCTAAGAAAGGGAAATGGCAATTTCATTTTTTTTTTCTCCTTTTCAGTTCCATAGCTTACCTTTCCCCCCAGTAATTATATAGGCCAAGATGATTTGTTTACAGAAGCCACGTGAATCAGCCAGTCCCCAGAGGGTTAACACTCCCAAATTATGGGGTGGGTTAACAATAAACAGGATGTCCTCCAGAAATTAAATTTAAACCACTGTGACTCAGGCTGGCCCATCCTCTAACCAGATCACTGTCTGGGTTATTATCGGTGGTTAATTATACCATTGGGTTTAGCAACATTTTGGGCCAAGAGAAGCCAGGCTGGGGAGAAGGGGTGTAGAGGGAAGGGGCCCAGTGGGCGGGTGGGTGAAGCAGTGGGAGCGGGAGGTTTGAATGGAAGAGGCTGAAAGGAGTGAGAATGGTGGTCTGACCTGTCCCCTCAGGATTGTCCTGCAGCCTCTTTGCTGAGCTGATCCCGGGAAGGGGGTGAAGACTATGTATCTATAGCTGCTGGGCTGCACTTTTGTTTGCTTTTTAGTCTGGCTGCAATGCTTTTCTCAGAATTTAGAATCATAAGGTTTTCAACATCTTAAGGAAGCTTCTAGATTATCGAGCTCAACCCCCTTGCTTCACGGAGTAGGAAACAGAGGCACAGAGCAGTGGTTACCTGCCGAAGGGCAGCCTGCTCAGTGGAGGTGAGGCAAGGCTAGTGCTCAGGCTGAGACTCCTAGACCATGGCCTGCCCTCTGCCAGGCCGTGTTCCATTTCTAAGTGGAGGTACCTGAGGTGCAGAGCCTCCTAGCAACTTCAAGACAGAGTTGGGCTGGATTTCAGATTCTTAGTTAGCTTCGTTTAGATTTTGTCAGTTGTCAGGGGAAATAGTCCAGCCCGGCTGAGCCTTAGTGCCCCTCAGAGGGTCATCTATCCCAGCCATAGGAGGAGCCCTTCAGAGCCAGTTTGTCCCTCTGAAGGGAATAGTGGAGCACATACAGATGTGTGGTTTGGATGATGCTTTTCTAGGCGTGTTTTCTAGGACAGTGGTCGGCAAACTGCGGCTCGTGAGCCACATGCAGGTCTTTGGCCCCTTGAGTGTGGCTCTTCCACAAAATACCACGTGCAGGTGCTTGTACAGTGCGATTGAAACTTCGTGGTCCATGTGCTGAAGTCGGTTTTCGGCTCTCTAAAGAAATTTCAATCGTACTGTTGATATTTTGACCACTGTTCTAGGATAACAGCGAGCCTGTACTTTTTAACTTTGCAGTCCTTGAGACACAAGGTTTATGGTGACCTTTGTTCATATGGTATCTCCCCTTTCCTGCGCTGGGGCAGAAGGTGGTGCCCAAGACCTGCATCTGACACTGTCCATGGGAGCATGACCGTCCCAGAGCCCAGCCTGGGCGCTGATGGTCCTAGACCCACAGGGCACGTGGTGCGGGTGGCAGAAAGCGAGCCATTGCCATTGTCTTTTTACCTGTATTTTCTCAGCTCTGTTTAGCCACATCCTTCCCCATTTCTCCTAACATCCCTCTTTGTCTCTTTGTCTTGTAGGATTCCTTTCAAGATTGGGCAGCCCAAGAAACAGATTGTCCCCAAAACAGTGAGTAACCCAATTCTTTCCTTCTGAGACTCAGTTCTGTCTCGCATGGCCTTCGCAGAGCATCAGAGTGTTGACTCAGCGTGTGGAACCTGAGCCTTGACATTCTCAGTGGCATAGCTCTAGAACCTCGTATGGACAGGGGCTCGCAGGGACCTCCTCTCCTGTAACATTGTCCTTTCTCGGCTCAGCCTGGGAAGTGGAAGAGGTAGATGCCACAGGAGAGGAGAAACACACTGCTTCTGACTGCTCATCTCTGGGATCGGCGTGCAGTCCGCATGTTCCTAAGGGAGCCTGAAACAGGGACCCTGCCAGGACGCATCCCAGCCCTTCTGTCGGCCCACCTCAGGCTGCAGGACAGTCCCAGAAGCTTCTCCAGGTCCATTTGTCTCCACTGTCAACTGCATTCCTCGCCAAGACCCAGGGTCACTCAGCATGGGGGATAATGGAATTCTTTCTCCTTGTAGCCCTCAGTTTTTATCCCTGTTTTATCTCCAGAATTGGAAAGAAAGGGAATCACAGCTTCTGAGAAAGTTAGAGCTGGAAGCCTTAGAGATCATCTGGTCCAGCCTCCTGAGTTTTCCTGATGGGGAAACCGAGACACGGGGTCCCAGTGACTCGAAGGCGAGGAAAAGCTAATGCTGACCTAGCTGGACTAGGAGCTCAAGGCCGAGCCTCCGTGCGGACCTCTTCCATTGCTGTGCGGCCTCACACAGGCTGGGAAGACCCCTCAGGTGTGGGGATCAGTGAAGAATGGCCGCTGCAACCGCTCCCTCAGAATCTGAGCGAGGCCCTTGGTTTTCATCTGGGAGGCAGTAACTGTCAGCCTCTCATTGTGACAGCTCCGGGAAGCCTGGGGAGGCCTTGCCTGTCATTCCAGCCCCTGGCAGTTCTCCGCGTCTCCATGTCTTAATAGCCCCGTCCCTTCCTGGCTCAGAGCTCAGAGCTACAGGAAGATACAGCTTCAGCTGGCGGGAAGGGTGCTCACAAGCACCTGACCAATGGCTCTATCTTTGGGAAGTCCAGGGTTAGGTCCCTGAAAAGGAAATGGGCCCGTGTTAAAAGGGCTCTTCCCCTTTTCAAGCACAGGCTGGCTATGGAGAGACTCCGAGTCTACCTCCCATGCAGAGCTGACCATCTGTGGAGGCTCGGCTGACGCTCAGAGAACCTGGGCGTGCAGCGCTGGGCTCTGGCCGGCTGCAGGAAGTGGAAAGGTGTGGCTGTGGGTCTCCGGAGTGTAATCCAGGGCAGATCTGAAAGGGAAGTGGTTTTGAAAAGGATCTTGTATTCCCAACACTCACTACCAAAAAACAAAACAAACAAAAGTCCTCTCAACGCCCCAACCTTTATCCAGATGGCTTTGTTCTCCACAGGAAAGTAGAATGCAGTTTCTAGCTGCTTTGCTGGAGCTTGTTAACAGGCAGATGGGTGGGTGTTTTAGTCTGAAGAGTGGCAGGGACTCCGCAGGGGAGGGCAGATGCATGAAAACCCTCTGCGCCCGTGTGGCCCTATGGGCCGTGGCTCCCTCGCCCCTTCCTAGCACCGTCTTGCTGGGGATGAAACTGTGGTCCTCGAACTGTGGCATCAGCTCCCCTGCACCGTCTGGGCTTTGAGTAGTGGGTAAGAAGCCAGACTCCCGGCCTGGATCCCCATCCTGGCTCTGGCACACTGTGTGGGACCTTAGGCAAGGCCCTTACCTTCCTGAGGCTCCGTTTCTCTGATGCTAGGACCTAAGCCATTGGTGCTAACGAGTCTCACATGAGATGATGCATGTGCAGTACTTCGCGCAGTGTCTGGCACATGGTAAGGCCTCAATAAACACTAACTGCTCTGCAGGCAGAGAGGCAGGTTGATAAACGCCCGAGTGCTCCACCGGTCCCAGTAGTTGGCGTCCCTGGTGCAGTGTTGCGGGAATAGAGTATTGCTTCCTCAACTCCCAGGTTCACTCACGTGTCTGCCTCAAGACCCTGCCTCTCCAGAGTCCTGTTCTCCACATGCCACGCCTCCTGCACCAGGGCTGTGTGTTATCTCAGCATCTTCGCCGCTGCCCCCAGCAGTGGTGCCGCACCCTGTTGTTCTTGCCCAGGCACTCTCGGGCGGGAGGCAGATGGGCTGCCTGGGTTCTTGGAAGTCACGGCACCCTGTCATGGGAAGAAATGTTCATGTTATCTTCAGGGAGTTTCAGGAGGTTTTTGGCTCAAGACACTCAACTGTCAGACACAAAGAGAGCATTGTGTGTCTGCCCTCTCCAGCTCATGTGCCCAGGTTAGTAAGGGAGACTTCATTATTGTCACAGCTCCAGCTGGAACGGCACATTCTCTGCAGGCGCTGGCCAGTGGAACTGCAAAGGAAGGTCCCCCACCTCCCGGTCCTCACCGTCTGCCCGGTCCCTTCCCTCCCCCGGTCCCTTAGAGGAGCTGGAGCATCTTGGCGTGGCGAAAAGAAACTGCCCCTCCCCCACTGCCTGGGAGGCTGGAGAGCTCTCCGAGGCAGGTTCCCGGGCCTCCCACCAGGGGAAAGCACACACCTCAGTCCCTGGCGAGGCGGGCGCTCTGAGACATCAGGCAGAGAGAGCCTCCGCTTGAGGAAGATGTCCTTGTAGCATGAGGAGCCTGAGCCTCATTCCTGTCCTGTGGCACCGTGCCATGGGCCGCTGCTTCCCCGAGCAGCTGGCAGATCCAGAGGGCCCTCTCGGCTGGCCTCTTGTCACTGAAGGAGCATAGGTTTGGCTGGGAACTCGGCCCATTCTCTCAGTTAACAAGAACTGAGCTCCTGCAGGTGCCAGCCTGACCCGAGCGGGGGAGATTGCAGGGAGCTGTGCAGCCCCTCCCGCCACCCTGAGCCGTCCTCGGCTTGGCTCTCCTGGAGCTAACCTCGCCACCCGCCCCGCCCGCTCTGACCCGCTGACAGTCGTGCACATGTGTTTGCACTCGCATTCTTGACGGCGGTCCAGCTGCCTTTTTGGCAGAGGCATCAAGCATTCAAAGATGTTCAGATCTTTTGTGTTTGGCTCTTCCCCTCAGAATGGATAGACCTTGGAATGAGACTCCCATGGGGCCCTTTATTCCCCTTCTGAGGGGCCAGAGTCCTGGTGCTGTCCCCCAGGTCTATGCCCAGTGGAGGAGAGAGACCTGGGGACTGTGAGCTATAGAAGCAGCCCACACCTGGCTCCAGGCCGAGGAGGTGAAACATTCATGACCTTCTCTTAGGCTGACAGATGACCTTGAGGGACATAACGTAAAAGGACCAGTCTCTCACTCTAACACGCTTCTGAGCTTCCAGTGTGAGACCTCGAGTTTCTCATCCACCAGAGAGCTCCACCCCAGCTGGAAGCCTGCAGTCCTTCTCTGTGCAAGTCTGAGCCGCCCAGCCAGGTGCTCCTCATCCCACACACGCAGCGCGGGGCCTGGAGCAGAGCGCCCAGGGCTGTGGCCCAGGGGTCAGGGCGCTCGCCTCCCCTCAGAGCACCTCCTCCGTGTCCTTGATCTTTAGGAGAGCTGCATTCTGGCTAAGACATCCTTCATTTTAATTTCATCTTTTTAGGGAGAAATATCTTTGCTACGTAAAGACTGGCTCACATCCGACAGATTAAGAAAGAAAATTGTCTCATGAAGGCAGGGCCCATATACCCCCCCTGGCATAGGACACCAGGCTTAGCCAAATTCAGGAGTACCTTGCTGTCAGTGGACCACATGCTTTGCTCTGCTTCTCCTCTTCCAGGGGGTCCCAGGCCAGTCTGCACCCCCAGTGGTCCTCTCACCACCCCAGTGTGGAGGAGGAACAGGCCAGACCGCCCACTGGCCAGGCGCCCTGCCCCGCACTCCAGCAGGCGAGGCTGGCGCTGTTACCCCATTTCATTGTCAGCCCCTGAAATGTACATGGGTGAGGCCAAATATAATGTCCCCGTTCTAGACAAGAAACTGAGATTCAAAGGGTAGGTGGACTCCGGGGCTGGTGTCAGAGTTTGCTTTATCGTCTCTCCAGCTCCTCCCTTCCCTCCTGCTCTGAGGGAGAAAGGCTGGGCCAGCTTCAGTGCTCCCACCTGCAGGCCCTGGAGGCCTTTCCTGCCATTAGCTGTCACCTGATTCCTGTCCAACTGCAATCCCCTGTGAGAGGTAGCACCTTAAACTGTAATCGGTACGTAGGCTTTAGTGCAGTGGTTGGCAAACCGCAGCTCTGTTGACTAATGAATTTGCCGACCACTGCTTTAATGGGAGTGAGTTTTGAATATTCTCTTAGGAGTCGCTCCTGGTGGATCAGAAGGAAGGCGATGAGGAAAACGGGTTCCTGGGTGGAGAAATCATGGGTCTGCTCCTGGTACAGGGTTCTAGATGCTAGGGTCACAAAGTAGGGAAAGGACCATGTGTTCCTGCTTCTACATTTCCCAGTTCACATGCTGTGGTGCCCTGAGGACCTCAGCTGAGCCGGGCCCACATCATCCTCACTGCCCCTGCCCCACCCCTCGCCCTCCACAGGGCTCCCCTGCTTGCAGGTGTGTGTGTGTGTGTGTGTGTGTGTGTGAGTGATCATCCCCACCAGGGCCCATGTCTGTTGTCCATCAGGGTCTCCCTGGCACCTGGCAGAAGGCATTGCACTTAATGGGTGTTCTTTAAATGTTTATGGGATATATGAACATACTTGAAAACAATAAATAAAAGACCTGCACCAGGAGTCTGAATTTTAGCCGTCCTTACATAAATTACATCCCTCTTTTGGCTTCATTCTCCTCATGTACATCATGAGATAATTGGCCGGAATCATGTCCTGCCATTCTGTGACTGTGGAGTTTACCCACGTCCACACGTGGAGAATGAGGGTGACGGGCCTTACAGTACTCTTCTACTGGGCACCTTTGGTGGAAGGCTGCAGGTGAAGAGCAGTGTGGCTTTGACGATTTCTGCAAATTTAGACCTTCAGCCTGTCCTGGCAAGGTCTTGGGGCGCAGCCAAGAAGCCCTCTTTCTGAGGCCATGGCTTTCATTCCTCAGCAAACAGCTTTCCCCTTGTCGTGGAATGACGGCTAAGGGCACAGGCCTGGGAGCTCATAGTGCAGCTTCACCTCTGTCCCCGCCTGTCCCTGTGGCCTCCTCATACAGTGCGGGCCATGGTGCACTGCCTGCTGGCTGAATGGGGGAACAGCATTGAGCTCCCCTCAGTGAATGTGGCCAGGCTTACCTCTTAGAGCCCCTCAGCCCAGAGGCTCCACACGGAGGCAGGGCCAGGTACTGCCGCATGGACGAGAAGGAAGGAGAAGCCTCTAGCCAGTCCCTGCTTTAGGCTCTGAGATGTCACTTACTCCACAGGCCACGTGCCTGAGGGCCATGGCCGAGGCCCCTTTTTACGGGGGGACATTCAGCCGTGGAAGTGCAAGTCACTTTCTTGACCTTACCTGGCATGTAGGCGGCAGAATGAGGTCCAGGACTCCACCCGTTCGATTTAAACATTGCTGGCACTGAAAATCTGATCACTAAGTAATCAGGAAGTTAGGGAGTCAGGCCGGAGTCGGTAGTGTGGTATTTGTGTTTGGTACATCCCAGCACACAGAGCGTGGGTACATGGTCTTTCTTGATCCACCATGGAGCTGGCAGGTAGGACCGGGAGGAACCTCGGCCTGTGGCCATGGAGTGACTTGCCTCAGAGCTGCTGAGTGGCAGAGACAGAAGTGGAGTTCATACCCACCTTTGCCTCTGCCCCCTGCTGCCTCCCTGGTGAGCAGCTTGCCTGTCCCCAGAGGGAGGGTGAGAGAGGGAACGCCGCGCAGTGCCCCGCTCCCTGCGGTGGAACAAGAGCCGCCAGTACTTGCCTGGCTGGCACGTCCGGGAGGGGAGTCTCTGGCCCTAAATCAGACACTTAATTAATTTGGGAACACAGGGGTACTGTGTCGTTAATGACCTGCCAGTGCCTGTGCGAACGGGACCGTGTTGTTTCTGCAGAGTGGGGAGGGTGTGGAGAGAGTGTCTGGAGGCTGGCAGATTTTTTCCAAAGTTGTCATTTCTCTGATGATTGAGCTCTCTCTCTCATTACAGGTGGAGAGAGACTTTGAGCGGGAGTATGGAAAACTGCAGCAGTGAGTGTCACACCCCAAAGGAAGGGGCTGGGATTGGACAATGGCAAGAGCCTTCTGCCAGGTGTCACTCCCGCACGGTTTGTCTGCTTGCCCGTTGGTGGGTGCTCCTGTTGCCACCCCAGGAGTCGGGAGCAGCTCCATTTGCCACCTGCCAAAAAGTCTCCCCCAGCTCATGGCAGTGACAATCGTTAACTCGTAGCCTTTGGGTGCGTGGCCTCTTGCTTCCGTCAGTGGGAAGAGCCCTGGTGGGCATTCCAGAGCACAGAGCTGGGCCTCCCTCACGTAGAAGGGAAGGCAGGGGACCAAAGCCAGTTGGCAATGCCAGGTACCAGGCCCGTGCCCTTGCCTTGCAGGCTGGAAGAGCAGACCAGGAAGCTGCAGAAGGACTTGAAGAAGAGCACTGATGCTGACCTGGGTAGGTGGCATGGCCCCCTGAGCTGGACTGGGCGGGGCAAGGTGGATGCCCTCCTCCCTCAGTCACCTTAGGCTGGCTTTGAAGTAAGGGCACTTAGTAGATGTCCCTGAGAAGTGGCCTGAGGTCAGTCTTCACGTAGCAGAGCCCACTCTCCCCTTTCCTGGGCATAGCCACCGCTGCCACCACCACAGCCAGGTGCAGTGCTGGCTCCTACCAGCTGTGCCACAGAGCCTCAGGCCAATGCGGTCCAGAGAATGTGGGCACGTCTGAGCATGGCAGCCCTCACTCCTGGCCCCTAGCACCTCCGAACTATGTGTGCAGCCAGCCAAGCGGCTGCCTTTGGAGCCCGTGTGCTATTTGTTTTGAAGTTAGTTCTGAGTTACCCGGACGGCATCTTTCTTCATCGTGCCCCACTGCCTTTCCAGTAAGTGTGTCATTGAAACCAGGGTTACCTAGCTACACCATACCTGGCCTTCTTTTGTCAATAAAGTTTTATTGGAACACAGTCACACCCATTCTTTAGGTATTGTTTGTGGAAAAGTTGAGTAGTTGCAACAGAAACCATTTGGCCATCCAAGCCTGAATTCTGGTCTCTGGCTCTTTACAGTAAGTTTGCTGCTCTGTTGCAGCATGCTGTGTTTCCCTGGTCCCCCACGCACACTGCGCCTCCCAGCTGCCTGGAGAGGCTCCTGACAGGCATCGTCCTGGCCCCCAGACTGACCGATTAGAGTCCTTGCAGCTAGAAATCTGCATTTCTTACAGCTTCCCACCCCGATGAGTCTGTTAAAACCCAGAGTTTGGAACATTGTCATTGCAGCAGGTAAAGCTGCCTAAAAGAATGATCCAGAACATCAGGTGATTGGGAGTGAACATTGTCCAATAAGGACCAGTGTCTTATGCTCTGTGGCACTTTGTCATTTGTGTGGCCTCTGGTCTTGGGCGCAGGCCCCTGGACGCAGGGAAGACGGGAGCCCAATGACAAGGCTTGGGAGCCTGTCCCTGCACAAATCCTGAACTCTGACTTCTCACAGCCATGTCCAAATCCGCTGTGAAGATATCCTTGGACCTGCTCTCCAATCCCCTCTGCGAACAAGACCAGGACTTTCTGAACATGGTGACAGCCCTAGACACGGCCATGAAGCGGATGGACGCCTTCAACCAGGAAAAGGTGCCTGGGGTCGGGTCTCACCTGTCTCGTGGCTTCTCTCCGGAGGAGCACCCACGTGGAGGCCTTACCGGGGCTCAGGCTCCTCTCGGTGCCCTCTGCCCTCCGAGGCCTGGGTGCTCTTTCCTGTGGTCTGCTCTCCGTGGCTGCCAGAAGCTCACATCACCCACAGGGAGGCCATGAGGGAGGCACAGGTCCACTCCGCCTCGCTGAGCAAGGCCTTTGTGGGCCTCGGCAGACCCGCGGCAGAGGGTGGGGATGTATCAGGGACGAGGACAGGGGCTCCTGTTGCCCCTCAGCCTCTGGTCGCCATCTCTGCCTCACCCCAGTGCAGTTGGAGGGCCCGCCTGCCTGTCCTGTTCGGCCCTCTTCCCTGCGGGCTCTCGGAGTGCCCTGACAGTCCCCTTTCTCTTCTCAGGAGCTGGAGCCTCCCCTTTAGGAAGAGCCTGGCTCTTTGTATCACTGGGTTTTGATATCATTGGGTTTTTCTTTCGACAGGTGAACCAGATTCAGAAGACCGTGGTTGAGCCCTTGAAAAAGTGAGTACAGGTCATCTGGAGACTAGACTCAAGGCACTCCTTGCAAAGGCATGTCAGTTGGTCCCCTGGAGACTGAATATCATTTCCAGCCGCCTGGCCTTAGGCTTGGGGTTGATGGGAAACCAACAGGGTCACCAGCTACACAGCGTGTGCCCTGCGGTTGACCACTGGAGAGAACCGGCCACTGCCCAGTGCTGTGACGGGGCACGTGTGCCCCCCAGCAGCTGGCCTGGGCTCCGGGAGTGCTGCCATTCTCCCTTTGTTCCCGTCGGAGGACAGCGGGGCAGAGCCTGCCGAGTTAAGCCGGCAGCGATCTTGGCGAGCCCTCAGCGGAGATGAGCAAGGCCTTTCATCTCCCAGCCGGACTGGGAGAGCAGCTGCCTGCACACTCGGCGTTTGAAATGTGGGGGTGGCCGCACATGGGGAAGGGCGCAGCCATGGTTCACGCCTGGGAAGGTCCCTCACTCGTGACCTCTCAGGGTCAGAAATTCTTCTGGGAGCCTCCTCTGTCAGGCAGGCTCTGGTCCGCGATCAGACGGGCCTATTCCCTGGGTCCCCCGAGGGGGTGGGCATCGCCTTGAAGCTCCCGAATCACTTCATCTTCTGCCCCGGCCTCTCCCAGGCGGCCTCTGACCCAGCAAGGCCGTTCCGCCGGCAGCTGCACCACATTACCTCGCTGGTGGTCCCTGGCAGCGGCCTCCCCAGGGCGGGTAGTGAGGCTCTGCTAATTACCACTAGGCTGGGCCACGGCCAGGAGGGACTGAGAGCAGGTTTTGATCCTCTGGCCCCTGGTGCTGAGGTTGTCGAGCTCCTCACTCCCTGTTCGCGGCCCTGGGGTGGGGCTCAGGAAAGCTTGTTCTAAGCAGAGCTGCCTGGAGGCTCAGCCACGGTGGGGAGGCTGGATCAGGCGTGGAAAGGGATTTCTCCCTGCACCCCTGGACCTTTCCTGGGCCTCTGGCCCCTAACCCCCGCTCAGCCCCCGCTCAGGTCACGGTCATGGTCACAGAGCAGCTGGGTGCTGAGGAGGCCCAGGAGAGAGAGATCAGGGCTCCCATTGCTTGTGGCTGCTGGACCGGTCTCCAGACAAGGGTCCAGAGCTGGCTGGGAAGGACCAAGGGTAGAGCAGGCCCTGCCCATGAGGGTCTCAGGGGCTGCCACAGAGACTGCCATGGGCACCCATGGCTGGCAGAGCTGGGCAGGGGACACCAGCTCAGAAACGGGGACTGGCTCCTGTCTCGATTTCACAACCAACGAGGCGGCCTTGAAATCTGATGCCTGGCTTCTGGAGCCGAGTGCAGAGAAGTCCCGGCTGCTTCCCACCACCCTGGCAGCCCACCACCTGCCAGGAAGGTGGGTGAGTGCGGAGGGGGCGGGCACCATCTCCGCAGCAGATCCGCTGACCTCTGCGTGAGCCCCTGGCCGGCTGGCTCCCAGGCTGGCTTCTGTGCATCTCGGGGCCGACATGCGATCCCTTCCCCCTCCAACCACATAAAACCGGCACTGCCTGTTGCCTTTTCTTGCCAGGAGAGACACTCCCAGGGACCCCAGCACCGGAAACAGGAAACTGCAGCTTTCCTGTCCTCTGATGAGGAGCATCGCCACATGGCCACCCCCGCCCCCAGCCTCCCTCAGGGGGCTCGCCTCTAATCCCCCCAGTCCTGGGCCATGCTCACATGGTCGGATGGGGATGCTTTCAATTTCCCTTTCCTGGTGGGTGGAAGATCCCGGCTGTGTGGGCACAGATTGAGGAATGGCAGGCATTCCCCACCAGGGCCGGCTGCTCCCAGCCCACCTCCCAGCCGGCCTCTTTCCGCCTCCCCTTTCCCTCCTCCCTCTCGCTGCCTCTTCACCCCAAGCGTACTCAGGGGAGGCACTTTGCTGTTGAACCTTAGGACTGGCAAGAAATAGGCAGTCACCGTGGGCAGAGCCTCAGCGAGTATCTGGTGTAGGCCTGGCCCGTTCTCGCGTCTTGGAGGATGGACATAGCTTAAGATCTAGTGCGGAGGCCATGACGGCCTTCTCAGCCCGTGACCTTGGCCAGGTCCTGTTCCTCTAGTCTGTTTTCCCACCCAACCTTTTGGGATGGCAGAGCCAGTGCCCAGCAGGGGAGGGATGTGTCAGGGCTGAAGCGGAAGTTGAGCCCCATGTGCAGGACAGGCTCCCGGCCCCACACAGAGCCCCCCCCCCCCCCCCCCCGGCCCCTCGCTGCTGGTGATGGGAGCGGGGCAGGCGCTGAGCAGAGGGTCTGACAGGCCCCGCGTGGTTCGCGGTGGCTGCCCAGTGAGACTGCGAACTGCACGCCCAGGGAGAGCGGGGCCCCATCCTCTCCAGTGAAGCCATCAGGTTCCTGGGCCAGCCTGTCCTTGACTTCCCTCCCTGCTGACTTTTCTCCCTTGATCAGAAGGTGGAGAGAGGAGAGCACCCACGTGGAGAAGGGGTCCTGCGGCCAGATGGGCCCCTCTCCTCCTCAGCATCGTGCTGTGTAGGCCCCTCGCGTGGGCCGGCCTCTAAGTGGAAGATGGGGAGCTGGGCCTCCGGGAGCGGAAGCCGGAGCCAGGGGTTCCAGGGTCCCCCACTCTTCTGTTAGCCACTCAGCACATCCCAGCTGATGGTCCTGCCTGGCCTTGGTTGTCCCACTTCATGAGAGAAGCGTGACGCCCGCCATATATCCCTCACGAGTCCCAAAGCCACCTGGGGAGAGTGACTAGTGACCAGATGCCGTGAACTAAGTCGCGGAGCCTTCCGTGGCCCCCGGTGGGAGGCGCCGCTGTGGGAGGCAGAGTCCCGGGTAGAGGTTCCCGGAGGGTCTGAAGCACCAGCGCCCAGTCCCTCCTCACGGGACAGGCGGTCTGGCTGCCGCGGCTGCAGGCACAGCACTGAGGCTGCCTGCGCTGCCTGGAGACCTGTGCTGGGCCCACCTCACTCACCCCTGGACTGCAGGGGCCCGGCACTGGGGCCATCCAGGCAGCAGGTTGCTTCTAACTAGACCATCAGGGTGACTGCTGGTGGCCCCTGGTCCTTGGGGTGGACAGGGAGGTGGCGTGTGGCTGCTGGTCTCCCTCCTCCCAGGAAGGGATGGGCGTTGCAGCAGCTGCCTGGGGCCCAAGCACTGAGTCCAGCACCCTCCCCGCCATGGGCTCACCTGTCCAGACCTCCCCAAGGGGACCCTTGGTCCCGGGGTGGCTGGTTCCCCCAGCCATTTTCCTGGGCACCTTACCTCTGCCTGGCAAATCAGTCGTTTAAACGTATTAGTTTGATTGGTGTGTGAAAGGGCATGTGACTGAGGCTTCAGAGACATCTGCATGGTCTTACCCACTTCTCATTCCCAGTTAGAGGCTGAGCCCTCTGGACTCCCTTTCAGTTAGAAGAATTCGTTTTAATCACCTTTCTCAGCGACAACACCTTTGCTTCATCAAAATCTACTGCCTGGTTCTAAAGCTTTGTGTGGTACATTTAGTGCTTCGGTCAAGTGTACATTCTGTATTCTCCGGCAAAGGTATTCATTACTCTTGTGTCACATGTATTCCTGGTTTGTTGAGGCATTTAAAGCCAACTTCATGGTCACAGCCCTTTGAGAGGCAGCCTGGGAAACCCCTCCAGACAACGTGCGCTCAGACGCCCTCCTGGCTGAGCGCAGGGCCAGGCTGCCGTCCCCTTCTTTCCTCTCCTCCGGGATGCTCCAGAGAAACAGGCGCTTCCCCTGGTCCTGGGTCACCCACTCAACCCGTACACCCACCACACTGCCATTTTCCTCTGTTGTGAGGCCAGATCTCCACCGGCTGTGCCGCAGCACCTCCTGCCTCCCGCCCTGCCCCGTTCCGGAAGTCCTGCCGGCAGGCTTGCCTGGCCGTGCCCTGCACTCCCTCGGATTCGGTCATTTGTCAGGGACATGCGGCCTCCCTGCCGCTGTCAGTCTCCGTCACTGTCCTTCCCGGTTACAGGCGGCACTATTGCCAGTGCGTGCCCACGGGGCCCAACGCCCAGCGTCTGCTGCTGCCGTTCTGGGGGCTGCTGCTCTGAGTCACGCGAGGTGGGGGAGGTCCTTGAGTCATTTTCCTCAACATCAGGCTGACAGTGTGGCCATTTCAGTGGTAGCACAGAGGATCCCTGTTCTCCCCCTGGTCAGCTAGTAGGATAGGCCAGGAGTAGGGGCTTTTTGTTTGTTTGTTTGGTTGGTTGGTTGGTTGTTTTTGGGGGTGGACTGTTAGAAACTTCTTTATTAAAAGTGGGGTTTTTTATTATTAAAGGATAGTGGACATACAATAATTTCTCTTTTTCTGGTGTGAACATACTGCTGGGACATGTATACAACTTATGAAGTGATCACCAGGAGTAGGTTTTGATTGCAATTCTGTCACCTGCTGGTGACATCTGGGGTGGTGGGACACTGGAGTTCTCAATTCTGGGCCATCACTTCCTCACTGTGGCCTGAAACGTGTCGTGTCTTCTCTCTGGCCTCAGTTTCTTCCATTTTTTAAAAGGAAGATGTTGGCGAAACCGGTTTGGCTCAGTGGTAGAGCGTCAGTCTGCGGACTGAAAGGTCCCAGGTTCGATTCCGGTCAGGGCCATGTACGTTGGTTGCAGGCACATCCCCGGTAGGGGGCTTGCAGAAGGCAGCTGATCGATGTTTCTCTTTCATCGATGTTTCTAGCTCTCTATCTCTCTCCCTTCCTCTCTGTAAAAAATCGATAAAATATATATTTAAAAGGAAGATGTTGGGAAGGTGACTTCCCAGGAGCCTTCAGCATGGCCTGCCCATTGCAGGTCTCTGTGGTGTGGGGCAGGCCTCAGAGGGGCCTGTGAGGGTACAGGGGCAGCATAAGTGGCAGCATGGATCCATGAGCCTCTGTGTCTTCCAGCCAGTGAGCCTTAGCCCTGGGTTCTTTCCCTGGCCTGACCCCACAGGTCTTGTTCACAGAAGAATCCCAAGACCTAGAATAAGATCTGCCCTCAGGAGGCACCCAGAGTGTGTTTCCGAGTGGATGCTGAGCTGCCAACCAGCATGGCTGCATCCAACCCGCCTGTGTCAGCAGGTTCGGCAGTGTCTTCCCGAGCCTCAACATGGCGGTGAAGCGGCGGGAGCAGGCCCTGCAGGACTACCGGAGGCTGCAGGCCAAGGTGGAGAAGTACGAGGAAAAGGAGAAGACGGGGCCAGTGTTGGCCAAACTGCACCAGGTACAGAGCGAGTCGCATGGCACACACAGCAAGTTGCCCCCATGCCAGGGGACCAACTCAGAAGCTGTAGGTCCAAAGTACCCCCACGTGTGCGCACTCACTAACACACTCACACTCACACACACACACACACACACACACACACACACATCCTCTCACACACACACACTCACACACATACACTCACACACACACACTCTCACACTCACACACACACACACTCACACACACACACTCACACACACACACACCCCGCCCCGCCCCAGCAGGGCGCCCGGGCTCTGACCGCAGGCCTTGCTCGCAGGCCCGAGAGGAGCTCCGGCCGGTGCGGGACGACTTCGAGGCCAAGAACAAGCAGCTCCTGGAGGAGATGCCGCGCTTCTACGGCAGCCGGCTCGGCTACTTCCAGCCCAGCTTTGAGGCCCTGGTCCGAGCACAGGTGAGCTGCGCCCGCGCCCCGCCCAGCCCAGCACCTCCCTCAGGCCGTCCTGGCTTCGTAGACACATCTCATGCCGCCCCACGCCGCCCGCCCGCCCCCACGCCACCCGCCCGCCCCCACGCCGCCCGCCCGCCCCCACGCCACCCGCCCGCCCCCACGCCTCCCGCCTGCCCCCCACCCTGCCCCCACGCCTCCCACCCTGTCCCCACACCGCCCGCCCGCCCCCACCCTGCCCCCACGCCGCCCGCCCGCCCCCACCCTGCCCCCACGCCGCCCGCCCGCCCCCACGCCTCCCGCCTGCCCCCCACCCTGCCCCCACGCCTCCCACCCTGCCCCCACGCCTCCCACCCTGTCCCCACGCCTCCCGCCTGCCCCCCACCCTGCCCCCACGCCTCCCACCCTGTCCCCACGCCACCCGCCTGCCCCCACGCCACCCACCTGCCCCCACGCCTGCCCCCACGCCACCCACCTGCCCCCACGCCTGCCCCCACGCCACCCACCTGCCCCTACGCCTGCCCCCACGCCACCCGCCTGCCCCCACGCCACCCACCTGCCCCCACGCCTCCCGCCTGCCCCCACGCCACCCACCCTGCCCCCACGCCACCCACCTGCCCCCACGCCACCCACCCTGCCCCCATGCCACCCACCTGCCCCCACGCCACCCACCTGCCCCCACGCCACCCACCTGCCACCCACCCTGCCCCCACGCCACCCACCCTGCCCCCACACCACCCACTTGCCACCCACCCTGCCCCCACGCCACCCACCCTGCCCCCACGCCACCCACCCTGCCCCCACGCCACCCACCCTGCCCCCACGCCACCCACCCTGCCCCCACGCCACCCACCTGCCCCCACGCCACCCACCCTGCCCCCACGCCACCCACCTGCCCCCACGCCACCCACCCTGCCCCCACGCCACCCACCCTGTCCCCACGCCTCCCACCTGCCACCCACCCTGCCCTCACATCACCCACCCTGCCTCAGCACTGCCCAAGGGAAGGGAGCGGGGGCCTCTGGCCGGTGGCTGGACTCTGCGTTGCTCTTTGGTTAATCCCAGCCTAGAATGAGGTTCCGTGTTTAACAGCTCTTCTCACGTTTCACTGCAAGAATCAGGAGGTGCACCATCAGCACCTCACTCTGAGGGGCAGGTTCTTTGCCTGGTGTGCTTAGGAGGCAGGGAGAGAGGCCCAGGGGGTGAGGTCTCTTTCCTACACCCCCACCCCTCCTGTTGGCAGGAGGCCACGGAGCACGGTGAACCCTGGGAGAGCCACGCGCGGGGCACGGGCCGTGGTGCACCTGCCAGCGGGAAGGGCAGGCTGGGTGGTGGAGGTGCACAGCGGAGCACTGGGCCAAGCAGTTAGAGGCTCGCCATGGGCCAACCCTGTGTCTCCCACTCCTCACGGTGGGGCACAGAGTGTGTAATGGTGTAACTGCTGCCCTCCTTGCCCCTTCACCTCCCATCCTTCAGGCCATTTGCAGGGATTAGTCCCCCCGTTTGTAAAAGACCAAGGGGTCACCTCCACGTGGGACCCCCAGCTGACTGCAGATGTTCAGCATCCTCCCACCTTCCCACCTTCCCCACCAGGTAACCAAGCAGGAGGCTCAGCCCTCCCCATCTGCCTCCAGCTCACTTCTGCTCTTGGCCTGGGTATTTGGCGCCCTCCAGTGGACACTGTCATTCCTTGCAAAGTCCATGATCACAGGTGCCCAAGGAAAAGCCTGACTCCCTAGCTCAGTTCCCTGCCATCCTTGGTCATTAGGGGGAAATGAGGCAGAAGGCTAGCAAACACAAGGGAGTGGGGGGCCCCACACTTGCCCCAGAGCATTCCTCAGTAAGTGAGGGCTTCCTTCCAGCAGCTTCAACCTGGGCCCGGAGGAATGTACTTACGAAGCCCTGAGTCTTCCCTCCTGCTGCCCTCCCTCCTGCGCCATCACCACCTGTTCCAGCCCCAGCGCCTGCCCTGCCTCCCCCGCCCATTGCTCGGGGAGGACGCTCCAGGGTGAGGCTGTGGCGTGCCCAGATGGAGCAGCTCGGGAGCTCAGGATGCCCTGTCACCAGGCAGCGGGTGGCGGGGGCGTTGCTGCCTGCTTGGCACCAGCTTCCCCTCCCGAGGCTGCACTGCCATTAGTCACTGGAGAAGTGAGCATTCCCGGTGACTCAGCCACGCAGTGCTGCTCTGGGGGAGGGGCACCCCCATGCTCCCAGCACCAGCCCAGGCCCCTCCCCTGAGGTGACAGCGGGATGAGGGCCTGATTCCGCTCCCCTCAGAGCTGGCTGTGGGAGGCTCTCAGAAACAGCTCAGCCAGGGCCCTGCCACCAACCTGCCACTCAGCCTGGCCGTGCCAGCAACAGCACTGCACATTTCTGATGCAGTGGTTTCTTCCCCAAAGACAGTGTGGAGCTGGAACTGGACGAAATGTAAGGGTGTTGAATGGTGTGGAATGCATTCATGGGAATGCTTTCATTTGTCACGAGGTGGAGATTAAGGGAAAATGGCCCTGGGAAAGCCCATCCTGGGCCGGCTTCGCCCGGGGTCTCAGCAGCCCTCAGCCATTTGAGCTGCTGGTGGGTCCCACTCACATTCCCCGCCTCATTCCTGTGAGCTTCCCATCCCACACTGGGCCTACTCAGAAGGAAGTGTGGGCACGGCCTGGCCTGGGCCGAGCACCTTAGCATGCTGACCAATGAGCTGAGTTGGGAAGGAACAGGAGGCTAAGGAGTCACCATTCTCACCTTCTAAAGACCAGTTCTCAGGCTTTGGGAGCCTGCCATGCCTCTCCAGGAACAAAAGCCTCCAGCTCCCAGCTTCGGTAGAGCAGTGAGCCCCTGTCTCCCAGGACCTGCCAAGGGCCCTCCAACTCTCCCCAGCCTCAGCCTTGGACTGTGCTGTCTTCCTCTACCACCCAAAACACCCCCCTGTGCTGCTCCGAGAGAAGGGCAGAGCTTCCCCCCCCCCCCAATCTCCACCTCCCACCTCCCCGAGGATCTATTGCTCCCCTCGCCCTTGACGGATTGCCACCCCAGGCAGTGGACGGTCCTACAGGGCTTCTGGCAGAGCTCACACCTCCCTGGTTGCTGTGCAGTTGAGAGATGGGCTGAGGGGAAAGGCCGGAGTCGAGGGAATAGGAACCAGCCCAGAGGGTACATGCTGTGGGGGCTTGGTGCCCAGAGTCCAGCCCCTGCTGACCTCCTGCCTCCCACCCAGGTCGTCTACTACTCTGAAATGCATAAGATCTTCGGAGACCTGACCCAGCAGCTTGACCAGCCTGGCCACTCCGATGAGCAGCGGGAACGGGAGAATGAAGCTAAACTGAACGAGCTCAGAGCGCTCTCTATTGTGGCTGATGACTGAGCCCCGCCCCTCGGCGTGCCCCTGGAACATAAGTCGGCTTCTCTAGTGTTTGCCCTTCTCAAGCTTAGGCTCAGGCAGCAGCCAGCGACAGGCCATCCCTGGGAGAAGGCCCCTACCCTACCTCACCAGCCCTTTGGAATGAGCCTGGCACCGGGAGCCCCAAGCAGGCTGCTGACTCCCCTCCCATAGCGGGAGCCTGCAGAAGGTAAGCAGCCTATAAAAACCTGAGAGGCTTTCTTATTTCCAGAACCGGCCAAAGTGCCTCCTGGTCCAGGGCCAGCGCAGGCTGCCCGCCCGCAGGGGACAGGGGCTCCGTCAGCTCACCCGCGGTCTCACCTTGTGTGCATGGCTGGGATCACATCTACCTCCAAATGACCGTCCGGGGCACCCCCTCCCCCTGCTGCCCGCCCACTTCTCTCCTTTTCTGGGAGAGGGCCACAGCACTGTTTCTGAGAACGAGTGCTGTGGTCCCCCAGCCTCAGCAGGCCCCACTCCAGCTCCCAGCACCACAAAGGCTGGCTTTTGTCCTTTTGGTCAAGTGCAGGGAAGATCCGCCTTGTAGGTTCTCTAGGAAATGGATTCAACTCGTGTAAATGTCCAACCCACAGGCCTCAAAGCAACAACAGTAGTGGGTTTGTGTCTCACCTGAATATTTGGAATTTTTTTCCAGTAAAGTTTTCAATAAAATGTTCTTGTACTGTGCTGTAACTAAGGAAAGGAGGAGAGAGCCACCCCAGGTTTTTTTCAGGGCAATGCTACCCCTTGCTGAGCTGATAATGCCCAGTCAGCATCCTGGCTGCCAGCAGCCTGAGCGCAAGGGGGCTTGCTCTCCCTGCTGCCCACCCGCCCGCCTTCTGGAGGCGACTACACCTCCATCCAGCAGAGGCAGGGCTGAGGGCCCCGAGGGGAAGAGAAAGGGAAAAGCTATGGAGGACACTTGGGGTTTTTTTCACTTTGGTTTATTTAAAAAACAAAAGCAAAAAAAAAAAACAAACAACAAAACCAACTTTATATACAAAGTCAAACTAAAACCACGGATTATGGAAAGAGGTGAGATTCGTGGGGAACAGGAAAAAGGCTGGGCCAGAGCCAATACCACATTCTGAACACAGGGCGCCGGGGGCAGAAGTGCTGGTTCCTGCTGGCAAGTCCGGGGAGGCTGGAAAAGTGCTCACTGGCCCACGGCCCAACAGCGAGCTGGCTGGCACTGACTCCATTCCTCACAGGCCCGGGACCTGGACCTGGTAACCTAGCAGGATTTGTGCCATCCAGAGGAAGGGGTGCTTACCCCAGCCAGATTCCACATCTGTTTTTTCGCTTATTGGCATCAGACCTTATGACATAGTCACAGAGCCTTTTTCTCCCCTGTCTTACTCTAAACTGGAAGAGAACAGGAGAAAGCACGAGACTAAAGGGCCCCAGGAGAAACCCCAAGGTGGAAGGCAAAATGACATTCGAGGGGCGAGGGGTGCAGGTGTTGGATTGAGTTGTAAGTGGAACCGGTTCCTCGCTCGTCCGTCCACATAGCACAGGCAGACCCACCCTGCCGCCTGAGCTCCCTCCACAGGCTGTGCTCCCAGGTCCTGCTCAGCTCCTCTGGAACCACAGGCTCTAACGTGAGCAGGCTCCACGCTGACCTCGCAGGATGGCAGCTCCTGCGTCACGCCCTCAGTTGCTAGGTGCTGGCTCCTCCTTCTCTACCCAGCTGTCAGCCTGTTTGCAACAGATGGCACGAGAATTAGGACCCAAGGAGAAAGGACTACTACCCACTTCCTCCTGGGGACTCAAGTTTACAAGCTGCTGACTGACAGATCCCCTAAGAAGCTGGTGGATGGAGGAGGCGGTGGCAAGGTAGACCCAGGCACAGACGCAAGGGGCTGTCACCCTGGCATCTCCCAACTAAGCCAGCCTTCCTGCAGGCTCACCTTCTCAACCATTCGCTGCATCTCCAGCTGCAGGGGCGTCAGGCGCCTCCGGAAGTCGTGCAGCAGCCGCTGGAGCTGGTTCTTCTGCCGCTCAGCCGTGCGGGCCGTGTCCTCGGCCTCCGCCAGCCGGGTGCGCAGCTCCTGCATGTCAGCTGCCAGCGTCTTGTTTGTCACTTCTGTGGCTGAGAAACGGTGATGGCTCTCCTCTGGTGGGAAACACACCGGGAAGACCGGCTGAGTTAAGGATCGGAGCAAGAGGCCTGTAGCCTAGGCAGTGGGGTCCCCTTGGTCTCCGTGTACCCATCGCACAGCCACGGGCGGGCCCCGTGGGCCCGCCACTCACCCAGCTTCAGTTCCAGTGTGTGAATCTTGTTCTCCAGGTAGAGCCGCCCACTGTCCTGCTGCTCCGCACGCTGCAGCAGGTTCCCCACGTGGATCAGGCTGCCGTTGTGGGACACCAGGCCCTTGTGATCCAGAGGGGCGGCCATTGGCTTTGCGCTTTTCCCAGAAGGAGGTAGCAGGTCCAGGTTTCCTAGCAGGGCCATAAGAGGAGGTAAGGGCCGGGTCTCGTGAGGAGAAAGCAGCCTGCCCTGCCCATTCTCCACGGGAGGCTGCAGAGCACCGTACACACCGAAGAGCACCTCCGCAGGAAGCCCACTGTCCGTGCCCTCGGAGCGGCTGTACTGCAGGCTGCGGTACTGGCAAATGTTCTGGGTCACCACCCTGCTGACCAGCTGTTTGGCCTACAGAAAACACACCCAGATCCCCTGGTCAGAAGGGGCAAACCTTGCCCCCGGGATGTGAAAAAGCCTACAAGTGGAACATCCCAAGTCGTCATCCCCCCTCCCCGCAGTGTAGGTGCGTGCCTGTGCACGTTACGTCAGGTGAGGCCACCTCAGAAAGGACCAAGGGGGGCGAGGGAAGGCACCTGCTCTGCACTGAGCCGGAGCCCGAGAGTAAGCAGAATCCTCTCCAAGTCTCGACGGTGCAAGTAGCCACACCAGTTGGCATCAAAGAAGACGAACGCGAGAAGACAATCCAAAGGGAGCACAGCAGAGGGGTCCAGCTCCTTGGGCTGCAAGAGGAAACAAGGATGAACGGGGTTATAAATTGTTCTCTCAACGGCTAATCGCTCCTTCACAGGTGAGTGGCATGGCTGGCAGTTCCACCCAAGCGCACCTTCCAGTTGGAGACCTGACCTGAGCTTATAACCCAACGGGCCGTCCCACCCGGGAACCCAGTGTGCTCCTAGACCAGCCACCTCTCAGTCACCCTGACAGACTCAGGAGTGTCCCCTGGGTCCTACGGAAGTGCTGTTCCATGAGCCAAGAACCTCGTCTGGTCAGTCAACAGACAATGGAGGTCAGTGGGTAGAGTGTAACGCCCAGGACGGCTCAGGCCTTGCCGAGTGTCACTGTCACAGAGGCGGAGGGGCAGAACGCTGGTCTTACCATGTCCTGAAGGGAAGAGAATTCCATCTCTGACTGGTTGGAAGCAACAGACCGGACCTCGGAATCCTCCAGTTTGGCTGCTGCTACAGAAGGCCCGGCATGAGCTTGGAGCAGGGACCACATGGCCACACCCAGTCCAGTCGAACGGAGAACGAACGCTAGAGCCAGTCCCCCCCACCCCGTGTGCCCCCTCCTGTGCTCACCGAACTCCTCCTCCCCGTCGTCCCGCAGCAGCAGCAGCTCCGGGTCCAGGGCCATCTCGCAGAGGTCCTCCGCCGCCGCCTCCCCCCGGGGCTTCTCCTCCTCTCCTCCAGAAGACGGGGGTTTGGGTAAGACCCCATCTTCCTTCTGAGGAAAGCAGACCGAGATGAGGAGGACTGTCCCCTGTGATTACTGACAATGACAATGGCTAACGCTGAGTGTCACCCCCTCCAGGCCCCGTTAAGGGCTCTAAATGCACCTCATCGTGTAAAGTATTTCATTGCACGGGTCCAGAGCAGATCAGGGCACTTTCCAGACACAGGGATTCTCCCAGGAGTCCAGCGCCGCCCGTAAGAAATTAGGGTGACCTGAGACCGATCAGTGAGGTGAGAAGCCCCAAATGCTTTAGAGGCGCTAAGAGAATGCAGTGTTCTGGTTAACCACCGCACCTGTGCCCCTCAGACACTCCGCACTGAGCTCCCTGTGCTGCCGCCAACCACGCTTCCCTGCCCTCCTGCGTCCGCTCCCCCGACGCAGTGGCACAGCACTCATCGCCAAGGGCCAGCACCCTGCGCCCATTCCACCCCAGGCTCCCGCACATGAGTAAGCGGGGTTCTGAGAGACCGTACGTGCTCAGAACAGCACCTGCTACCACCACACAGCACTCGTTCTGCTGAGCGTTCCTATGTGCAGCCCAGTGCCCGCGCAGGGGGCAGAAGTACTCACCGGTGGGGTGTCTGACTCGGCAGCTGGGCCCTCACTCTGTACCTCCTCTTTGGACTCCTTGGCCACCTCCTCCTTGACCACTTCTTCCTCTTTGGCCATCTCCTCCTTCTCAGGTTCAGGGGGGGCCACGACCTTCTCAGGAAGGCTCAGCAGCATCTTATAAATCCTGTAGCCAAAGTCCCTCTGCAGCATCTCCAGAAACAGCTCAGCCAACACCATCACCTGGCGAAGAGGCCCATGGGTGTCAGGAAAAGGGAGTGTCCCAAGCCCATCACACACCATACCCCACTCCTCCACCCACCTCAAAGGAGATCCTCTCTTTGGGCCTCCGGTCCTCCACAATGCTGTGGAGGGAGAGGTTGACGCAGCCAGGGCGGGCCACAACAGCGGGTTCTAGAGGGGGCGGAGGGGCCTCTGGGAGGTCGGTGTCCGCTTCCTGCTGTGTGGTGGCCTCCAGGTTCTCCGCATTCTGTTTAGTGTCCGCTCCTTGCTCCGATGCCTCGCCTGCCTGTTCTGTAGGCTCCGTTTCCTGTGATAAAAGCCAGGAGCTGTGGCCACCTGGGCTTTCGTCAGGGCACCTATTCTCCCACCTGTTCGTGAGGCTCTGCCTTACCGCGGGCACCTCCTGGGCCGGGGGAGCTGCCTCTGCGGCCTTCTGCTGGCACAGCGCCTCCCACTCTTCCAAAGTAGGCATGATGGTCCACACATCTGGCAGGTACACCACCACGGTCTGCAGCCGCTTCGGGGGTCCTGGCTGCAGGTACTGAAACTCGGCAAAGCGCCACCTGCTCACGGCAAAGGGAAAAGGAAATAGTGTCCCCAGACACTGGCAAGCAAGTGCTTCAGTTTCCAATCACCATTTAGTGAGCACCCCTGCGAGCCAAGCTTTCAAAGTTCAAAAATAAAAGGTACAGACAGGTCCTTAAGAAATGGTTAGTCAAGGGGGAGACACAAGTAAGCAGACATTTACCAAGGTGCTAAGGTAACAAGAAGCACTGAAGGTTGCTGGGGCAGAGGGTTAGCTGCCCTTCCACATTCACATCCCGCACTCATGATCTAGGTCAGTGGTCGGCAAACCATGGCTCTCAAGCCACATGTGGCTCACAAGCTGTGGTCTGCCGCTCTGTTAACTAATGAGTTTGCCGACCACTGATCTAGGTGACCATTTTTGAGGGCTGGAGAGAGCGATGAGCTGGGACTAGGGAACAAAGCTAACAGGTCAAAAAGGTGCAGAAGCTTGGCCTGAGCAGTCGCCAACTCAACTCGCTAATAGCCCGCCCACGGGAAGCCACTCACCACTTGGTGCAGGCGCTCAAGTCAATGCCGGTCTGGGCCTGTGCACAGCGGATGGCAGTGCGGACTAGCACCTGCGGGTCGCCGTTGGGGTCGAGGCCGTCCAAGGAAGGAGACCACTCACCCCCAACCAGCACTGCCTCTTCTTCTTTCCGGCCCAGCAAAAACTGCAAAATGAGATCATGGGTAAGGAAAAAAAAAAAAAAACATTACCTGGGTCTCCCACTGGAAGGCAGCCTGCCTCCGCTGGGGATGTGGCAAAGAGTCCACAGGACAGTGGGGGGTGGCTTCTCCACTCATGAGCACAACCAGCCACATAACGTTCTGACAAATAAGAACAGCTCTGAGCCAAAACCGATTTGGCTCAGTGGATAGAGCGTCGGCCTGCGGACTGGAAGGTCGCAGGTTCGATTCCGGTCAAGGGCATGTACATTGGTTGAGGGCACATTTCCCCATAAGGGGTGTGTGCAGGAAGCAGCTGGTCGATGTTTCTCTCATCGATGTTTCTAGCTCTCTATCCCTCTCCCTTCCTCTCTGTAAAAAATTAGTAACATTTAAAAAAAAAAAAAAACAGCTCTGAGCAATGCTATGCTCCTGGAAAATCAGAGGTGTTTCAGCTCTGAAAAGCCTTGTTTTAGGAGTTCATGAATAGGAGCTGAGCTGCTGAAAATGTGACACAGTCCCTAACCGGTTTGGCTCAGTGGATAGAGCCTCAGCCTGCAGACTGAAGGGTCCCAGGTTTGATTCCAGGCAAGGGCATGTACCTTAGTTGTGGACACATCCCCAGTAGGGAGGCAGTTGATTGATATTTCTCTCTCATCAATATTTCTAACTCCCTTTCTCCCTCTCTGTAAAAAAATCAATAAAATACATTTTTTTTTTTAAAAAAAGAAAGAAAAAGAAAATGTGACACGGACTGGACGTTATCAATGAATGCATCTGCCTAACGGACTCCAGCTCTCACCTTAATCTGCTTCAAAGGGTGTTCTGGGGTCTCCCTTGGCTCAGCCACGTCATCCACAAAGAGCATGCAACAACGGAACAGTTCCTCCAGGCCCGGGGAGGAAAGCAGCAGTACCTGTGGAGGGGGCGGGGAGGACACTCAAGAGCTTTCTCAGCCTCCAACAACGGGAGCAGGCGGCGGACCCCCACCTACTAACCTTGGAACTGTATGCGGGGTCGCTGTCTGCAGGGCCTGGCTCAGCACCAGCGTCTGGAGCTGGCTCCTTCTCAGAAGAGACCTGGATTCGGCTCGGGTGGTGGAGGGAAAGGGGCTGGCTCAGAGGGAAGGCTGACAGCCAGCTCAGGTGCACAGCCAGGAAGTCTGAGGGGACGAGGAGGGTGCGGTAACGGCGCTGGAGTTCTAGGAAGTCACAGGTGGGGCTGTAGGAAGAAGGCAAGGGATCCAGGATAAGCCAAGACTAAGTTATCTTTTAAATGGGACTATTTAAAAATAATTTTAAAAATAAAAGGACAAATTATATAATCTGGGAAAGAACTTCTAAGTAAGACACATCTGGAGGGGGGGGGGGAAATGGACCCGATCTAACCACCAAAATGTTACAACCTCTAAAGGCAAAATAGTTAAACTGGAGAGGAAAACATTTGCAATACATAACAGAGAAAAGAGTCACTGTTTAATATAAAAGGAACCAAAAAAACCACTAACCAAAAGTTCACAAGCCTAAGAGAATACTGGGGAAAGTGACATCAACAGAAATAGACTTAAAAGCCATATAAATATGCTCAATCTCACTTATAATTAAAGAAATGCAAATCAGAATATCACTTTTCACCCACCAGACTAACAAAGATAAAAACGCTTGATAAGGCAGTGCTGGCAGAGGCCTGGGGAAACAAGTAATTCATGCCCCAAAGGTGAGAACTAAACTGGTCTGACCTCTTTAAGAGAATGGGCAATACTCTCTCTTCCTCTCTCGCTGAAAAACCAAAATACATAAAAGAGTGGGCAATATCCATCAAAGTTCAAAACAGATCCTTTGGGTCAGCCACTCCATTTCTAGGCGCTGATCTCAGTAAAACGCTTGCACCTGTCCACATGGATGCATGCAGAATAATGTTTAATTCAACAATATTTAGGATAGGAGTGAAAATGGGGAGAGAGCTGGTTAAACAAATGGTGGTCCATCCATTCAGTGGAATGCCTATAACTGCTAAAAAGAATGAGCTCAAGCTAATAAACATTAATATGGAAAAAATTCTAAGATATATTAAGTGAAAAAGCAAAGTACCAAACACTGTATAATAGGCCTCAATTTCACATTGGAGTTTAAAAAAAAAAAAAACAACAACACAGCTGTGTGTGTGTGTAATTGTTAGCAGTCACGTTCTGACTGGATGTGACCGGGCAATCGCTGTCTTGTGAGATGGAGCCACGTGGCTCAGCACGGAGAACAGGAGGCCCTGCCTAGGCCCGGGAGAGGAATGGGCGCTGGGAAGAGCAGGCACAGCCCTCCGCTCCCCGTGAGGAGGTGCCAGCTGGGCCTCAGTGGACTTGGCCTCTCCACTGCTAGATGGAATCTGAAATCGCTCATCTACCTCTTAAGTCAATTTCTTTTTCCCCCCCTAAAATATTAACACTGAGATTATCTTAGTAAGGTTTATAAACATTTAAAATTCCTAACCAATTGATGCAAGTGCCCAAAATTACATTAAGAATAACTGAGCAAAGACTTAATGTCCACAGTATTTATTAACTGTTTGTCAAGAGAAACTAGTCCTTAGCTCAAATATCCATGCTTCCTAGTTCAGGAACAGAGGTCAGTGACAAACTCCCAAAGAAATTCTTTACATTCCAAGACCACTTTGCTCTAAAAGACACCAGCCTTCCTCGTCTCCTCAATATCTTTCATGGGATCATAATTTCTGTGGAAATCCGTGGATGCCTTCTTTCTTGGTTCAGCCACACAAACTTATACGCAGCTGTGACCCCCGGGGTACAATGATGGCTCCAACAATACAGACGCTGGGCCAGAGGCCACGTGTCTGAGGTTCCGTCAAAGCACTGGGACACGTGGTAGTTGGTATTCTCAACACCCACGTCCTTCCTGACGGAGAACTGGATGGTGCTCCAGCAGCGCGCAGCTACCCAAGTGGAACTCTTTAAGTTTCTATGACCGAGCAGTGAGCTTGCAGGCTATGTGCTGTAGCACTTAGAGAACAGTGCAGAAATCCAGTCCCAGCCTTCCTATGGGTTGTGGTTTCTACCTGAATTGTAACTGCTACTGACCCCGCAAGCCTCAGTCCTAGCCTGGCATAACCATTGCTGGTAATCAGTTCAAAGTTCCCCCAGGGCACCCATGTCAGTGGTACCCTGCTGGTCAAAATCTGAGATTGTAAAGTAAAAAAACTGTCACATTAAAAAACAAAACAAAAAAACAAAAACAAAATGTCATAAGAACACACACTCATACACACAAACTCTCACACAGACTCTCTCTCAATTACACAAGACTCTGTTACCAGCTGCAAGCTGCACCCCCATCTGCACCCAGCCTTGCACTCACCTGTCCACAGTATAGGGAGTGAGATGGACCCGGTAAGGAGGCAGGTCGTGCCTCGGTTTCTTAGCACCCCATGGCTCTCCACCAGCCCGCTGTTTGCGTTTCTTGGAGTCATAGTCATCGCTGAGGTTGAGCCATCGCCAGAAGGAAGAAACCACACTGTTACTTATGATTCAGCATACACGGGCCTAACAGGAACTGGAAATACTCTGACTCCCCAATGTTGAAGAAATGGATAAAGAAGCCATGCTAACAGCCATAGAACAGATTGTTATAAAGATATGAAAATGGATATTTAGATGCTTTTAATAACCATTCATGTTAAGCAAAAGAATGGTAGGTAACACTGTATATACAGCAGTGCCTCAACTGTGCAAAGAAAAGCTTTAAGATTGAAGAGAAATAAAATTAATGGTAATTGCCTTTGACTAAAATACTTTCAGAACTTTATAAATTATAGTTAACTATTTTTTAATGAGCAGAAAAGACTTTAACTGATTGTTATTCTTTGTTAATCCTCACCCAAGAATATCTTTTCATTTATTTTATTTATTTTTTTTGAAAGAGTGGGGGAGGAAATCAATGTGAGAGGGACACATCAATTGGTTGCCTCCTGCACGCACCCCAAACAGGCCGGGGATTGAACCCACTACCCTTTGATATACAGGCCCAATTCTAACCACTGAACACACCAGCCAGCGCTGATTTTTTTAAAAAGACATATGGTAACCATGCTAAGTGTTCTATAAAGTAAGTTTTACTAAAAGCGAAAGCTTGGCTGGTGTGGTTCAGTGGTTGAGCAGCGCCATATGAACCAGGAGGTCATGGTTCAATTCCCGGTCAAGGGCACATGCCCAGGTTGCTGCTCAATCCCCAATCCGGGGAGTGCAGGAGGCAATCAATCAATGATTCTCTCTCTTTCTCTCCCTCTCCCTTACATCAATAAAAACATATTTTGTAAAAGATAAATGGCCCTAACCGGTTTGGCTCAATGAATAGAGTGTTGGCCTGCAAACTGAAAGGTCCCAGGTTCGATTCCAGTCAAGGGCATGTACCTTGGTTGCAGGCACATCCCCAGTAGGTGGTGTGCAAGAGGCAGCTGATCAGTGTTTCTCCATCATAGATGTTTCTAACTCTCTATCCCTCTCCCTTCCTCTCTGTAAAAAAATCAATAAAATATATTTTTTTAAAGATAAATCAATGATACAGTTCTCATAATGAATCCTTGGCAATGCACATTAAAGTTATAAGATACTCTGATATAGTAATTCCACTCTGGAAAATTTATCCCAAGGATGTTAGTTCAAAAGGAGAATAAAGATTATATATACGGGGGGGAAATCAAGCTGAGAGAAAAAAAAAAAACACATTCACATCCAGTAATGCCTGTATTTTTATCGTAAATAAGTAAAATAATCACACAGCCATTACAACAATCATGAGGTTTACATGGAAAAATGTTTAATAAAAATGTATAAAAATAACTTGAACTTTAAGATTAAAATTGTAAAATATATGAATATATATAGATAAAGACTAGAAAGGAATATGGGCAAAAGTGGCAATAAGTAATTTTTCTCTACAAAATTATTTTCTAAAAAGAATGGTTATCTTTAAAGGGAAGGAAAGAGGCCTAGCTGGTCTGCTCAGTGGTTACAGAATTAGCCCACAAACTGAAGGTTCTCGGGTTCGATTCCAGTCAACCTCAGTAGCAGGCACGATTCCCGGCCCCAGTTGGGCATGGGCAGAAGGCAACCTATCAATGTGTCTGTCTCACATCGATGTGCCTGTGTGTCTCTCCCCCTCCCTTCCACTCTTCCTCTCTCTCTAAAAATTAGTGGAAAAATATCATCTGGTGAAGTTTAACAAAAAATAGAAAAATAGCCAAAACCGGTTTGGCTCAGTGGATAGAGCGTCGGCCTACGGACTGAGAGGTCCTGGGTTGGATGTACTTTGGCTGTGGGCACATCTCCAGTAGGGGGTGCGCAAGAGGCAGCTGATTGATGATTCTCTCTCATCGATGTTTCTAACTCTCTATTCCTCTCTCTTACTCTCTGTAAAAAATCAATAAAATATATATTTTTTTTTAAATAGAAAAATAAAAAGAGGTTTTTTAACTTTATATAACAGTATGCACTGCTCTATTCATTCTTATAATAAATTAGTCATCATTGTATCACTGTTATGGGTACAATACATAAAAACAGTAGATCAGAAAAAAACTTTAAACAATATAAAACAATGCCAGATTAATAAGGAGAAAACCCTCACGTCGGGGAGAGGAGAGTGAAGGGGGCCTAATATATGATGATGAAAGATAATTGATCTTGGGTGGCAGGCACAGTGCAATGTACAGACCTATAACAGCAATCTACACCTGAAACCTATATGATCCTATTAACCAATGTCACCCCAATAAATTTAATTTTAAAAACCAAAGAAAACTTCCCTAGTCATTACACTCCTGGAGGTAAGTTGTTATATTTAACACAACATTTTTCTTTTTTTTTTTCTTTTTTTTTTATTGATTTCAGAGAAGGACAGGGAGAAATAGAAACATCCATGATGAGAGAGAATTACTGACTGCCTCCTATAAGCCCCCTAGTGGGGATGGAGCCTGCAAACCAGGCATGTGCCCTGACCAGGAACTGAACCGTATCCTCCTGGTTCATAAGTCAACGCTCATCCACTGAGCCACACCAGCAAGGCCAAAGCTTTTCTCTTGTGTCTGCCTGGGTAATTTCCTTGCTCATTTCCATCTCCATCCAGAAGCTGCCTTCTAATCCTGCTTTACTGGGATGTCAGTGCTTCAGTGTTTCTAACAGAACTGCTCCCAACTCATCTGACAGCTCTCTCAGCTGGTTTATGACTGGAGTGAACTCTTCTGTAAATGCTGCCAACCTACAGCTAAACCGGATGTCCCACTGAGTCCTGGGAGTTCCACACACTTTCCACTCCCATTGTGACCTGTCAGGAACAGGTTACAAGGCAGCACCAGGGGAAGGCATCTCGGTGACCTCAGCAGGAGACACTGATCCCCGCATCCCAGAGCCTAAAATTCAAAATAAAACCTGGCTTCCAGCCAAAACGCTACTCCTTTGTAAGCTGCTGTTCTCCCCAGGATGACCCAATTCTTACTACCCGCTTCCCTACTCGGCAAATTCTATTACTGACAGTAACATCTCTCCTTTCTGCAAAAGCCACAACATGGAAGCATTAGAGCCAGAGTAACGACATGGGCCTCGCACAGGGCTTGACATATCCAGGCCAAGCAAACGCAGCTGACTGTATAAAAGGCTGAACTTGAACCCAAAGCAGAGAGTTCATAGCAGCCACTGATTTCCATCCAGGTTGCATGATCCCTGAGCACAATTACTGTGATTTTGTAATGAAGCCTTAATAAATGCATGGAATATGAGGTGAAAAGTCCTTAGAAATTGACAGCGAAGATGCACCAGATGAGAGATGGGAATATGAAAAATGTGTACCAGTGACTTGAGAATGGGACAATGTGTTTAAAGTAGTGAAGACACCGGAAAACAATCCAGGGGACCGTCAAAGCGACTCCCTCGTTAGAATTCACAATGACCCATTTGAAGGAAGCGCACACTCGCGTCAGCACAGAGACTTGCTACATCACTGCCTAAGCTTTCAGAGTTACTCCATGAACCTTTTAAGTGTTGACTTTGGACTGCATTCTCGGCCTTGACCATGTAATGATTTACTGGCTTCCGGGACTAGGGATTTTCTTCTTAGTATAGTTCTCACTTCAAAAGAGAACAAGGACATAAGAGCATATTCTGGAGTAATGGAAATATTCTACATCTTTTTTCTTGTTATTAATCCTCAATCAAGGATACTTTTCCATTGATTTTTAGAGAGAATGGAAGAGAGGGAGACAGAGAGAGAAACATCAATGTGAGAAATACAAACAGAATGGTTGCCTCCCGCACATGCCCCAACCAGGGCCAGAGGTCAAGCCTGCAACAGAGGCACCTGCCCCTCAACCAGAATCGAACCCAGGATGCTCCATCCACCGAGCCAAACTGGCTAGGGCTCTACATCTTAATAGGAGTGAGGGTTCCATGGGATTTTCCACTCGTCAAAATTGTCCAGTTAAGATTTATCCATTTTAACCTATACAAATTTTACCTTTAAAAAAAAAAAAAAAAATCAAGTATGAGACATGGAGTAGAGAGAGGTAAAGATTAAAAAAAAAAGAGAGAGAGAGAGAGAGAGAATAGCAGATGTTGATACTTGAAACTGGGTGATGTATATGAGAGTTCATCATCCTCTTCTGTTTACTATGCTTATAGTTGAAATTTTCTACAATAAAAAGTTAAGATAAGACCAACAGGTGGAAATAGAACAAGTCTTAAACTAGTCTACAGCTTAACTCCCAGGGATATAGGGAGCGAGTAAGGCAAGATAAAGAAGAGAACAGGTAGCATGCTCTTGGCAGGCCCCGAAGCTCACATGATACAGGATGGCCGAGGAGGCCCCAAAGGCCCGAGTCCACCATGCCCGTCCACACAAGGCCAAGAAACTGTTTGCATGTCCCAGCACAGGCCTAGACTTCTAGGCAGAGACCCACACTGATACATGCAATGTATATAAAGAAATGTTTTATACAAGGAATTAAAACATATTCTACAAAGTTACTTTTTGGGGGACAAGTACCATTTTCCTGAAAGTTGTTTTGTTTTAGAGACAAAGACAAGTCCAGGGAAGAAAGAAAAAACACTGATTTCTGTTCCACTTATTTATGCATTCAGTGGTTGTTGCTTGTATGTGCCCTGACCAGGGATTGAACCCACAACTTTGACATAGCGGGACAACCCTCTAACCCAGTGTTTCCCAAAGTGTGGTACAAGTACCCCCAGGGGTACGGGAAGAGTTTGTTGGGGATATGCACTGCACCGTGCTTAGCTGTGCCTAATTCTACGTTCTCTTGAGTACGAGGGGTACTCAGCGTTACGAAAATTATAGAAGGGGTACACATATGTCAAAAGTTTGAGAAACACTGCAAGTCTAACCAAATGAGCTACCTGGCCAGGGCCATTTGATAGATTTGATTGTTAGTATCTCAATCTTAGGGACTAGACATAAAAGGGAAAATTATATATTAAGAAAACATTCAATATGATTATTTTGAAAGATGAACTACATCAAATCTGCTTACTGAACCAGTTTATAAATAAATTCCAATATCTGTATATACCTCACGTGTCTGCCTACTTCAGGGAAAAGGAACTAAGATCTAGCTGCAGGAAGAGAGTGTTAGTGTCAGCAGATGGTAAAGGAATGGGCGGTGCTCCTAGAGGCAAATAAAGGAAATAGAACATTTTTTCTGATTGAACATCCTCTTACCTTCGGCCCTGATCCAACCGGCCATGAGGGCCCCGAGCAGGAAATCTATTCAGGTGGCTCAGATGAAGTGTGTGGGATGTCTGGAAGAGACTCAGAGCTGCAGAGAGGAAATGGCTGGTGACTCCAAATTCTAAATATCCAACTGCCCTGTCCCTTTGTCTCAGTGCACACAAATACCCACTTCTAGTCACAGAGCAGCAACCTGACAGTTACAAGTCCATTCATCCAGAGTACCCCATAAAACGACACCCCCACATCCATGCCACTGGTACTCACGCTTTTGAGGAAAGAGTGGGGGAATCCGGTGAGGCTGGAAGATCAGCTGGGGCTGAGCTCCCAGAATCCCTTGCTTCTGGCCCAGGGCTGCCACATGTAGAAGGGGAGGTGCTGGGGACTTCAGGAGGGGCTGCAGGGCAGTAACCAGGAAACTCAGGGCATCCCATAGTTAACGTGTCCATCCCCTCAACAAAAGTAAAGCTCGTGCCCAGCTGTCAGGACACAGGGGCTTCCCTCCCTCCCTTTTCCAATGCACGTGACCAGGAGAGAGAAATACCTGATTGGAGAGCGTTTGCACCTTGACAGCATTCCAAGGCACTGCCTGGCCTGGGTTGTATGCAGCCTTCACCAGCACCTTCTCACCCAGCTGGGGCAGCCGGCCCTTCACCACACTGCCAGCACAGAAGCCTAGTCAGGACACCCTGGAAAAGCCACCCTAACTTCCCCAATGAGCCCTTCCCATTGAGATTTCTCGCACCTCGCATAAACACAGGAGAGCAATGGCTTCCAAGGAGCCCCAAGAACATGGTGACAGAACAGAATCGAACAAGCATTTCCAAAAAGACCCAGCCTCAAACCCACCTGAGCTGAAAAAAGACCTCTTCGTCCACCACCCCAAAATAGTCATGCAAGCTGGTGACAATGCCAGTGAAGACCCGCTGCTTCTCCCCGCCCTGTAAGAGAGTGCAGTTAAAACGGAGCATTTACCCACATTCTGCCATTAGCATCTCATCTCCATCTACACACCCGCCCAGCTCAGTCAGAATACTGCATCAAGATTCATAGGGAAGGCCAAAACCGGTCTGGCTCAGTGGATAGAGCATCAGCCTGCGGACTGAAGGGTCCCAGGTTCGATTCCGGTCAAGGGCATGGACATTGGTTGCAGGCACATCCCCAGTGGGGAGTGTGCGGGAGGCAGCTGGTCGATGATTCTCTCTCATCGATGTTTCTAGCTTTTTACCCCTCTCCCTTCCTCTCTGTAAAAAATCAATAAAATAACCGAGACCGGTTTGGCTCAATGGATAGAGCGTCGGCTTGGGGACTGAAGGGTCCCGGGTTCGATTCTGGTCGAGGGCATGTACCCTGGTTGCGGGCATATCCCCAGTAGGGGTTGTGCAAGAGGCAGCTGATCGATGACTCTCTCATCGATGTTTCTAACTATCTCTCTCCCTTCCTCTCTGTATAAAATCAATAAAATATATTTTAAAAAATCAATAAAATATATTTTTTTAAAAAAGATTCATAGGGAGGGAAGCATACAAGTTTGGTGGACATAATCCATCTTTTTGCCTGGGGGTGAATAGGGGTGGGGAGTATGCTGATTCTTGCATCACAAACTTCTAGGATTCCCAGATATTTTATTCCAAGGAGCACCTAGAGATTTAGCCAAAATGTAAGATTCCCCAGTCAGAGGTGTCTAGTCACCCAGGACAGGAGTGCCGGGAAGGAAGAGCACTGTGACGTAAAAAGGAAAGCAGCAGGCACCCACACATGCTGAGCAGTCCCAAGCTCTAGAACTCACTAGAAAGGAGGCCCCACCTACCTGCAGGTGCCTGGCATTCTGGGACAGGTCTGTGGCCACAGGAGGAGTGAGCAAACCAGGAGGAGGACCCAGAAGAGATGTTGAAGCTGTGCCTACGGGGACAGAGAAGCAATCTCCAGCAGCCCCACCTGCCACCCTTAGGCACTCCAGTCCACTGGGGCAGCGAGTTTCCACCTTTTCCATCTCACGACACACACACACAAAGTACTGCAGCACGCCAAAAAATATTTTGCCGAAACCGGTTTGGCTCAGTGGATAGAGTGTAGGTCTGCGGACTCAAGGGTCCCAGGTTCGATTCCGGTCAAGGGCATGTACATTGGCTGCGGGCATATCCCCGGTAGGGGGTGTGCAGGAGGCAGCGGGTCGATGATTCTCTCTCATCGACGTTTCTAACTCTCTATCCCTCTCCCTTCCTCTCTGTAAAAAATCAATAAAATATATTTTAAAATATATATTTTTGTCAAATATATATTTGACACACAAAAAATAGGTATAATTTTTATTCATTCACACCAGATGCTTATTGTCATTTTTTCAATTTTACAAACAATTTTACAATACATTTGGCTGTTGTCATTTTTTCATTTGACAATCTAAGGGAAAAGAGGTCACTGCCCCTGATTACATAGTCAGATATTGCATGTTTTAAAAATCCTGCTGCAGCACACAGGTTGAAAATCGCTAAACAAGAGGATATGGCAAACTCAAAAGGCAAAGTGGCTCCAAGCAACACTTCCACAGGGTTTCGCTGGCAACCACTGTGGGCAGCTCCTATTTCCCTAAGCAACATCAGCAGCAAATTGCACTCCACCAAGGAAAACGCCAAAGCCCTGTTTTTTAAAGATCCAACGCGCATCTTTTCCAGGATGAGCCCCGGTAGGGATAAAGGTGATCACCTGAGAAGTTACGTCCCCCTGGAAGTGGGTTGATCCGCTGACGCTTAAACTGGGACATTAGGATGGCTGTCTTCTTTCAGAGTCTTAGGGGGGGAAAACCTTCAATCAGAAAAGAAATAGATTACCAGCTCATAGGGGAATTTTCCATCAACCCCAACACAGGAATTAAGTATCTTGAGGAGAGTGGGGAGAATGAATGGAGATGGTGGGTGAAAGGGAATATAAAGAGTAGCAGAAAATGAGGGAATTACATTGTTCCAGTTCGTCCTCACAAATAACCTGGCGGTGGGTGATACTGCACGCGGTTTTAAAGAGCAAACTGAAGCTCAGAGATTGACACCTGCCCGAGGCCATACAACCAGGTAGTGACTAAACCGGGACTCACAGCCGGTCACCCGACAATGTATAGCACTCCTCTCACTATGAGGATGGGTGGGGGTTGGGGGGCTGGAAAGAGTCCGGAGACGTTCATTCATTCAAATACATCCGCCAAAATGCTCCACGCAAGGCCCAGAAAAATGAAGGAGGCTGCCGCGAGAGAGAAGAACGTGTGGTCCTCTGCCCGGAAGCCCGGCCCGCGGTCTCTCCCTCCTCCCCCCTCCCCTCCCCGGCCTGGTAGGCAGCACGGTGGCCCGGCTGACCGCGAATCCGGTTGCGCACCCGCCCTCCCGCGCCCGTGTTCCCCGGCCCTTCGCTCCCGCTTCAGGGGCCGCCGGGGCCGGACCTCCCGGGCCGGGTCACAGCCAGGCCACCTCGGAAAGACGGAGGCGCACGGTTTCTCCTCCTCCCGCCCGCCCGCCCGCCCGCCCCCGGGGCCGTGGCCGTTGCCAGGGAGACGGGACTTGCAGTCCAAGGGGGGCTCGGCTTCTTCCACGCCCGAGCATCTTCGCCGCCGGCCCTCGCAGCCCCCCGGTTGGGGGAGGAGCTAAGAGGCAGAAGGGCGGCGGGGGGCCCACCGACCCACCTGCGGGCCAGGGCCGCGACACCGGGGGACAAAGGCACCCGGAACCACCACAGCCGCTGCAGGCGCCGCCACCGGAAGCGCCTCTCCGGAAGCGCGACCACTAGTCGGAAGCTGCCACTCTCCCGGATATAGTCCCTCCCTCCGCTCCACCGACCTCTCCCTTCCCCCACGCGAGCCTGCCGTGGGGCTCCTACGCGGGAGCGGAAGTACGCCTTCCCCTATCGGATGCGCTTTAGGGAATTGCGCCGGGGTGGTGTTCTCGCTTAAGTGTCCCATTAGAAAAATGAGCATCAGAGAATTGGTTCTTGGTCCAAAGACAGCTGAAGATGGGACCCAAACCTAAGGAAGCACCCTACCTGGCCTCATTCTGGCAGACCCTAAGATTGTAGCCAGAAGAGAAGCAAGCCCTTCTGACCAGAGAGGAGGAGTGGCCAATTCTAGGAGACATTCCTAAGTCTGACTCAAGCCAATGACCCCCCTCCCCAACCCTGCCCTTCCACTTAAGGCAACATACACCCACACACTTCCCATTTACCTGCAGATGATTCTCTTCCCCTTTCTCAATTAACAAAGAGCTAGGAATCTAACAAGCTATATAGTAAGACAAACCACTACAATGTTTAGGTAGACATTCTCATGGACTTTATCTTTAGTCCTCACAACAATGCCAGGGGTAATTAAGACAGGAATTAGTGCCATCATTTTCAGATATGAAACCTGAGGCTTCAATGAAATGACTTGCTCATGATCTTGCCACTAATCAATGGTCATTTTAGTCCACATTACAATTCCAGCCCCCGCCCTTGTCCCCTGATCGTCCCATCATCCCTCCAGTCTATCCACTCTCCAGCACCCATACCTTCCCCTTCCATATTCATGAAACATTCACAAAGCTCTTTGAGACAGTTTAATCTTATTTTATCCTCAAAACAAGCCTGTGAGGTAGGTAGGTCAAGTGTCTTTATACCATTTGGGAGATTAAGTGGGAACTATGGCTCAGACAAGTTAAGGGATTTTGTGAAGATGTAAAAGCTAGTATGGGCCTCTGGTTTCAGCTCTCAGGTGTAAAGGCTAATAGGAAGCAAAACACCTAACAAAGCGTACTCTGCTATTCCCCGTTTTCCCTAACCCTCTCATTCCTGGTGCAGTCTTCAGGAACTCTGCTCTAGGAGCAAGACTTAAAGCAAAGACACCCATCTGGTCCTGAGGCTTCCAATACAGGTATACAGAGCAAGGCAGGACTCCAGGAGAAGTAACCGTCCGCTGAGGAATGAAGGTCAGTTCCATTCTTCCGCAGTTACCCCACAGAAGACCAGCCTTTTGAGTGTGTGATTCAGGAGAGATGGTTGAATCCAATCAGTTCACAACAGAGATACGTGTGTATCATGTTGCACACATACACATCTGGACCCCAACAGGTCACCATGCCAAAAGCGCTCCCTGGGTGCCTGATAAATTAGTTCAGGGATTTCTGGCAGCCAGAAGGGCGCCCGGGAGCTGCCACACCTCGGGGTCTCCCAGGGAAGCAGGGCTCCTCTGCCGAGCTGCTCAGAGGAGAAACTCGAGCATCGGCAGCTTTTCCTGGCAGTGCCCAAAAACAGCAATGGGGCCAAAGGCAAAGAAGACCCTCCGGCAGTGTCATGTCCCTGCACCAGGAGGTCTCAGGAGAAAGAAAGGTTTTTTGCTCGTTGCTTCTTCACCACTAACGATGGCATAAAGGTCTTCCTGAGGGGACGACATGGAAGGTCCCTTGACTCAACTCTGTGAAAAAGGAAAGGAGGCCTTGGATTAGGAGAAGGAAGCAAAGGTAACAATGGCCCAGGGTGGATCAGCATTGTGTATCTGCTGTGGGGAGCTGGGGATGATAACTCACACACACACACACACACACACACACACGCACACTAGCAAACATGAAAAGGTGACCTAAGTTTTAGCTTTGGGCATTAAGGACTTGCTGAGATGGCCTAAGGCAGTGGTGGGCAAACTCATTAGTCAACAGAGCCAAATGTCAACAGTGCAACGATTGAAATTTCTTTTGCAAGCCGAAAACAGATTTCTGCGCATGGGCCACAAACTTTCAATTGCACTGTACGTGCACGCCCACACATGGTATTTTATGGAAGAGCCACACTCATGGGGCCAAAGAGCCGCATGTGACTCGAGAGCCACATGAGGCTCTTTGGCCCCTTGAGTGTGGCTCTTTCACAAAATACCACAGCCTAGGCGAGTCTATTTTGAAGAAGTGGCATTAGAAGAAGTTTACGTTTAAAAAAAATTTGGCTCTCAAAAGAAATTTCCATCGTTGTCCTGTTGATATTTGGCTCTGTTGGCTAATGAGTTTGCCGACCGCTGCCCTAAGGAGATCCCCCATACTCTGGGACTGGCTCTGCCACTGATTCATCATGTGGCCTCAGGAAAGCAATCCCCTGCCCTGCCTCAGCCCAGCCTCTTCATCTGTCAATGCGGAGTTTAAACCACTTCCTGTTTCTTCCAGCACCCTCTCCAAGACTGTCTACGTCACTCAGCTGTCATAGGGACAAAGAGAACTATTTGCTGGGCCACGGTACTCACCTGGAAGCAGGGCCATGAGGAGGGGTGGGAGGCTCAGGGTGTTGAGGGCTCTTCCAGCGAATCCGATTGAGAAGGACCTTGATCTTGTTCCAGTGGGAGAGATCCTGCTGAGCAGAGAAGGGGGGGGGGGAGATCATCACAGAGCCCCACCCCACAACATATGCGATACTACCAGAGGCAGTTGTCACGGCAGTCAGAAGTCCCCTGCTCCAAACAGGAGCCCCCTCCTTTTCCCAGAGTTCCTGGCCTTCAGGGTACCCACACAAGCCCACCATCCCCACCTCCGCCTGTCACCTGCCCCACACATACCCATCACCTACTCTGTGACTCTGGGAGGGCTGACAGGTGTGAGCTGGTTGTGCCGGGACTCTGGACAGCCTGAAAGGGTTGGCACTGGGCACCCCTACCATTGGGAGTGAAGCTCTTTCTTCGCCTTCGGAGAGAGAATCAAGTTGCCCAGAGCCAGGACCAGGAACACACCCATCCAGCCCAGGGCTCAGGGGGTCTGCCTGGGGCCCTGGGAGGGAGACACAGTTGACCCATACCTGTCTCCGGAGCCTGGCTGTGCAATTCCCATGACCCCCGAATCTCACTGCCTGAGGCATGAGAGGGTGGAGGTGAAGGAGCCACAGTCAACTCCTCCTCCTCCACGGGGCCCTGCGAACAGGAGAGAAGGGCAGTCAGAGCCTGAGCAGAGGCTGAGGCTGTTCTGAAGGAAGCCCTGGTGCCAGGGGTCCCACCTCTCGTGTGCCTCCCCCACTCATGTGCCCGCCCAACTGCCTGACCACCAGGCTGCTCGCTCACCCCAGGGGGCCTCTGGGTTTGCAGCTGCAGGTGGAGCTGCTGCAGCCTGGCCATCTGCTCCAGCACCAGGCACAGGTGCTCCAGGTAGCGAAGACCCTGTCCGGGAGGGCAGGCCCCGGCTTCAGGCCCCGTGCCCCTCACCTGCAGGGCAGAGTAAGAGAGGGGAGACTTGGACTCAGACAGACTCCCACCCGTGGCAGCCATCAGATGGGAGCAGAACAGGCAGGGAAAGGAGGATCATGCACCCAACTGGCCTCCCAATGCCCAGCCAGCCAGGGTTCCAGGCTAACCTCATACCTGGCCACCTCCACACAGTGAAACAACCCATCATTAGGGACAGAAATGCCCCACCCCGAGAGAGCTCCGGGGAGAACAAATGGGGAGCCCCAGCAGCTCCCCGTGAATGGGCCATCTCTATCCCCTCTCCATCCAGCCTGGGAGTCGGCACTCACCACCTCTGCTTCTTCCAGGCCTGCCTCCAGGTCAGTGTCTGCCGTGGTGGCCCCCTGGTCCCTTGCTCCAAAAGGGGGCACGTCATACTCAGGCCTCCTCGTAGGCGGCAGGGAGCGGCGGTGATATACCAAGCTGGCAGGGGAAGCCGGGAGCCGGCCGGACCGCTCCAGCACCCGCTCTAGCTTCTGGCTGGCCAGCAGCCGGCCCGGGTGGGCAGAAGGCTCCATGGGCAGGGCCGGGGGCTCAGGGCTCCCCACAGGCTCCACGTCCAGGGAGTCCTGGGACAGGCGTGGAGAGGTGGCCCGGGAGCTGTCCCCCACGGCCATCTCCACTCCGGAGCCCAGGAAGGCCAGTTTGAGGAGTGGCACCTGCCTCCGGAGACCTTTCAGCTCGCCATGCCCTTCCCGGGAGTCCAACGATGCCTCTCCGCTGGCGTCCGGAATCCGTCTGTAGGAGCTGGTGACTCCAGGCGCCGCACACCCTCGCGCCAGCCTCTCGCCAGCCCCATCTGCGAGGAGAGTGAATCAGGCCGGGCGGGCTGCCCCGCCCCGGCATTCCAGGCCGCCGAGAGCATTCCGCGGGGAGGCGCGGCCAGGGCCACAGGTGAGGGGCGGGGCCTGACCGACCGCAACCCCGCCCCCCGCGCCGACCACGCCCCGCCCCCTCTCAAGCCCCGCCCACCCCGCCAGCCGGGTCGGGGACACCCTCAGCGGCCCGCCTGCCGCAGGAACGGTTCGTGGCCACCCCAGGGCAGACCCGTGCGCTTGGCTGTGGGGAAGGGTCTCCTCTCACCAGCCCCTGGGACGGCCTGTCTTCCTTTGAGGAGGCGGTACTTCCTCCCGGGGCCCTTGCGCTCCCGGCCTCGGTCTGCCTAGGACCTCCAAGTCCTAAGCGGGGAGCTGAAGCCTCGCCCACTGCTCCCCGAACGGGGTGGTGGGGGGCGGTATGGCTGCGCACCCGCTCAGGGCGAGGGGAAGGGCGCAAGGCCCGAAGCCTGGGCTGCAGACTGGCCCCCGGCGGCTGCTGAGCTCTCCTGGAGCTCGGGGTACAGGGGTACGGCGGCGGGGGAGGGGGGTGATTAATAGCCACCACCACTTGGGACTTCCGTTCCTAGTAAGTGAGAAAGTGAGGACTCTGTGGAGAGTTGAAAAGAAAGGCTTAAACAAAAGAAAGGAAACGGGGGGCGGGAGGAGGCAGGAGGAGAGGTCGCTTTGTCACCCACTGCCACCTGGATGCCCAATGGCTCTGAGATGCAGAAAGTGAGACTGGCGGACGCTGCGCATCCCCCAAGCAGCCCCGCGGGGACGGTGCCAAGCGATGCCCCGGGGCCCGGACAGGGAGAGGGCCACCAAGTCCCCTCCTCGCCCCCCCTCCGGCGGCTGTGGGAAGGGGCGCCGCCGCAGAGGGGCTTCAGGGCCGGGGCCAGCGGAGCGGGACCGGCGCGGGAACCGAGGGGCGGGGCGGGCGCCCACTCTCAGGTTCCCGGTGCGCGGCGGCCACTCGGCCTTCCAGAGGTCGTGCGGGGTGGGGAGGGGCGCAGCCAGGGCTCTGGGATGGCAGCAGGCGCTAGGGCGGGAGGCTCTGGCCGCCTGGGGTGGCGACTCCCCCCGGCCGCCGCCGAGCTCCACGAGCGGCTTCGCTGGAGCGTCCCGACCCGGTGGGCGCGGGCCTCCCCCCCAACCCCCGGCAGCCCCGCGCGCGCGGAGAGGTGGGGCGCGTGGCGCGGCGGAGGAGGGGCGCGGGTGTGCGGGGCGCGGGTGTGCGGGGGGGCGGCGGAGGAGGGGCGCGGGTGTGCGGGGTGTAGGTGTGCGGGGCGCGAGTGTGCGGGGCGCGGGTGTGCGGGGGGGTGGGAGCGGAGGAGGGGCGCAGGTGTGAGGGCGCGGATGTGCGGGGAGGGCGAGGCGGGCGGCCCCAGGGCTGGCGGCGTGCAGGGAGGACCCTGGCCCGCTGTCCCTCCTTCCCTCCTCCCCCCCCCTACCCCCCCCCCCGGCAGCCCGGCGCTCCCGCCCCGGCCCGGAGGGAGCCCCCGCAGGGGTCCGTCTGAGTCGTCTCGCTGGGTCACTCCGTGTCCCAGTCCCCCGCGGAGCCGCCTTCCTGCCGCCCAAACGCAGCGGGCGGCGGGGCCGGGCTGGAGCTCGGGAGGAAGTGGAGCCCATGCGGGCGGGAGGGCCCGCTCGCAACCGTGTGTCTGGAGCAATGACGCCGCCATGGGAACCTGACGGGATCAAATGAGGGAAATGCCGTCTGCCCGGAGGGAACCCCTTTCCTTAAGCTGCAGAGCTCCTGGTCCCACCCCCTTCCTCACCAGGGACCCTAGAGCTGGGACTTCAGGCCTGGGGACCCAGGGAGCTGGGGAGACTGGCGAGCCGCCTGGGGGCGGTGCTCTCCAGGCCCACCCCAGCCCTCTTTTGCCCCCTGGATGCAACACTGTCACCCCACCAACCTCAGGGGGCTGGGAGCCCAGGCGACCGCCGAAGGGAGGCAGCCTGTGACCAGTGGGTGGTGGCCTCTGAGGACACCTGTCCCCCTGAGGACGGTGACCTGGCTGGGGGAATCCCAGCAGGCCCCAGCCCCCTGAAAGCAGGGGAGGAAGCCGGTGGGCAGACAGCAGACGGCAAGCCTGCACCTGAGCCTCCAGGACGCCTGGAGTAGGTGGCTGCTCCCTGGTACGGAGATGTCTGCCCACCTCTTCTGCTCCTTGCTCCTGCCACCCTTTCTCAAACACCCTGTGCAGAAGCCTTCATCAGGGAACCCCTCTGGCCCTATCCTCACCCCATTCCTCTTTCTCACACAGAGGGAAACAGCCCACTGGGCCTGGCAGGAGCTGCTGTATGCAAATCACCACCAAGCCCCAACTTTACCAGCCCCCGGGACTGGGGTGGGAGGTAGGAGGGCTGGCTAGTCAGGCAGGTGGCTTCCTCCCTCCCAACGGGAGAGGGTGGGAGGGGAGGAGGGAGACTTTGCCAGAGCTCACCCTGAACGTGGAGGATGTGGGGCCAAATTCCAAGCAGCAGTCTCCCCGGTGACTCGAGGGCAGGAATGTGTCTGGAACAGGAAGCCAGCCAGCTGGAAGGCGAGGTCTCAGCACAAGGCTTTGTGTGGCCTCGAGAGAACATGCCCCCACATACAACGTACACTCCGCTCCAGACCATGCCAATATGCCATGCCCTCACGGTGCTCATGATGATCGGGATACCTTGGAGGGGGCCGGGGGGAGTATATACACATCCCTCCCATCTGCCTTCTGCTACCCTGACAGGCAGCCCCGTGTCCCCACATGACCGCCTCCACGGTCTCTCCTTCACCCTGACCTCTAGGAGACTCCTCTCCCTGTGAGGGATGCTTAAAGGCATGGGAGGGGCAGACAGCCCACCTGAGGGGTGAGCAGCTATGTTGGCTGAGACAGGTGATAGCCAAGACATGTGGTGGCCAGAGCAGCCACCCCTCAGGCTGAGGCCAGGGGCCTGTAACTGCTCCTCCACCTCCATGGACACTCAGCACTGAGCTAGGCTCTGAGGGACCGCGGGCAAAGCTAAGCGCCTGGAGGCAGCTCCTGCCACACGAGAGATGGCGGGGAGCCGTGGTGACCGCTGTGGCCTGGAAGGCTGCCTCTGGTGATGGAAGGGCAAGACCCCCCCCCCCCCGCCCCGCCTCACCCCTGGACAAGCCAGAAACCGGGAGTCTGCCCCAGGTTCCTTCCCTGGCCCTCTCCCTTTACCAGCTAGGAGCCCTTCCACCAGTTACTCATCCTCCCTGTCCCAGTTTCTTCCCCTATAGAGGAGGATGATACCAGTAACACCCAACTGGGAGGGCTGGAGTTCAAGCACTGAACACCTCCTGGCCCTTGAGAACCATGTAGCTGTGGGACTTTGGGAGTCACTCTCATCTCCCACTGAAGGGGGCTGTGTTCGATACTCTCCTAGGCCACTTCTAGCTCCTCCAATCTGTCATCATTTCTGAAGTTATTCCCCCAAATGCAGAAAAACCCAAAGCAGGCCCTGCACCGGACCAACTGCTGTTGCATAATCGAGTGGTCTCCCCCGGCCTCCTCTGCGGACACATGGGTTTGGCGAGTCACTCCATCTCCCAAAGATGTTTTCTCCCAAGCTCAGGCTGGCCGTGTGGCTGCAGAGAGTTCTGGAACTGCAACCCTCCAGCCCCCGGAGGGAGGGCTGGCGGCCACAGCTGAAGAGATAGACTTTGGCTGGAATCCACCCAGCCCTTAAAGACTTTCGGCCACTCCCAGGCATGTCCATATGCTAGGGTCTCCACTCCTGCAAACTCCGCGGGCCCAGTACGGGCTGTTACAGGCAAGGACCTCACCACATTCCTACTGCAGCCCACCTGTTTCAACTTGTCACTTCCCTGCTTTACATTTGCAGGGTTCCAAGGGCCTCAAGGTGAAGTGTAAACCATTTCTCCTGGCACTCAAGGTTCCTGTCTCCCTTTGCAGTCTTACCCAGCATCCCCTTCAGCCACTGCCCTAAACGGAGCATCCCCCTGGCACGCACCCCCATCACTCAGCATTTCTCTCCTCCACCGGTCCAAGTCCTGGCCATCCTTCCTGCACGCAGACGGCCCCTGCTCTGGACTCACAGGAGCCCCTGTGGGTTCCACATTCTCTCTCTCTCTCTTTTTTTTAAATATATATTTTATTGATTTCTTACAGAGAGGAAGAGAGAGAGACAGAGAGAAACATTGATGAGAGAGAATCATCGACCAGCTGCCTCTTGCACACCCTCACTGGGGATGTGCCCGCAACCAAGGTACATGCCCTCGACCGGAATCGAACCCGGGACCTTTCAGTCCGCAGGCTGACGCTCTATCCACTGAGCCAAACCGGTTTCGGCTCCACATTCTCTCTTAAGCGCTTGTCGTCACGCAGCATTATTTCATTCATGCCGCTCAGTTGCTGCCACTTGGCGGTTACCTTCAGGAAAGCAGGAAAAATGCTACATCTTTCTATAGTCCCACTTGGCCAGAACCCAAGTGTTTCCCAGAGGGGTGAATTCTCCTTCTGTGAGTCTTCCCCCTGCCCCGGGCTACACCGGACACTAAGGTGGCTCCCCAATGGGGATCCCATTTCAGACCAGACCTGCTCTTGGGGCCCCAGAAAGAAAGCCTGGATCTTTCCTGTGAATATCGAGGCAGCGATCCAGGTAAAAGTTGAGACAATTCTATCAAGGTGTAAATTATATCAACAGGTGCCTGAGGAGGCAACACGGTCTCTGCCAAGATTCCTTCCCAAAAGAGCCAGATGGCACGCAGCACGCTCTGAAGCCCAGCTTTGATCTTTCCGGTGAGAATAGAGCGGAGGCTGCGCCCATCCCTAGGGCTGGACGGGGGCAGGTGAGTCTGACGCAGCCAGCAGCACCCGCGAGCCTCTCCGAAATGTCCTCTGGGAACAGAACAAGGCGGAGGGGGAGGGCCATCGCCCAAGCCAAACACCTGGCAGGGACCCCTGTCCCTGCCCCAGACATGCTGGCACTGGCCATGCACTTTACATGCACTCCCAGGGAAAGGGGTGGCAGGCGGGCTCTGGCTTGGAGGTGCGGCCCTTGGAGGGTGGTGGTCCCTCAGGATGGGGCTCTGCTGGGGTGTCCCCTCCAGGCAAAGCTAACCTCCTGTCCCCAATGGCTCTGGTGATTTCTCTCTCTGGTGGCTGCAGACAGCCTTAGAGGATGCAGGAGGTACTTTGGACCGTACCCCTCTCTGCCCACCCTCTGGGTGGGTCGACAGGACTGGCAGCCTCCACAGCAAAGGGCACAGAGAGCACCAGCCCGGCCAGTGGTGGCAGAGCAGGGGACGGCACAGAATGGGCCTGGCAGAATGAGCCTGGGGCTGCCTCCTGTGCCTCTGCTGCCCACCCCCCAGCATCCCCTCCCCTCCCCAGGCTCCCAGGAAGAAACCCATTCCTGTAAACCAGCAGGGACCATCCGGTAAAACAGGCATCTTTACACAGGGGTCCAGGAAGAGCAGGAACCCCAGCTTCATCAGCGGGCAGGACAAGGGGTGGAGGGAGGGGAAGTGTGTGAATAAAGCCCCTTCTCCCAGCGGGAGGGAGAAGCTAGGGAGGAGGGGCCAGGAAGGAGGGGCAGCCCCTTTATTTCGTCCCCGTGTATGTATATATATTTATTGAGCTTCCGTGTCAGAAACTTTGCACCGTGAATACCTCTAGCCTGTGCCCCACCCCCTTCTCCTAGATATTGATCCGCACGACCTGCCTGCCTGACCCCTGCTACACCATGCTAGCTGATGCAATGTCCGCAGCGGAGACTGGTGCAGAGGCACCCAGCAGGGGGGAGTGAGGGAATCTAGCAAAAGCCTGGGAGGATGAGACAGGCCAGCCTCAGGCCTCACCCAGTGAGGAGGAAGGGGCCTGTCGCCCACCATCGCCCTTCCGTGCCAACTGGCTGCTGGCATGGCCCTGGCGCAGAGGGGCCCGCGGAGTCCGGGCCAGCCGGTGCTCAGGCCTGGGAGGCGAGGGCTTTGGGCGCCGAGTACCGCTGGCGGGCATGCTTCTCGCAGTACAGCTCGTCCCCCACCCAGAAGTGCCCGCGCATCTTCAGGTTCAGCCCGCAGTCTGCGCAGGTGTAGCAGCCGGGGTGGCGGTACCGCCCCTCCTGGATGCGCACCGCCTGGTTCCTGTGGGGGGAGGGGGGGAGGGGGCGGAAAGCCAGGCGTTAGCCGGGGGCGGATGGAGAGCCGGAAACCGGAGCACCCGGCATGATGCTCCCCAGAGCCCAGGGGCGGGACCTGGGAAGATCCCCAAGTCTCAGAGACTCGACCCCCCACGCCTGCCCTCAGGAATCTCACGTCAACAGCCCCCAGCCCCAGAACTCTAATAATAATAATAATGATAGCCAAAACCGGTTTGGCTCAGTGGATGGAGCTGGCCTACGGACTGAAAGGTCCCAGGTTCGATTCCGGTCAAGGGCATGTACCTTGGTTGTAGGCACATCCCCTGTGGGGGGGGGTGCAGGAGGCAGCTGGTCCATGTTTCTCTCTCATCGATGTTTCTAACTCTCTATTCCTCTCTCTTCCTCTCTGTAAAAAAAAAAAAAATCAATAAAATGTATATATATATATATTTAAGAAATAATAATAATGATAAAAGTCATTCCTCCCCCACAAAAGGCAGGTAAACACCCTGAATCTCCTGGGTTGTTAACGGAGCAGTGGTTCTCAATGTGTGGTCCCCGGTGCCAGGCTGGAGACAGGCTGGCTGGCAGGCGCTGGGGCCAGGGCCCTGCTGAAGAGGACACTAAGATGCGGGCCCAGCAGTGTTGCCACAAGCCCGGGGCCCGGGCAGCTCCCCGGCACGGGCACAGCCCCCCCCATCAGTGCCGCTGGCTCTCCCATGCTGCAGATGGAGCACCGAGGCCCAGGGAGCGGACGGGATCCGCCTGGTGAGGCATCTGCCCTCGTGCTGTGTGTGGAACCACTTTTTCCGGGGGAGCCTTCCCGCGGTTTTCCGGAGACTGTGGCTGCACGGTCATGCCACCCAGTGAGAAAAAACGAACCTGCCTCTGGAAAACTCGTCCTGTTCCGACGGAGGTACAGGAGGGGAAGAGCAAGATCTCCCAGGAGGAGGCTCCGCACCCAGAGGCAGATCCCCAGGGGCGGGAAGATCGGGGAGATAACCAAAAGCTGTAGCACGTCATCCTCCACCTTCGAGGGAGGAAATCCGGGAGGAGCCGGAACAGCGGGACTAAGCCAGCCTGGGCCTCCAGCGAAGGCTGATAATGACCGTGGAATGGCTGAAGGCCCCACTTGTCACCGAGCCCTCCGGGGCCCCTCCCCTCCGGTGGCTCTGTGCAGCCCCGCGGGGAAGCACCCTGTGCCCTGCCCCCTGCCCCCCTCCCAGGCGGCCAGACTCACGCGATGGTGCTGCTGCACTTCTCACACGTGTGGAGCTTGGGCGGGGTGGCCGGGGCCCGGGGGGTGGGCAGCGAGGACTGGGGGCTCAGGGAGCTGGGCAGGAAGGCAGGTGTGCCACCTGGAGGGGGAGGGCAGACAGACGCATCAGAGCGGGCCCACCGCGGCGGCAGGCTGTTTACACGCACGCTGCCTGCTCCGACACGCTCTCCCAGGCGGGCCGGCCGCCCGGGTGGCACCGGGCTGAGCGTGGGGCGAGCGTGGGGCGTGGAGGGAGGAAGCGATCCTGCTAGATCCTTAGGCCGAGGCTGGGCGAGTGCAGGAAGCACACTGGGGGCCGTCTGCCCAAGCTTGGGAGCAGGCTGGGCGTGTCTGCGCAGTGTCTGACACAGCAGGCCCGGCAGACGGCTCCCTTCTGGGGCCCAGTCGGTCGTGATGATGTTACTGGGCAGTAAAATGGGCAATAACCTTTGTAGCTTTCAAAGGGCTCTTACGTGCATTATTGCCTCTGAACTTTGGACGACGCTCAGAGGAAGCACGGATGACACCAGGAGGCAGGGACGGTCCCCATTTGCAGCTGATGCCACGGAGACTCCCAGTGTGATGTCACCACCCATCTGCTCTCGCCTCACCCACTGCCTCTCCCTGGCCCCCTCCAACCGGGGGTGCCCACCGAGGCCTCAGGGTCACAATGGACAACACTGGCTCCAGCCCCAACCGGTTTGGCTCAGTGGAGAAAGCATTAGCCTGCGGACTAAAGGGTCCTGGGTTCAATTCCGGTCAAGGGCATGTACCTTGGTTGCGGGCACATCCCCAGTAGGAGGTGTGCAGGAGGCAGCTGGTCCATGTTTCTCTCTCACTGATGTTTCTAACTCTATCCCTCTCCCTTCCTCTCTGTAAAAAATCAACAAAATATATATTTTTTAAAAACACAACTGGCTCCAAACCTCCCCACCCCAGCCCCGCCTCTGTGAACAGCCCTAGGAACCAGACATCAGAGCTGGGAACAGGCACCAGGTTTTCGTGATCCTGCCACTCACATGCATCTCCGGACGGGCCCATCCCCATCTCTCCCCTGACGCAGGGCAGTGGTCCCTCCACAGCAGCCCCCCGTTCCTGGGAGCTAGGCGGGCCCCCATAAACAGAGCTCCCCATGGACAGACATGGGCCCTGACCACCTTTCCCCTCCACACTCGCACAGGGCCGTTCCCTGGGGGCTCCGGCAGCTTCCGGCAGGAACCGGATTGTCCGAACTGCTCCCTCCGGCCCGTCAGGCACTGCCCGCATTCATTACCTACCGGCCCTCCTGGGTCAGGCCACCCCTAAGCCTGATACTGGAGGCCTCACAGCCCGGGCTTCCCAGCCAGGGCCACCTCCCTGCTGCCCGGCCGCTGCCCTCTGTCCTCTGCTCCCACAGCCAGCAGCTCCCGGCCGCCAGCCCCACATCCCACAGCTGAAGGCTGGTTGGTGAAGGCTTCCTCTTTCTTCAGGGACCACCTCAAATCCCTCTTCCTCCGCGAAGCCCTCCCTGGAGACCCTGCTACCCAACTCTGCTGTTCCCTTGGCAGCTTCCTGACCCCAGCGGGGCCTCGGAGGGCACCCTGGCCACCCCCAGACTGCAAGGTCCTTCAGTGCAGGATCCGTGGTCTCCGTGCCCCTCGGTGCCCACCCCCCGGTGAGCACTTAATTACTAGGCAATAAGATGTCCACCCAGGGCCCAGGGGTGTCCTGGGGCAGCTACTACCCCTCCCAAACCACTGCCCCACCGTGTCCCACCCATCCCCCTGCCCCTCTGCCCCCCCCGCACCCCCCCTGCCTACCTCTCTCCTCAGCCTCCAGGACTTCCTGCAGGAACCTGAAGGAGCTGGACTGCCGGGGGGCCGCCCGCCCCTCACGGTTCTCCTGCAGCATCTTGAAGACCTCTGAGTCCTCTCGCAGGGGGTGGCTTCCCCTCTCCGAATTCATACTGTGGGGAGGGGAGGCAGCCAAGAGTGAGGTCCAGTCCGGGTGTCAGGACAAGCATGGGGCAGGGAATGGTGTCCCAGGGCGGGGGGGGGGGGGAGGGCAGGGAATGGTGTCCCAGGGCGGGGGGGGGGGAGGGCAGGGAATGGTGTCCCAGGGCGGGGGGGGGGATTCTGGGGGCCGGAAGAATGCTGCCTGGACATAGAGAGATGGGGACCCCTCCATCCCTCTCTAGGAAGCCAGTCAGTCCCTTCTAGTCCTCCAAGATCCCACCCTCCCCCCAAGGCCCACTGGTACCTGAGTTGGGGGCTGGAGGGCCGGGGGCCCGGGGAAGGCGGCAGCACCCGCACCGCCGAGTCGCCAGCGCGGCCGAGGCCGGCCTGTGGGAAGGAGAGGCACCGGGGAGGAGTCAGCGCGGGAGCTCCGGCCGGCACACTCATCGCCGCCAAGGCCGCTGTTCCCAGGCCGGACACCAGAGGGCCCCCGCCCTGTCCCCTCCGTGGGAGCCCCTGTTCCTGCGGCCCAGAGGGGAGGGAGGCAGCACCCGCTATGGAGGTGTGAGGGCGCTGCACGGGGACTGGGGGGGGGGGGGGGGCGGGGAGGGCAGAATAAAGACAGGGGTGACAGCTAGATTCAGACAAAATGCAAATTCCTCTGTTATCTCTGGCCATGTGTTTGGAAAGATGCTTCATGTTGGGGCCTGTCTCGCTGACAGAAGCAGCAGAGAGCCAGCCGGCTGCCCCGGGGGAAAAGGCAGCATAGAGGGAGGAGGGGCGAGGCCAAGACCCTCTGGGTGGCAGGGCTGGAGCTGCACAAAGGACTCTCCCCACCGCACTGGTGCCCTTCAGAGGGCCAGGGTCCGGGCCCACCGCCTCTCCAGGCCGCCCTGGGAGGTCTGGTCCCACCCCTGGCAGCCTGGGGAGCCAGGGGGGCTCTGGGCCCACAGCCCAGCAACAGTGCCCCCCCTCCCCAGTGTGCGCCGTCCACCTTGGCCCTTACACCTGCTCTCCATGCGGCACCTCCCCCCACTCCGCTGTCCTGCTCCCCCCCTCCCCCCCCCCCGTCCCCATGCAGAGGAGAGACTGAGGCCCCGCTGGGCAGCCCTGCCAGAGCACCGTTTCCTGGAAAGCCCAATCCCCTCTGTCTTAAAACTCCAAGTCAGGGATGAGCTGTGGGGCTGAGTGAAAAGCCTGCACGAGGTCCTAAGCTAAAGGGGAAAACATCAGAGTCTTGAGAAGACAGCCCTGGACCCTCCCCCTGCCTCTCCCACCAGCCATCGTTCCTCTGCCCGCAAGCCTCTGGCCCGCAGGCGAGGACCCTGAGCTCAGAAGGGCAGCAGCTGGCACCGGAGGCAGGGCTGGGCGTCCACAGCCCTGACCCTGAGCGCCCAGCTGGTGCTGGGGGTGGACAGAGGACGGAGAGGAAATGTCCTCAGGAATGACGTCCAGCACCAGCCAGTTACTCAGGAGTGATGTCCCCTCTCGCTGTTTCAGGCAGGCCAGGCCGGCACATGCCCTGCACGGGAGCGTGGGGGGTGGGGGGAATGGGTGGGAAGAGGGGGAAGGGGGGAGGGACACTGGCCAGTGCGAGGGAGGGCTGCAATCTGGCCCCCAAGCCCTCATGCCAGTCAGAGGGAGAGGTGCCGTTTTCACTTCACCTCTGCTCACCAAGGCTTTTGCCTCCAGGAAGGGCGGAAGGAAGGGCAACCTCCAGTTTCCAGAAGGTCACCGTGAGGGCCGGTGTCAGCCCGCTCAGGAGCCCGCAGCAATGCCACTGCAGCCACGGCAACCGGTGACCTCTACCCCCTCCCTCCTCCCTCCTGGTGGCGAGGCACCCAGCTCCCTCCCTCAGGGCCACGGCCTTCCTCTTCCCTCTTCCTGTCAGCGCAGGGCGGGCCACCTGTCTCCCCAGAGGCGGCCGTTCCCCTCCGAGTCCAGCAAGCCCGCGCATCTGCCCCTCGGATGGGAGCCGTGTGCGGCCAGCACCTCTCAAACGCGCTCTGGGTGACACGAGATGTGACTGCGGGAGTGGCGGGAAGGAGGGCCACGGGTTTAGGAAGCTGAACGTGCCTCTCTCCTAGGACCTCAGTGCTTTCTTTAAGGTGCTACTGTGCACGGGGACACCCACGAGGGAGCTGAGGGGCTCGGGGAAGCCCGCACCATCTGGTTCGTGTCACTTGCCCACCAGAACGCAAGCGTCGCTGGGTCAGGAGTTTCTGTTTTTCCGCCCCTGTTTCCCCTGAGCCCAGAACCGTGCCTGACACAGGGCAGCTGCTCGGTAAGAATCTGCTGACGGAATGAATGACGGGGCCTCGGGTCAGAGAGAGGAAGGGCGCTCATTCAAGGTTACACAGTGGAGGTAGGACTCGCCTTCCTGCCACCTCTGCCTGCCACCAGCCCAGGCTCCTCCCTACATGACTGGTGCCACCGGGGAGGCCCTCAAAGGGCTCCTTCCAACAGATGGACGTCCCACCCCCTGCCTGTGTCTGACTCAGTCCGTCTAGGCTGCAGCCTGAGAATGTTCGCTTCTAACAAGTTCCAAGGTCCGGCCCCGCTGGTTTAAGAGCCACTCCTTGTGCCACCCAAATGCCCCGTTGGCCTGGGTCGGGGGCACCACGGGAAGGAGGCCAGAATGGGCCAGCGCTCTCCGGCCACGGCCTAGGACAGGGGTCGGCAAACTCATCAGTCCACAGAGCCAAATACCAACAGGACCACCATTGAAATTTCTTGGGAGAGCCCAATTTTTTAAACTTCAACTTCTTCTAAGGCCACTTCTTCAAAATAGACTCGCCCCCGCCGTGGTAGTTTGTGGAAGAGCCACACTCAAGGGGCCAAAGAGCCGCATGTGGCTCGAGAGCCACAGTTTGCGGACCACGGGCCCAGGACAAGCTTGTCCCACTGCTCATCCGCTTCTAACCTAAACCCTATTGGTCCGACCGCCCGACCCTCCAGCAAAAGCCCCGACAAAGCCTTCCGAGGCCTCCCCAGTCCACACTCCTCTCCCGCTCCCAGAGGCTCCTGCTTTTCTAATTAAGACCATACTGTTTGGTGCTTAATTGTTCCAAAGCCGTTTCGCATGTTTGTCTTATCTCCACAGCGACATTCAAACTGTTTAAAGGAGGGCATCTCACGGGACATGTCGAGATGCCCACAGGCCTGGCGGGCCACAGGGCAGGCCCACAGCCCGTGGCCAGGGACCCCAATGCGGCCCCCAGAGGACCCCCTTCCTTCTCCAGAGCCCCGGGTCTCTAGAACCCTCCCCTAGCCACCCCCAAGGCTCTGCTTTCTGGAATGCAGATCAACCAGAGTCCGGATTCCGGCAGCTGGGCCTCATCCCCTTCACCCCCATGGCTGGATGTGCCCCACCCCCCCAACTCTGCCCCCCAGCAGCTGTGGCCCAGAGCAGTTGGCTGGCTCACTCCCTCACCTCTCCCGGCCCTTAGAGAGGAGAAATACCACCAAGGGGGGCTGGGCTGTCACTGGTGGACAGAGGGACCTGGGGGGGAGCCCCCCCGGGAAGGAAGGCAGGGTGGGGCCAAGTGCGACTTCAAGCAGAACCACAGTCCCATGGTGGTTCCCTGGGCTGGGGTGGCGGAGTGGGGGCAGGCACGGGGCTGGAATGGGGAGGAATGTGTCCAAGGGATGCAGCCAGAGCCAAAGGGAACCATCCCAACAACAGCAGCGAAACTATGTCAGTCCCAGCCCAAGAGAAACACTCAGGAAGGGAGGAAGCCGCGGGAGGCAGGGAGGCGGCAGCGAGGGGCGGGAGGTGGTGGGAGGCCACCTGGACCAGCGAGGCAGAGCCCGGACAGCCAATGCGACCTGCCAGCAGAGAGGATGGCCTCCTGGCTCCGGAGAGGGGTGTGTCTGCTGCTGGGAGTCAGAGGCCCGCTGCCCAGGTGGGACTGACCACCTGCAACCCCCGGGGCACCAGTGACAACCAGTGGGTCTGGGAGCTCGCTGCCCCCTCCGCTGTACCCTCACCTGGCGGCTTCTGGGGTGTCCTCCATAGGAGGGGCGGTCGGCAGCAGTGAGTCCTGGGTTGTGTGCCAGGCTCTGGAAACTGAACAGGGAAATGCACAGTGTGTGTGCCAGGGCCCCTCCCCTCCAGACTGCCCCAGGGAAACAGGGTACCCCAGAGCCCCCTGGACACAGCTCCTGAGACAGAGAGGCCTGGCCGGGGCCTGGCAGCGGGATGCCCACCCCCTGCGCTCACCTTCGGCTGCTCGCTGCCGCCGCCTCTCCAGTGAGGGCCTGCGGGCTGGAGGGGGCCTGGGAGGAGGAGGGGCTGCCTGGCTGGGGGCTGAGGGAGGCTGGGCTGGAACAGGAGGACCGCAGGGAGGACTGGCCATCAGCGTGTGTCCTCACCGAGCCCTGTGGAGAAGGGGCTGTGAAGAGAGGTCCGCCCATCCCCCGGACCCTGTCCCTCAGGCCTTCCCTCACTTCCAGGGGCTGGGGCTCCAGGCCCAAGGCACCATCCTACCTGGAAGCGCGTGGCCAGCACCTCCAGGGAGCTTTCCCCGTTGGCCTGCCCGGGAGAGGCAGCCCGGGACCTGCGGAGGAGAGAGAGGGCAGTGTCACGGGGGTCCTGGAACCTGCTTAGCTGGGAGGGGCTGGAGATGGCAGGGGCCCCACACCAGGCTCTCGAGACGAGTAAACTGTCCAAGGCATTCATTCAGACAGCGGTTTGTCAACTTTCAACTGGGCCAAGTTCAAAACCGGTAACTACTGTCATCACCCACCGTTGTTTCTTAAAGGACAGTTCAGCACCAAAGAGTAGAAAGGAGTAATTTCAGCAAAAACTTGCATAAATTCAACGTTATTTTAAAAACAACTCCTCACACTATGCCTGTCTTTTTATTTATTTATTTTGGATTTTATCCAAACTTTGTCTCTGATCAATTTGCATCCATTTGCAGATCAATTTGCGGGGACATTGCTGACGTTATAAAAGAACCCTGTATCTTTGGCCTTGGAGAACCTGACACCAGAGAGAGAGAGAGTCGCCCAAAGCCCTAAGCCCAGCAGTGGCTGGGCCAGCTGCCCGCTGTCCCCAACCAGAGGCCTGTCCCTCACAGCTCTGCACTGAGGACGCCTCTGAGAGTCTGTCCTGGTCCCTTCCACAGGCTCCTCCTCTGTAAAGCAGGGGTGGGGCTGGCCCCCTTCCTGCCAGGCAGGCAGCTGCATGACCCGCAGACCGGCTCCCCAGCCAGTCCCCCAGGCAGTCAGCCAGGGGCTCTCCCTAAGCCCCCCAGCACTGTCCTCCAAAGCTCTTCCCTATAGAACCAGCCGGAGCCTGAGAGACGCCGCAGAGGGCTGAGGGCTGGCCGAGAAGCACCTGCCAGGACCCATCTCCACGGCACCATTCCTGCCGTCTGGCCACTTCCAGAGGGGTCAGCAGGAACCTCAGTCACTCACACCCCATCAGCCTCAGCCTCCGGCGGCAGCGGGTGGGGGAGGGGGGGTACGGCTGTGACGTCAGAGTGAGGGGAGCTTGGGTTGAAGCTCTAGCCCAGAGCGCTGCTTCCTGCCACAGGGCTTTGAGTGCCTGAAAGGTCATGGGGAGTGGGGAGGGGGGTGTTTACGGAGGATTAAGAGAGGGCTGGGGGGGGGGGGAGAGAAAAAAGAGAACCTTGACCCCCTCCCCCCAACATGGAGCTGGAGGCCTGGGGGTACTCAGCCAGGCCCACCTCCCTGAGGAAGTGATGGTGTCAGCAGCTCCCTGCCCCTCCCCCGCCCCACTCCGCAGCCTCTTGTAGATTTTGGTCCCCTTCCCAGATGCCAGGAGGTACTCCTCACCCTCCTCCTCCTTTGGTCCCACTCCTGCAACACTCTTAGGCCAGAGGAGCAAGGAGGAGTCACTGGAGGGGCTGGGCTGCCCAGGGCATTGTGGGAGCCAGTTTCTACAGCCTGTGGGGCGGGAGGGCCAGGAGAGGACATGGGGTCAGGGCGCAGGGAGAGCCTCACAGGGCAGAAGGAAGAACCTGACTCAGGTTCAAGGCCCTCCCGAAGGGCTCTCTTGGCTGGGGGAATCTCCCAGGATTCCTTTCCGGTGACTCACCACGATGCCCCATCTTGGGGAACCACCTGTCCCCCCCCTTTCCCCAATCCAGGGCTGCAGGCTGCAAAGCCCACTAGCCGGAAATCGGCCTTCACCAGCGAGGCCTTGAGAAGCAATGGAGGGAGGGACAGAGAGGCTCTGGGGGGGCAATGGGAGGGGGAGTGAACCACCAAACTCCTCCCCTCCCACCCCCCAGCCCTACCTGAACAATGGTCATGACCTCTTGGAGGCAAAGGCCCCAGAGACCCAGCCTAAGGCACACCTTTCCCTCTCCAACCCACTTCATGCCCACGCCCCGAGCCCACACACTCGGGAACCAGTCAAACCCGGGCATCCAGGTGGCTGATGCCAGCCTGCCCTACCTGTGGCTACACGCCCAGCCAGGCACAGGGACACCCCTCGGCCCACCCTGCCGCAGGCCTGCAGGCCAGGAGCCCGGGACCTTCTCACCGAGGAGCTGAAAGGGCAGGGCCGGGGAGGCGGCCCGGCGGGTGCTGGCAGCGGGAGGAGAAAGCTGGTAGGCCCAGCAGGGGCGGGAGCCTACCGGTCCAGCTGCAGCCGCAGGGGTGAGGGGCTCTGGCGGATCTTGCTCTGGGCCTCGGCGTGGAGCATGCCCTGTGCGTTCTCCCCGTTGATGGCCAGGATAATGTCGCCAGGCCGGAGGTCAGCTGCCTCGGCCTTGCCCCGCTCCGTTACCTGCAGGGGGTGAGGGGCGGGGAGTCTGAGGGCGGCGAGGGGAGGGCATTCCCCTCTGTCCTGCCCGAGAAACACAGACGCTGGTTCAGACCAGGCTGACCTGTGTCCCCCTTTACGATCTCTCTCCCTGCCCTTGGGTATCTGCCCAGCTCATCCGCTAATGCCCCCCCGAAGCCAGAGTGGCCGCCCCCTCTCTCCAAAGAGTATCTTATGACAGAATTTCAGAGCTGTGCTCCCAGACAGAGCCCGGCCAGTGCAAACCGTGACATGTTGGTGACTGCCGGCCGGCAGGCCAGCCCCCAGTGTGAATGCTGCCTGGCCCCACCTGGGTCAAGGTGAAACTGCCAGGATCTGGGGGGCTCCAGTTCTCATCACCACCTGAAGGGGCTACCAACAGGGATGGGGTTGGCAGCCAGCAGGCTCCTCGGCCCAGCTCCCTTTCACTCCCCGAAAGCCTGCTCCTGACCTGGCTACCACATCCCCATGGCAACAGGGTCCCGGTCCTCCCCGGACCAGCACCCCCAAAGCAGACCTCTGGTTCCAGAACAAAAAGAAAGGAAGGTGTCCGTGGGGCCCGGGCAAACAGAGCCGACGCCCCGTGGGGATGGGGTCCCCTCCTCGCCTCCCGGGCCCAGCCCTTACCTTGGTCACCATGATGGGCGTGTGGAAGTCCCTGCCCCCAGTGATCCGGAAGCCCCAGGGCGCTGGCCCCATGACGTCCACCGTCAGCACCATGCCTGAGGGAGAGGAGAGAGAGGGGGAGCCTGACCCTGGACCCCCGAGGACAGCAGGGGAGGAGGAGGAGGTGACAGGCCCAGGAGCAGCCAGTCAGGGCAGGGGGTGGGGGTGGAGGAAGTGACCAACTCCCTCCTCCCTCCCCCTCCAGTTGCACTTCCCCCCACCCACGGGGGAAGCTGTGACTCCAGTTCCCCTTCACCGTGCTCAGCAGGGCCTCTCTAGGGAGGCAGGCATCAGGGTGCCCGAGCGGGGTTTGCTGGGGAGCAAGCAGGTGGCAGGGGATGTGGGCATTTCCTCCTCTCCCCTCCTCCACACCCGGGCTCAGCCCCACTAGTGCTTCCTGTCCCCCAAACCCACAGCAAGGTACTTCCTCCCGCTCGGGGGGAGGGCAGCGCTGCGGGAACAGGGTGACAGCAGGGAGCGGGCGGTGCCCCCGGCGTGTCCCAGGTGAGGCCAGGGTCCTCAGAGCAGCCTCAGGCCACCTGCCCGCCCTTAGCAATGTGGTCCAGCTAGGCAAGCCTGGGCTTCGTACCTCCCCCAGGGCCCAGTGCGCTCTGAACAGCCCCAAAGAAGGGCAAACTCAGCCGCCACGCTGGGAGCACCACGCCCTGGTGCTGGCCAGCAGGGTGAGCTGACGGATGCTGCTGCCTCTGAGGTGGGGCCCAGGCCTCCCATCCTCTGCCCTCTCCGCTGGGCAGGGGAGTGTCCTTGCAGACCGGGCCCTGGTAGGATTTCCGGAGCCTGTAGGTCTGGAGTCAGGAGCCAACCCAGGCAGAAAGCTGCAGCGCCAGCCTGGGCACCACCCTGCCCAGCACCCACCCTGGAGCGGCCCCTGGGGAGGCCCAGAGACGGCGAGGGCTGCCCAGGTCTATCCACGGGCACCGGGGCCACCTCCCCGCCCTGGCCATGGGGGCAGCCTGCCCTCCTCCTGGCCTGTGGCCTCCTCCTCCCTCAGGCTGAGCTCCTGGCCCGCCCCAGGACAGAGGGACATGCACAGCCCAGGAGGCCGCCAGGGGCCCCGATCCCCGGACCTTTGAGCTGGTCCCTGGACTCCGCGCCCGGCGCAGCCCGGAGGTGCCCAGCCGCAGCCCGTCCGCCCGGCGGCGCCCTCTGCGCCCTGAAACCCAAGTCCCCGGCCCCGGGGGCCGGAGGGCCAGCGCCGGGGCCAGGAAGCCCAGCCAGCGGGGGGTAGGGGTGGTGGGGGAGGGTGAAGGGGGCTGCGGAGAGGGGCTGGGGGCGCAGAGCCCGGGAGAGCCGGATCCGGGGGCCGCGGGCCGGCGCAGGTGGGCGCTCCCGGGCCCCGCTCACCTGTCGGGCGGGGCGGCCGGTCCGGGAGGCGAGGGAGGGAGGGAGGGAGGGCGAGGAGACGCCGCGGCTCCCGCTGCCGCCGCCGCCGCTGCCCGGCTCTGCGGAGAGCCGCCCGGGGCCCGGGACCTGCCTCCGCCCATGTGATCGGGGCCGCCCCTGCCGCCGCCCCGGCCGGGAAGCCGCCTCCTCCGCGCAGCCCGGCCCGGCGCTGCCGCGGGTCCGCCCCGCGGGGCGCGGGGGGGTGTCGGGGTGACTCTCCCCGGAGGGCGCTGAGAGGCTGGGGCTGCTCCCCGAGGGGCTGCCCCCCGCCCCCGCCAGCAGGAGGTTGCTCCGACCGCTGAGCCTCCCGGCCCTGCCCCGCCCCCTCCAGAGGGCCCGAGGGCCCGGGCGGGGAGGGCCGGCCAGTCCGTCTGCGGTCCGCCGGCCCTTCCGCCGCTGCGGGCTCCCACGCCCGCGCAGAGGCGGCCCGAACCCACAGCTCCGAGCGAGGGCCGCCCGCCCCTTCCCACCCCCCACCACCCCGAGGCCGGAGCCCGCGGGGGGCAGCGGCGCCAAGCTGCGCGCTGGGGGCTTCCCGGTCCGGGAGGAGATGGAGACTCCGGACGGAGGGCACCCGCTCCCTCCTGGGCTGTGCCTGTCCCTCCGTCTTCTGGGCGGACGCCTCTTCCATGCCCACTGCCCTCGCTCTCTTGCTGTCCTGCCTGGCGCTGGCCAGCCCCCCATACCCCCATTGGCCCTCGCCCCCCACGCACCAGCCCTCTGCCGACCACCTGGAAGCCAGGCTCCAGCAATCAGGAGAGGACAGCCAAGGAGAGCCCCCGGGCACCAGCTCAGAACCATCTGGCCAATGGCTCCCCAGAGTCAAACCTGGCAACCTCTCCCTGGGCCCTCAGGGCTCACCAGATGCTGGCTTCCTGCCCCCAGAACTAACTCCATCTCCCCCGCCCCCACCCCGGAGGTCTCCACGTCGCACTTTCTCTGGCAGACAGGCTGGTCTGTTTTCAGGGCGGGAGGGGGCACACCTGTGGGCACAGCTGTACCTTGTCTGCCTCATGTCGTCATTCCCTCCCAGTTCCCTTTGCAAGGACTGCCCTCCCCCTCCCCGCCCCACGCCCTGGGTCTCTGGCCTTCTGCACACACAGCCCAGCTGCCTCCTGCCTGCTACCTCCCCAGTCCTTAGCCTCCCACAGCCCGTCCTCCCTGTGGGTCAGCCACGCTCCCACTAACTGCTCCCATGCCTAGTAAGGTGTGTGCTTGACCTAACGCATCTGTCCAATCCCCTGGCCTCGGCCAGAAGCCCTGGGGAGCAGAAAGCCAGAGGGAGTGCCAACACAGCCTTGGGGTCACACAGACCTCACCTCAAATGCCAGGTCTGCCTCTAGCAGCTGTGTGACCTTGGGCCATTTCCTCAGCTCCCCCAGGCCTCAGTTTCCCCATCTGTAAAATGGGACAGTGCACAGTTGTACAGATTGTCCTCCCATATAAAGCTGCCTGCACACAGTCTCCTCCGAGGACAGACTGTTCCCTCCCCAGAGCCTAGCACAGCACTCATTCCCTCCCAGGAGGGCACTGGATAAATATTTGAATGAATATTGTTTTAGTGCTTGAACGGATTCACAACTCCGCCCCCCCCAATCTGTCTTACACCTTTGGGTGCTCCTGACTTTGCCGTGGACAGTCTCGAGACACATGGACAGGTTCGTCAGCAGGATCTCTGCTCTAGGCACCTCTGTGCCTCTGGGCACCTCACCCCTCTAACGGGGAGCAGTGGCTCCAGGGGCCCGAGGTCCTCTCTGGCTCTGGCCCCTCAGGTCCCCCTCCCCGCTTAGGCCTCTGACCCTCTCCCACCCTCCCCCATCGGGCCAGATCATGGCACCCGAGTGGGCATCGTCCATCAGGATCTGTGGCAGGCAGCCAGGGGCCTGCGGTTGGTTCGCTGCCAAGGTTTCAGGTCCCCATCCAAGAGCGGGTGTGGATCTGGTTTCTGCCCCAGGTAAAGGCAGGCTCAACCCTGAACCTTACTTGAGGGCATCAGGGAATGCCAAGGAGCTGGGACGGGGATTAGGAATGAGCTAGCGGGATCCCAAAGAATGGTCATGTTTATGGGACAGGGGGGACCTGTCCACGGAGAAACAGACCGTGGTGAGGACTGGGCTGGCCAGAGAGGCTGAGGGTGGACACACAGGTCTTGTTCTTCCAGCTGCTGTTGAACCACCCCTGGGCCCGGCCCCACCCAGGCTCAAGGAACCAGTCAGGGCCAGGCCACAGCCCTGTCACTCACAGGCCTCACCCACCTGCCTTGACTCAACGGGCCCCATCACCGCTCCCCACCCACCTAGGGTGGGGGCACCTTAAGCGACAGGCCTGGGCCACAGGATTGCAGAAAGAATGTACAAGAGGCCCAGCCCTGGACCGCCCTGCACAAGTCCTTGACCTCGTGTGTGACCTTCCTTCCCCACAGGCCTCTGGACAAGGAGTGCCCGGTTGACTTTGTGCACACAGACAGCAACAGTCATGAACCTGACTTCAGCATTTTATAACGACGTGACCCAGACAACTGCCTCTCTTTCCTCCCGGAGTCAAAGCTGCCTGCTGGGACGCTCACAGCAGAGAGCGGGTGTGCAGCACCGTACGCCCTGCACCCTGCTCGGCTCCCAGCACGGCCAGGAGCAGTGCTTTCCTTCCCTGGCAGGACAGCCAGGCCCAGCCCGTGCCACCACTGTCACCCCACAGGAACCACCACGCCCCGGGCCTCTGAAACCCTGGGAGAGAAGTCACCCTGCCTAGCTGTGGCCCACCACTCCCAGCTCCCCACCACGGACTGCTCAAAACCCCAAGCGGAGCCTAAAGAGGAAAGTAAACAGACACGCAGGGCTTTGGTGTGGGACCGAGCGCACAGAAGGAAAACATTAGGAGCAGAGCAGTTAGACGTGTCATCCAGTCCAGCAACCCCACGCTGGCTCCGGAATCAAAACAGCCTGCACACAAGGCCACATTCAGCTCCCATCTCTGGTTTCTCCCCACAATCAGGCCTCACCCTGGGCCCTGTGACGTCGGTGTTCTCTCTCCCTCTCTGCCCGGAGAGATAATCATGCTGCTTTTCCAGCCTCCCCCGCACCCCCCGCGCACACGCTCTCACATCCCACCTGATTCAGCACAGCTCACTGAAGAATGAATCCCCACAGTCCCAAACAGGAGGAGCCCTCTCTCACCGTCACCGCCCAAAAGGAGTGCCAAGCAGGGTCCCCGTATCCACATTTATTTACAGTCTCTTCCAGAGGGGACCTGAGGGTTGAGAGGGGGCCTCTGAGATCCGACCTCTCTGGGCACTACAGCAGGACAGGCCCAGGACTTGGCAGCTTTTGGGAAAAGGGGGGGGGGGGCCTTCAGGTAAGACCTCTTGCCAGGCCCCAATGCTAAAGAGGCCCTGTGTCCCCCACCCCCCTCCCCCCCACTCTCAGGCCCAGATGGAAGCAGGAAGGCACAGGGGTTGGCGGGCCAGCTGGAGTGACGGGGGAGGAATCCCCTGCAGGCGGCCTTTGGTCTCTGTGAGGTTAGGAAGCTGCTCCTTGTTAGAGGAACCCCATGGGGGTGAAGCTGGGAGCCAGTCCCTGGGCAGGGTGGGGGTGGGGGAACTCGGGGGGTCTGGTCTCAATAAGGCCTGGAAACAGTCTCCACTTCAAAGCAGACCTCTGTATTTGGGGAACTGGGGAGGGGAGGAAATAAAAAGACTGTGAAAGGAATGCTTGTGAGCTGTGGGTGGGAGTCAGCCCGGGGGGGGGGCTCCGAGGGGAAGGCTGTTGAGTTGTCTGCAGATGCCAGCAGCCAGGTCCTGGGGAGGAAGGTCCGCCCTCCCTCTGAGAAGTGCTACTGCGCTCCACTCCGTCCTGGCTGGGCTCTGAGTTGCCACGGAGACCTCTCACACCGGAGCTACATAATTTCCAGGGAATGTCCCAAATTTCTGGGTCCTCCGGGAGACACCTGAAAGAGGAAAAGACCAAGATCATTCCCCACACTTCCTTTTAAAATAGGAAAGATGAGGGCCCTGCCCCCTGCTGGCAGCGGCCAGAACCGCAGGTGGAGCATGGAGGGAGGGAGGAATGGTCTTCCCCATTCCTGCCTGCTAGCGGCAGCCGCTTAGATAAGCAAAGCTGCACTTGCTAAATTCAACAGGGACTCCACCACTGTGGGTAACTCTGCACACAGCACGGAATAACTCCACCCTTCCTCGGGAAAGCAAGGAAGCAGGAGGACGAACCACGGAAGCTAAATCCGAGGGCCTCGCTCTGGTCTAGTATGATACCCTCGTTTTAGAGATGGGGCAAATGAGGCCTAGGAGGCCAAGCGAATTCCCCCAAGACTCAGCTGTTTAGGGGTACAAGTGGGCCTAAAATTCAGGCCTCTTTCTGACATCGAGAAAAACAAAATACCTGTGTCCTGGGGTGGTGAAGGGGGGATGCTAGGAATATGAAATGGAAGTCCTGGGCCTTCCCTTCCTGGCATCCTGACTTCCTTCTGAGTAGCCCAGGCCCACCTTGTACCCAGGCCTTGCTGATACTGTTCCCCTGCCGGAGGGCGCTCTCTCCTGTCTGCCACCCTTCGAGGCCCAGCTCCCACGCCTCCTCCAGGAAGCCTTCCCTGACTTGCACTGCCCACCATGTTAAGTCCCACGTGGCTACTGAACATTTAACCTGTGTTAAGGTGACCGAGAAATTGAACTTTCTAAACTTTTCCTCCAAAAGCACGCGAGGCTTACTCCACAAAGGTGGTGCTTTGCTTCTTGTCTCTATCCATTTGCAAAGCGTTGCAGGTTACAAAGAAATGGAAAAGCAGCAGTGTTCAGAGTAAAATGAGAGTGTGCCCCAAACACACCCCTCCGAGGTAAGGACGTTAACCAGTTAGGACTTCACGGTCACTGGTGCGGCTGCAGCCTGGCCACCAGGGAGGTGCTGGGGAGCAGGTGAGAAAGGTGCCACCCCTGCCCAGGCGCCTGCCCCTCCAACACGCAAGCCGCGCAGCCTGCCGCCCTGGCACCCCGGCTGCTCGCTGTCTCTGAGGACGGCCTGGGCAGTGCTGCCCACTCTGGGAAGCAGGCATGGGACACCTGCTGGGCTGGTCACCTTGGACTAGGCCAAGGCCAGCATGAGGCTTCCTGTTCCGTCCTTTGCCTGAGCTGCCCCTGGACCAGCTCTGAGAGCCCGGATCCCTCCCTCCTTTTGGTGGAAAGGGGTTGGGGGAGCTAGCTGCTGAATGGGGGGGTGGGGAGGAGGCGGGGAGAGAAAGTGGGGGATACACAGGTGTGAGACTGGGTCCCAGTCTGAACTGACTTAATCAGTGACCTGGGCCTCATCCCTCTTGGAGGTCTGAAGGCAACAACAGAAGTGCTGGCTCCGGGGAATCAGCCAGGCCAGAAGGTGGATGTGCTGGGTCAGCCATGACTCTCTGTGTCTCCCCTGAGGTACCCATTTCCAGCCTGCCCCCAGCCCCTCCCTCCAGCACCCTGAGGTACGCGTCCTCCCAGCCTGCCCCCCGCACGCCCCCCAGGCCCACCTACCCACAAACCAGCCGTCGTCGCACTGCTGCATGACATCCACCCGGTCGCCCTCCCGCAGCTCCAGCTCGTCCTCGTTCTGGGGCCTGTACTGGTACACCGCCCGGTACCTGCGGGGGACAGTGTCATGGCAACCGCCAGAGCCCTCACCCCTTCCCGAGACCAGACCCAGAGCCTGAACCCGAGCGCTGCCCCGTCCTGTGAATCTTCCAGGGTTCCTCCGTGTTCCCAGCAGCCCTGGCCCAGCTCCTGGAATGGCAGCTCCAGCTCCAGCCCCTTCCTCCCAGGCCTGCTCCCTGCCCCCCGAGCCCGAACCACCACACCCTGCCTCCTCGGCGCTCCCAGGGCCTTCCAGCCTGCTCTCCCGGCTCCCACACTTCCACGCTGACCTCAGGGCTGGGCACTGAGGAGACTGAGGCTGGGGGCTGAGGGAGGGGGGCCGCAGGGATAGGGACAGGTCAGGAGCACTGCAGACAGTAGCCCCCTCGCCACCAAGAACTAGCGCTACCCATCAGGAGCTTCCCAAACCCACCCTGGGGAGCTGGGGCAGGTAAGAGGGTCGGCGTGCTCAGCACGGCCTGATGCAGCCCCACTCCTGACGGTACTCACGGGGTCCAGTGTATCTGAGCGGTGTTGTGAGAGGCGGTCCCCAGGTCCACGGCGCGGCTGGAGCCTCCGGGATGGGTCAGAGAGGACCCAGGGGTGCTGAGACTCTGGGGGGCCACGGGAGGAAAAGTGGGCGAAGGCAGCATGAGTGGGGGGGGGGAGTGACATGGCCCCTCTTCCCCGGGCAGCACCGCGCTCTCTCTGCTCATCTGATCCTTTGTCTAAGGTGACCAGACGTCCCGCTTTTGGCGGGACAGTCCCAATTTTTAAACGATTTGTCCCGCATCCCTGCAGCGTTTTAAAAATGACCCGATCCTTGGAAAGAATTGGACAATCTTTCCAAAAATCAGGACTTTTTTAAAACGCCACAGGGACGCGGGACAAATTGTTAAAAATCGGACAATCTTTCCAAAAATCGGGACTTTTTTAAAACGCCGCAGGGACGCAGGACAAATTGTTAAAAAATCAGGACTGTCCTGCCAAAAGCGGGACGTCTGGTCACGGTGCCTTCATCCCCATGGCCCAGGCGGGGCAGGCGGCCGGCCTCCGAACCCGCGGGCAGCGGCGGGAGGAGCCCGCGCCCCCCTGTGCCGCTCTCACTGGTTTGCTGAGGGAAGCGATGACTGTGGGAGCAAACGGGCTTGTCTGGGAGCCCTCAGGATGGGGACCAGTGACTCCTTAAGAATAAACTTGTAGCTCAAACCCTCCCTCCCCCCATGACCCTCTGTGTGGGAATTACCATCCTCATTCTGCAGGTGAGGACTATTCCACCTCTGAGAAGACCCACATCCAGAGACAGCAAGTGACATGCCCAAGGTCACAGCAGGGCCAGCAGCCTGCACCCCAAGTCCCCCTTGCACCCTGACCCTAATGCTTTTGGGGCACAGAAGTGGAATGTGAAGGTCAGCAGGCTTGGGCTGGCTCGGGGGCCCACTGAGGGCCGGCTGTCTGTCCTATTCTCCCTGCAGCCCAGGGGCCAGGACCAACCGGAGGGCTCAGGGGTCCACAGGGCCAGGGAGGGCTGCAATGCCAGGTCCTGCCCAGTCAGTCACCCCGCCCGTCTGTCCTGGGGCGGCCCGGGAAGGGTTCTGAAGTGACCGTCACGGGAATGGGGGCGCGGGGCGGGGAGCGGGAGGGAGAGGCTAGCTCACCTGGGTCTGGGGTCTGGGCTCCTGGGCGGGGAAGGAGAAGCCGGCACGGCGGGGGGAGGTCCGGCCCCCCCAGTCGGTGGGGTCCGCGGGGCTGCGCGGCGCCCCCGGGGAGCCGGGGTGGCGGGCGGCCGGCCGGGCGGCGGTCATGCTGGGGGACGCGGGGAGCTGGGGGCCCTCGTCGCAGAGGCGCAGCCGGGGCTCCCGGCACACCTGCACGTAGCTGACCGGGAAGATGCCCTGGCGCCCGGTGCCCGAGATGCGCCCCTCATACCAGTTCTCGTTCACCTTCCGCATCAGGCAGATGCGCTCCCCCTGCGGGAAGGAGACAGGAGTCAGGTCTGGAGGGCACCACGCGCCCCCGGCTGCCCCCAGGGACACCCAGAGGGGTCGCGGACACCCAGAGGGGTCGGGCTCCGAGGGGTCGGCGGGCTGCTACTATGCCGAGGTCGCCCAGGCAGACGGTGGAGTGTCAGGAGCCAAACCCAGGCCGCCTGGCCACGGAGCAGAAGCCACAGGGGAGCCTGGTGGCTAGTAACTCGGGTCCACACCAGGCTCCGCCGGTTCCACACTGTGTGGCCTTAGATAGCCGACTCTGCCCCTCTGAGCCTTGGTTTCCTCACTCGCGAAGTGAGGGGAGCAATGCCGTGGCCGTGAGGCGCTAAGGACGTCCTTGGCAGCTTGGCAAGAAGCACTGGCCAGGCCCTAGCCCGCACGGGCCCTGTCCCGCCTCCTCGCTGAGCAGTCCTGTCACCACTGCCCACAAACCAACCCCGATGACAGGTAGTCCCTCCCCAGGCCCTCACGGGGGGCTGGCCAGGGGGCCACGGGGGGCTGGCCAGGGGAAGCGGTCTCCAGCCCTCTCCAGCCCCATCTCTCCACCAGCCACCTCCTCCCGTTCTGTCCCTGCCTCCTAGGGCCAGCTCTTCTGAGGGACATTCAGTAGTGGCATTCATGGTTTCTGCCCCAAAAATCAGCCAAAGGGAGACCAAACCCTGCTTTCTAGGACGATATTTTTTAAGCTTTCTCGAACATGATCTATCATAAAAATTGTATTGTAGTAACAACCCAACACACACACACACACACACACGCATGCATGCACACACGCACGCACACACAAGACATAAATGCCTAAAAATTTTTTTTTAATTTTTGAGAGAGGAAGGGAGGGAGAAACATTGATATGAGATTGATCAGTTGCCTCCTGCACATGCCCGATTGGACTGCTGATCAAACCAACACCTTGGGTATGTGCCCTGACCGGAAATCGGACTGCCACCTTTTGGTGTATGGTGTGTCGTGAAACCAACTGAGCCACACTGGCAAGGGCATAAATGTCTAAAAATGTGATAAAATATCTTACTACAGGCAAGGTGTTTGTTTTTTTTTAGTTGATTTATTTTAAAGAGAAAGAGAAATATCGACCTGTTTTTCCATTTATTAATGCATTCATTGATTGATTCTTGTATGTGCCCTGATCTGGGATCAAACCCACAACCCTGGCATATTGGGACAACTCTAACCAGCTGAGCTACCTAGCCAGGCTACACGCAAGGCCTTCTAATATTTTCATTTTACTCTTTTAAAAATGCCCTAGCTGGGTTGTTCAGTGGTTAGAGAGTCAGCCTGCAGACTGAAGGGTTGTGGGTTTGATTCAGGTCAAGGGCAAGTACATTGGTTGCAGGTTCGATCCTTAGCCCCAGTCTGGGTATGTGCAGGAGGCAACCAACCAATGAGTCTCTCTTACATCAGTGTTTCTCTCTTTCCGTCCCTTCCACTCTCTCTAAAAAATCCAGGGAAAAAATATCCTCAGGTGAGGATTACAAAAAACCAAAACAAAAAAAACAACAACAGTAAAAATGCAGATTGTGATCCTCAAAACCGACCAACCTAGCCAAAACTGGCTTGGCTCAGTGGTAGAGCATCAGTTTGTGGACTGAAAGGTCCCAGGTTCGATTCCAGTCAGGGGCATGTACGTTGGTTGCGGGCACATCCCGGTAGGGGGTGTGCAAGAGGCAGCTGGTCGATGTTTCTCTCTCATTGGCGTTTCTAGCTCTCTCTCTTCCTTCCTCTCTGTAAAAAATCAATAAAATATATTTTTAAAAAACACATAAAACAAAACAAAACAAAAAAAACCCTACCAACCTGGAATAAAGCACTACTCTAGAAGTTTTGGACTTTTAAAATATGAGCTACGTTAAGAGAAATTAATCCGCCAAAACCGGTTTGGCTCAGTGGTAGAGCATCGGTCTGTGGACTGAGGGGTCCCGGGTTCGATTCCGGTCAAGGGCATGTACCTGGGTTGCGGGCACATCCCCAGTAGGGGGTGTGCAGGAGGCAGCTGGTCGATGTTTCTCTCTCATCAACGTTTCTAGCTCTCCATCCCTCTCCCTTCCTCTCTGTAAAAAAATCAATAAAATATATTAAAAAAAAAAGAGAGAAATTAATCCAAAGAGACTGAGAAAAAAAAAATTAAAAGACTAAACAAAGGTGGATACACTTCTTTTCAACAATGTTTTAATGTAGCCCTAGCCCGTTTGGCTCAGTGGATAGAGCATCAGCCTGTGGACTGACGGTTCGATTCCCGTCAAGGGCACAGGCCCGGGTTACAGGCTCGATCCCCAGTAGGGGGCGTGCAGGAGGCAGCCGATCCATGATTATCTCATCATTGATGTTTCCATCTCTCTCTCCCTCTCCCTTTCCCTCTGAGACCAATAAAGACATATGTTTTTAAAAATAAATAAAAACGTCCTACGGTACGTATTTCCTCCGTCCTCACCAGCCCCGGCCCACCCCCGATCCCTGCCTGCCTGGCCGCACCTTTCGGAAGGACAGCTCCACCTCCAGGTCCCCCTTGAAGTTGTACTGGGCCACGGCCTCTCCGTACTCCAGCACCTGGTAGGTGGGCGGCTTGTGCGGCTTGGGGATTTCGTCGGCAGGCAGCACCTGCAGCGAGGAAGAAGATGAAAAAGGCTCAGCTGGGACCCGAACTGGCCACACACCTGAGGCTCCCGGGAGGGGGAGGCAACCAAGAGAAGGTGGTATGGTAAGGCGACCAGACGCCCCGATTTTTAACCATTTGGCCCATGTCCCGCGGCATTTAATAAAACGCCACGGGACGTTGCCGAAACCGGTTTGGCTCAGTGGATAGAGCGTCGGTCTGCGGACTGAAAGGTCCCAGGTTCGATTCTGATCAAGGGCATGTACATTGGTTGCGGGCACATCCCCAGTGGGGGGTGTGCAAGAGGCAGCTGGTTGGTGTTTCTCTCTTATCGACGTTTCTAGCTCTCTAGCTCTCTCTTCCTCTCTGTACAAAATCAATAAAATATATTTCTTAAAAAACAACGCCACGGGACATGGGACAAATTGTTAAAAACCTTATGGGATGGTAAGATCTGTCCCCAGGCCAGAGAGGGGACACAGCCAAGGGGCTGCTGAGTCCCAGGAAGAGCCCTGGAGGAAGATTCTGCACTGGGGGTGTATGGAGTGGGCATTATTGGAGTGGGCACTGGGCGGTGGGCAGATCAGGGAAGGGAGTTGGACTTGGAGGGCAGAAGGAAACAAGTTTCAAGGAGCCGGGCACCCCCGCTGGCGTGCTCTGAAAGGGAGGCGCTAACATGTTACCATTGCCGAGGACCCAGTGTCTCTCTTCCTCCCCCGCTTCCACCCCACCCGCTGCCCACAATCTCCTTACTGTCTTTGTTTCACCCTACTCATACACATCAAAAAGCAGATCAACTATTTTTTTTAATGTATAGGTTTTAAGTGTTTTTACTGATATAAAATTGTTATTATTGATTTTTAGAGAGAGAGAAACATCGACTTGTTCTACTTATTTATGCATTCATTGTTTGTTTGTTTTTTGTTTTTTTTTTAATATATTTTATTGATTTTTCACAGAAAGGAAGGGAGAGGGATAGCTAGAAACATCAATGAGAGAGAATCATCGACCAGCTGCCTCCTGCACACACCCCCCTAGGGACGTGCCTGCAACCAAAGTACATGTTCCTGACCGGAATCGAACCTGGGACCTTTTAGTCCGCAGACCGACGCTCTATCCACTGAGCCAAACCGGTTTCGGCCACTGGTTGTTTCTTGTATGTGCCTTGATGGGGGATAAAACCTGAAACCTTGGAGCATCGGGATGATGCGCTAATCAACTGAGCCACCCACCAGGGCTGTTTTATTATTATTATTATTTTTTTTTAAATATATTTTTATTGATTTTTCACAGAGAGGAAGAGAGAGGGATAGAGAGCTAGAAACGTCGATGAGAGAGAAACATCGACCAGCTGCCTCTTGCACACCCCCTACTGGGGATGTGCCCGCAACCAAGGTACATGCCCTTGACCGGAATCGAACCCGGGACCTTTCAGTCCGCAGACCGACGCTCTACCACTGAGCCAAACCGGTGCCGGCCAGGGCTGTTATTATTGAGTTTAGAGAGAGGGGGGAAGGAAGGAGGAGGGAGGGAAGGAGGGGGAGGGGGAGAGGAGAAGAGAGGGAGGAAAAGAGAGAGAGAGAAACATTGATTAGTTGTCTCCTGCACACACCAGACCAGGATTGAACCTAAAACCTGGGTGTGTTCCCTGACCAGGAATCCAACCAGTGACCTGTCAGTACATGGGACAATGCTCAAATAACTGAGCACCACTGGCCAGGATGCTAATAAACTATTTCATACTAAGACCTAAATGACTGATGACACGGAACACTGTATATACTTTGCGAACTTTCAGGCTCAGAGAGTCCTGAGTGTGGGAGAGGGCTGCTGATGTCTGCCGTTTCAACAGCCTGAATGAGCCGAAACTGGTTTGGCTCAGTGGATAGAGCTTTGGCCTGCGGACAGAAAGGTCCCAGGTTCGATTCCAGTCAAGGGCATTTACATTGGTTGCGGGCACATCCCTAGTGGGGGGTGTGCAGGAGGCAGCTGATTGATGATTCTCTCTCGTTAATGTTTCTAACTCTCTATCCCTCTCTCTTCCTCTCTGTAAAAAATCAATAAAGTATATTTAAAAAAAAAAAAAAAAAAGAAAGAAAGAAAAAGAAAAAGCCTGAATGAAAACAACCACCCACTCCATAGTTCAAAGAGGAAGTCATGAAGGAAATGGAAAAAAATTTTTGAGTTGAATGAGAAAACACATTAAAACCTGTGGGGATGCATTTAAAGCAGTGCTTAGAGGAAAATGTATAGCATTAAATGCATATATTGGGGGGAAATGTTTCAAATCAATCATCTAAACTACCACCCTAAAAAACTAGGGGGAAAAAAGTGCAAACTGGACCTAATCCAAGCAGAAGGAAATAATAAAGCGGCAGAAATCAATGATATGGAAAACAAAGATAGAGAAAAATCAATAAAATGTAAGGCTGGTTCTTTGAAAAGATCACTAAAATTAACAAATCTCTAGCCAGAACCAGAGAGCACACAAACTATTAATATCAGGAATGAAAGAAAGGACATCACTGCAGATCTTACTGATGTGAAAATGATAATAAAGATACATTATGAACAACTTCAAATTAATAATTTAGACAGCTTAAAAGACACAAATACCGGAACCTATAACTTCATTCAGATTCTGGGTCTTTTAACAACTTGTCTCTGAACCTCAGCAAGCCCATCTGTAAAATGGGGCAGATCTATCCCTTCCCCAGGTTAATGAGAGGAAACAGGTGACTCTGGAACAACAAAGGTTCAAACTGTTTGGGTCCATTTATATGCAGATTTTTTCAAGTAAATATATTGGGAAAATCTTGGAGATTTCCAGCAATTTGTAAAAACTCACACATAAACCAGGTAGCCTAGAAATATCCCCCCAAAAAAGTTAAAAAATAAATGCATAAAATGTATGTATTTTCTCTTTCTTATGATTTAGCTTACATTATTGTAAGAATACAGTATATAATACATATAACATATAAGATAGGTATTAATCAGGAAGGCTTATTTTAACGGTAAGACTTCTTGTTAACAGCAGGCTCTTAGTAGATAAGTTTGGGTGGCCCTGGCTGGTTTGGCTCTATGGATAGAGTGTCAGCCTGCGGACTGGAAGGTCCCAGGTTTGATGTCGGCCAGGGGCACTTGCCTCGGTCCCCAGTAGGGGGCATGCAAGAGGCAGCCAATCGATGATTCTCTCTCATCATTGATGTTTCTCTCTCTCTCTCTCTCTCTCTCTCTCTCTCTCTCTCTCTCCCTTCCTCTCTAAAATCAATAAAATATATATTTCTTTAAAAGTTACATGTGGCTCTTTGTGTGGGGTCATCTTTGTAGGGGAAGGGTCAGTGCCCCTAAGCCCTGCATTATTCAAGGGTCAACTGCACACATGGAAATGAGTGCATGTATACGCGATTTGTAAACACCACACACTTTGCACTCTTGCCAGGTGTAATTAGGATTCACCCCAGGGACAGCCTGAGAGAGATGGGTTCTGCATGGTGGGAGGCTGGGACACTGACAACGCTGGCGGGCCTGGTTCTCCCCCGCTGACTGGGCCCCAGCTGTAGCCATGGGACAAACATTTCCTGAAGACAGGCGAAGTGCTGGGCCAGGCTGTGGGGGCCAAGGCTACTAATGAGGCTGAGACATGGCCCCTGTCCTGGAGCTCACAGTTCACATCGCGGGGAACCCGTGAGCCGTGGCAGCCAGCTCAGGAGAGAAGCCGTGGATGGCTCCGGGCTCTGCACACCCGAATGCCCACCTCTCCACGCCCCCTCGGCCACTGCTGGCCCCAGCTCACCTCCACGTAGTTAGCGGGGAAGATGCCCAGCCTGCCGTGGTGCTCCCCCTCCAGCCAGTTCTTGTCCACCTCCTTGTGGATGTAGACAATGTCCCCCTTCTTCAGGGTCAGCTCCCTGCGGGGCAGAGCAGGGACATCGCAAGCTGAGGCCCTCCCGGTGGCCCCGTCCAGCACACCCAGTCCCCTCCGCCTCCTGGGGATGCCCACCGCAGCCCCCTCCCCTCTCCCCCAGTGCAGAGCCAGCCCCAAGGGGCAGGGGAGGGGAGACAAGGGCACTTACTTGGGGGACTGTGCCTGGAAGTCAAACTTGAGCCTGGCAGCCTTCCTCTACGCAGGGGGAGAAGACACAGGCGGTGACCCCAGGACCCACCCAGGTCCCCCTTGCACCCTGACCCTAACGCTCCCACCCCCTTACCTTCTTTTCGTCCTTCCTGGCAGGGCTGACCCCTCGTTCAGAGGCACTAGGGTCTGCGGAGAAGCATGAGCTCAGCGTGGGGAGGCCATGCCTGGGGATGGGGGCGGGTGCTGGAGGGCTGGGATGGGGTCCCGATCCACTGGCACGGGTGGAAGCAGGGGCTATGGGATCTTCCTGCCACACCCCAGACACCAGGGCTGGTGGTGGTGGTGGGGGCTCTGGGTGGGGAAAGGTGCAGGATCTGGTCCTTACCTCGGGCTGAGGAAGGGTAGACAAAATCCCTACGGCCTAGGAAGGGGCTTCCTCCATCCGCCATTCTGTGGGGGCTCAGGGGCCAGGAGGCGCCCCGGTAAAGTGCATTCGGGTTGCTGAGGCTCCAGGCAGAGGCCGGGCTGCGGGACGCAGGGAGGGAGGGAGCCACCTGTGTGGCCTCAGCTCTACCAGGCTCACCCGGACCGCCCAAGCTCCCCCAACCCTCACCCCCGCCCCCCACCCCCAGCTCCGGCCGCCGCGCCGCGGGACGTCCCACTTCCCAAGCCACGGCCGGCGAGGGCGCGGCCCGCGGGGAGGCGGGAGCGCGGGCCAGTGCGGGCGCGGCGCCCCTCTCCGGCCAGGGCAGCGGCCTCCAGGGCCGGGACGGCCGCCAGCGCGAGCGGTGCCACCTGCCACCTCCCGGCCCCCCGCCCCGTCCCGGCCGCCGGCCGCCCTCCAGTCTCCCCAACTCCGCACCCCTCCTCCCCCCCTCCCTCCCCTCGCCACGTCCCCCCCGGCCGCCCGCCCCGCGCTCCGGCCACTCACCGCGCGGAGGCCCGCGGCTCCGGGGGCGGCCGGGGCGCCGGGGAGCCCTGTGGGGTGCGGGGGGGACGGGGCGTCAGGCCGGACCGTCCGCCGCGGGGCAGCCAGGCCGCCGCCTCCCGGGAAGTTGGCGGCCGGGAAGGAGGAGGGGGCGGGCGGGGCCTGGGAGGAGGCGGGAGCCGGAGGAAGCGGAGCGGGTGCGGAAGAGGGGGAGCCCGGAGCGGCGCAGGGGCGGTGGAGAGGAGAGCCCTGCGAGTGCGCACCGGGGAGGTGCGGGGGGGGGGGGGAGGCCCGGGGGGGGGAGGGGGGAGGTACAGGGGGAGGTGCGGGGCGGGCAGGTCCGGGGGAGGAACGGGGGAGGTACAGGGGGATGTGTGAGGCTGGGGCGGAGAGTTGGGCGGGGGTGATCGGGGCTGGGACGCGGAGGTCCGGGGCGGGGAGGTCGGGGCTGGAGCGGAGAGGTCCGGGGCGGGGAGGTACAGGGGGAGGTGTGGGGTAAGGGGTTCCAGAGGAGGTCCGGGGGAGGTCCGGGGCTGGGACGGGATGATGGGGGAGGTCCAGGGATGGTGCGGGGCTGAGCGCGGAGCCGCCGGGGCCGTCGGGCTGAGGCGCGGACCCGGAGGCTGGGCGGGCGGAGTCCGGGGAAAAGCCCGCCCAGCCCGGAGAGGAGGCGCAGGCCGGGTGAGTCTGCCCGGGTCACGCCGAGTGCAGCCGGAGGGACGCCTGGTGGCCCCTCTCCCCCGGCCCAGCTGCGGCGGGTCCGGGGCGCAGGCTCCGGGGGGCCTGGGCGTCGGTACCTTGGGAGAGGTCTGCCGGGTCTCAATGGCCCGCAGGTCCTTGTCCAGCTCGGCGCTCAGCTTGGCCAGCTCCCTCTCCAGCAGGACCTGCGGCGGGCGATGGGGAGGCTGGGACGGTGCGGACGCGGGGGAGGGGGAAGGGGAGGAGAGGGAAAGCAGTGCACGGTGGGGGGGGGGGGCGCGATGGCCCAAGGGCGCAGGGCACCAGGCCAGGACAGGCTCACCCATCCGGTACTCCCAAGATAGTCCTTAGGACTTCCTGATCTTGCTTTTTTTTTTTTTTTTTTTTTTTTTTTTGTGGTCACTTATCTAATCAAGAGCCTGCAGGATCCCCATTTTCTCTCCCGTCAAGTCTGGGCGGCCTTCTGCCGCCTGGCTTTCCTGAACCTGCTTCCCTCCACTGCCCGCCTCCCATCCTGAGCGCGCTCTGCCTGGCCCAACCAACCCGCCAACTCTTTAGAGCTCAGCTCCACCTCTAAGAATACTTCCTGAAAATTCCAGCCCACACGGACCACTCCTCTCTGCCCCTGCTGGGCCAACACACCTTTATTCCATGCATGTTTGAGTGCCTACTGAATGCCATCACTGTGGTGGGTGCTGGGGATATAAAGATAAGCTGTGCGGGGCTGGGGAGGAGGGGAGCTGTGGGGTCTGTGTCCTTTGCCCGCGGTCGCTGGGTCACTGGGGCCAACATCACCCCCAGACTCTCCTTTGCCCCCCAGCATTGCTGTCTCCCCTCCCCCCACCTTCCCGGCATTACTCACCTCGATGGGCTGGGAGGGCTTCTCAGCAGGCTCATCCACCAGAGGTTTCTTGGGCTGAAGATGGGAAGGGCGGGTCAGAGAGGGCGAACTCGCCAAAATGCACTGGCCGAGGGTGCACCCGCTCCGGCCCACACTCACCTTCTGCCCAGTCTCTAGTTCTTGCAGAAACTGGTTCCAATACTCTTCTGACCAGACATTGTCTGCTTTCTCTCGGCGTCTGGGCACCTGCATGGAGGTGGGTAGGTGTCAGCTTGAGTAGAGGGGCACTAGGACCCTGGGCAGGCTTTCAGGCCACTGCCCCACCCCTGTGACCTCCAGTCACTTGGATTTGCCTCCTTCACTGGCCCCACCGGAAAGAGCATTATCTGTGCTCTTTCCACCAAGGGACCTGGCCTAGAAGGTGTGGGGACCCTGTGGGGAGGGTGCTGGGAGGGCTACCTGATTCGGGGTCCTGGGCAGGGAGGAGAATGCTCCAGGGTTACAGCTGAAGGTGCTTCTAGGATATTCTTCAGAGGGGTCCCAGCTTCTTCTAGAGGAAGGGAAGGGCATTCCTTCAGTTTCCTTTACAAGTGAGAGCACAGCCCTGGGAGAGGGAGCTGCGTGCATGTGCACACACACACACACACACACACACACACACGTCCTCTCCTGCTCCTGGCCCGGGAGCAGTGTTAACACGTGCGTGGAAAGTTATGAGCTCTGAGTTCAAATCTCAGCTCCACCACTTGGCTGTGCTCCCTTTTGGCAAATAACTGAACCGCCAGAGCCTCAGATTCAATACCTGTGACGTCAGAAGGATTCCCGCCCACGCAAGGGTGTGGTGACGTTTACTGAGGGGCCATCTGCCCTGAGGCTCCCAGGAAAGGCCTGACACGTGCTCCTGCTCCAGGAGTGGCCCGTCCCTTCCCTGCTGGCCTCAGTGACTGGCCTGCCATTGCGTTCAGGCTGAGCAGTGACTGTGGCGATGTATGTTAGTGCCTATCCGGTGAAGCTGGTCTTTTTGGTTGCACCTGTGCCCGAGGGTGTGGGGCTATAGACTAGTCTGATTTTCCCTGGCAGGAAAGGAGTCTACAGCCCTGGCCCTGCAGCCCTGGCCTGTGATTTCGGAGCCCTGGGCCTCGCTGCTCTGAGGGAGCCGAATTCATGACTTCATCTGGCTGGCCCTTCCGGCTGCACTCCAGGCACCGAACTGTCACACGGGCCCTCTCCCCTCTAGGAATCCCGTCTTGGCTGGCTCCAAGGCTCCAGCCTCTGTTGAATTTGGATGTCTCCACGCAATGGAATGACTGTACCAAGCAGCTTATCAAATGATGGAATGTCTGACCGCAGGGTGAGGATTTGTTGGCTGCAATCATGACTCTGTTTTCTATTCTCAAAATAATATGGGTGGTAACGAGGATGGACTATGTCGTTCCCAGTTTAAGGAAGCTCTTGTCACGATGAAGTCTGTATTAATGTTTGTGGAGACTTGCGATGAGCCTTAATCCTCAAGACCACTCCGTGATCCCCACGAAACCGACGGGGTTACTGAGGCTCGGGCTGGTTAAGCTGCTCAGGGCACACCAGCAGGAATCCAGAACCCCAATCTCCAGCTCGTGGCCTCTCTCTTATCGATGCCGAGAGCCACAGGTGCTTTATGGCTATGCTAATGAGGCAAATGTCTTATGGCTATGCTAATGAGGTGAATCTCTTATGGCTATGCTAATGAGGTGAATCTTGCCTGGAGGAGAATAAGCAGCTGGTGGATCTCACTGAGGGCAAAGTTCCTCATTCCCAAGGTGAGGTCGCACCCCTCCAGGGCCGGGCCTGGGCCTGGGCCTGGTGGTCTCACAGAGAAAAACAGCTGCATCCTTCACCTCCCGGAGAGGCTCCTCTCTCCGTGGCACCCGGGAGGAAACTTGGATCCTCAGCCCTTGTTTTCTCCCAGGCATTGGAGCGGATGGCCACAGAGCCACACCTACCTGTGGATCTTTGGGGTGATGACTCCGGCATTGCATCACAGGGGACTTGACCAGGACTGGGTGCCAAGTCCACCCCTGCCTGCCACTCCCCTCGGGCCCTGGCGGGGAAGGGGGTGCCTGGAGCAGTGGGGGTCCTGAGAAGGGGCTGAACTGTCAGGGAGCCAGGTCCCCTGCTTGCCTACTTGGAGGCTGTGCCAGCTGCTGCCACCAGGGGCTGCCAGTCCCCACAGGGAAGCAGGGGCCCCTCGGCAGCCCTCAGGCCCCTCCCCCATGGCGGCTTACCCGCTCAGAGAAGTGGCCTGGCCTGGCCGGGTTGCAGGTCTCTGCTGAGGCCCTGGACACCTTGAGTCTGCAGAGGTGGCACAGGAGGAAGCCACTGCAGGTGGGAGGAGACAGGGAGGGTGGGGGAGGGGAGAGCAGAGGTTGAGGACACCTGGTTGACCTTTGGAGGTTTTGACACCCATACCCGCCCATACCCACAGTCCTGGGTAGCTCCTGGGAAAAGGGGTGGGGTTCCGGACCCCTGGATGTGCACTTTGCAGTAAGACCTTTTCTCTCTTTAAGAAATGTTCAGCCAAAACCGGTTTGGCTCAGTGGATAGAGCGTTGGCCTGCAGACTGAAAGGTCCCGGGTTCGATTCCGGTCAAGGGCATGTGCCCTGGTTGCGGGCACATCCCCAGTAGGGGGTGTGCAAGAGGCAGCTGGTCGATGTTTCTCTCTCATAGATGTTTCTAACTCTCTATCCCTCTCTCACTCCCTCTCTGTGAAAAATCAATAAAATATATATATTTTTAAAAATGTTCAAAGCAGCTCTGGGGTAGACAGAAAAGAGAGGCCCAGAGAAGTCACGGCCAGGGCTGGGCATTCACTGGGCAGGGAAGCTGAGGTTCTTGAATGCCACCTGCCAGGGGTTGGGAGCTTACCGGAAATGGGCATACAAACTTCTCCAGCGGAACTAAGCCAACTGGGAAGCCCCAGAGCCAGGCGTGGCTGCAGGGAGGGTCAAATTCAAGGCCACGCTGGATGGGCCACCCTCTCACCTCACCTTTGGGTGCTTCCTCGAAGGACCAGTCCAGATGCAGGTCTGCGGGAGCAGAAAGGACCGGGTCAGGGATGGGACAGCGAGCGAGGTCGGAGTGCCTGTGAGGCTGCCTCAGCTGCTCCTAGCCTCCCTCCTGCCTAGAGCAGGGGCCGAGGGCCTGAGTCAGGGCCTGAAGAATGTCCCGAGGGAGGGGAGGAATTAGGAGGGCAGTTCTGGGGAGGGCTCCAAATGCCTCTGGTAGACTTAAGGCCTGAGCCAGGCCAACGGGGGCAGTGGACTTGCCCAAATTCCTACTCCTCCCTCCCTGGTTCCCATACAGATCCTCTCCCTGAGCTTCACAGACCTGCCCTCACCACTGCGGGGAGGGGAAGGCCACTTCCTGTTCTCCCTCTTGCCCCTCCTGCACCCTCTCCTAAATGCGTGTCCTTCCCCCTTTGCCCAGGCCCACTCCTCACGGTGCTCGTGACTTCCTGGGGCCTCCTAGCAACTGACCAGCCAACCCACTCCACCTCCCGGGCGAGCAGACGTGCCCCAACAGCTCCTCAAACGCCAACCAAAGCACCCCGCTCCGATCCCAGGCCTCCTTCCGGCTCTGGGGCTCTCTGCTGTCCTCTGCAGCAGCGGCTGGCCCTCACTCACGGCCCCCAATTCCCTTCTGGTGGAGCAGCTCAGCCCACCACTCCTGCCCCCAAGGACCCTGTGACTTCCACACCAAATCAAATGTTACAGTGGGTCCCTCCCTCTGCTGCAATGTTTCTGCCACTTGGCTTCGGGGAGTCCACTCTGGTTCTCCCCTGCCTCCGGCTGCCCCTTCTCGGTCTGTCCAGCTCACCTCAGGAGCCACTCCATGCCCAAGACTCAGTCCGGGGACTTCTGCCTCTCCCTCTCCCCAGGGCATCGCATCTAATCTTCTGGTGCAAAAAAAAATAACAGCTATTCCAGGGATTTACAACCTTGGCTGCACATTGGAATACTTGGGCGGATTTGCATCAAAATCCCTCTGAATGAGTCCCAGGTGTTCCCGCCTGCAGCCCAGGCGTGGCCCCTGAACCACAGACCTGTGTCTCTACGGCTACTCAACGTCTCCACCTGGATGCCCACATCTAAAAGGCACCACTTACGCCTGCAGTCCTCCCTGCATTTGTAAGTGGCAGCTCCATCCTTCCACCTGCGCAGGTTGGTCAGCCGTGACTCCTCTCTTTCAAATCCATCAGCAAATCCCCAGGACTCTGTCTCCGAATCCCAGCAGGCCTGCTGCTGCAGCCCTGGTCTGAGGCACCGTGGCCTCTGGCCTAGGGTAAAGCCAGGCCCCCTAACCAGTCCCCTGCTGCCACCCTGCCCTGTCTTTCCCTCCTGGCAGCCTGCATGAGCCTTTCCAGACATCACTGGTCAGAGCATGCCACTCTTCTGCTCAGAACCGCTCAGCTCTTGCAGAATAAAAGCCACAAGCCCTTATAATGGCCCCAAAGGCCCTCCGAAACCCAATCCCGTCTCCCACCATCGTCCCCTCACTCCACTCTGGCCTCTCCTTGATATTCCAGAACGTACCAGACTTGCTTCTGCCCTGGGTTCCTGGAGTTCCCTTGGTGCAGCACCCCTCCCCTGCCCTACAGGGCTAACTCCTTCACGCCCTGAGCTCTCGGCACTGAGTAAGCCCCAGCCCTCTGCTCCCCAGTGCCGACCCCAGGGCCTCTAATTCCTAATCCATAGGAATTAGAGGCCCACCCGCTGCTATATTGCGTCTTTATGATCTGCTTTTTCTGTCTCCCTTTTTCTTAAGCTTCTTTTCTGTCCCCTCCCCCCTCTGCCCCCCCCGTTTTATCTTCAGCACCTGGAATAGTGCTTGACACACAGGAAGTGCTCCATACACGGTCATGGGACTAACTGAATGAATGAGTGACCTCAAGGATGCCCAATGCCCTCAGAGGATCCCGGGGACAGTGCCTGGTCACTGTTCCCTCCCTCTGCCCGAGAACAGGGAGGAGACTGGAGGATGCTTCCTTCGTCTGTTTTAGGAACCTCTTGGCACAGAGCCTGGGGTGAGTGCAGACGATCTCCCTGAGCATGCAAGTTCCCTTTTCTTCCCCCAACTTCTGAAGCCCCCGGAGCTGGAGCCCGCTGGGGTAGAGGTAGAGAGGGGGCCCGGAAGGGTGTCTCACCTGGCATTTTCCGGTGAATCTGATGGAACATTCTCCGGTACCAGTCTCTAGGGCTGTCAACACTCTGGGGTCAGAAAAGGCAATGTCAGGCCACCCTCCTAGCAACTGATCAGCCAACCCCCTCCATCTCTTAGGCGAGCAGACGTGCCCCAACAGCTCCTCCAACGCCAACCAAAACACCCCCCTCCGATCCCAGGCCTCCTTCCGGCTCTGGAGCCCTCTGCTGTCATTTTTCCTTCCTGGGCCCTTTTCCTGTGAGCCCAGTTGAGCAGGAGGGGGGGCGGGGCAAGGGGGAGATTGTCTTTACTGGCAATGACCTCCTGTAGGGTAATCCATAGGAATTAGAGGCCCAAAGCATGAAAATTCATGCAACAGTAGGCCTTCCTTCCCCCAGCTGCCAGCACCGGCTTCCCTCTGGCACCCGGGACCTGGGCTGGCTTCCCTTTGGCCCCAGCTTCATCAGGAAGGATGTCCGGAAGACGTCCAGTCTAATTAGCATATTCCCCTTTCATTATTATAGATAAGATATAGAAAGAATCTCCATCAGTAATGACCCCGACGCTGTGAGATTTGGGGCGGTTCACATTTTTTTACTTTTCCATATTTCTTTCTTTCTTTTTTTTTTTTTTTTTTTTAATATATTTTATTGATTTTTTACAGAGGAAGAGAGAGGAATAGAGAGTTAGAAACATCGATGAGAGAGAATCATCGATCAGCTGCCTCTTGCACACCCCCTACTGGGGATGTGCCCGCAACCAAGGTACATGCCCTTGACCGGAATCGAACCTGGGACCTTTCAGTCCGCAGGCTGACGCTCTATCCACTGAGCCAAACCGGTTTCGGCTCACTTTTCCATATTTCTGATGTTTCTACAAAGAGCACGTGCTTCTCTGAGATGAAACATGAATGCATTGAGGTAGGTAGAACTGTTATTTCCCACCCCCTGCCGTACCCGAGGCTCCAGACAGCCCTGGAAGGCAGAAAGGCATGGTACTGACCTCAGGTTCGGATGGGGAGATGGGGAACTGAACCAAAGGCAGGTGGCTGGCTCAGACAGGCAGGGGCGGGGGTGAGGCAAGAGCCACTGGGAGTCTGGAGCCTGGCTCCATCCATGCTCACCTCTCAGGACTCTGTGCTCACTCAGGCAGCCCTCAGCAACCATGTTATGAGCTGGGACTAGACTCTAAGAGGGGCCCCTGCCACGACTGAGTGGCCCTCTGAGAGCCAGGGGAATTCTCTTACCCCACAAGCCACTGGGCAACTCAGACACATGACGGCCTGTGGTTTTATGGGGCTCACGACCCCTGAAGCCCATCCTGATTGAACCCCTGCTTTAGCCTGAAACGTTTGTGGTACGGCCTTAATTGCCCCAACTTGAATTCACAGAAGTGCTCAGCATGGGTCCCCAGCTCTAGACTCACCGATCGGGGGGCGATGGGCATGCCGCTCTCATCCACGGGCCCGATGCCCTCGTATTTGACCCAGCGCTTATCCCGGCGTTTGCTGTCCTTGGTCCACGTGGCTGACCAGTTCTGGGGGTGCTGGGAGGCGGGGGCCTTCTGGGTCCCTGCGGGCCGGCCCCCAGGGCCTGGCCAGGTCTGATACCAAGCAGGATCTGCAGGGTGGGCACGAGAGCGTTAGCAACGGGCAGGGGCCGCCTGACCTCGTCCGTCCCTCGGTTCTTCGGAATACTGATCCCGTGGGTCTAAGCATCCCAACATCTCCCTGCCTGTGGGAGCTGGGGAGGCAGACTATCCTCTCCGCAGGACCACGGGCCTCTGTGCGTTTAGGTTTCAGTTAAAGTGAGTAAAAATGGATTTTGACGTGCGACACCCGTGCCCACCCCACTCTGCTTTCCTGGGGCTGTCCTCAGAGCTTCCGGAGTGAGGGCTGAGACCCATTACTTGCTGGGAATGCTGGGCCATCCCGGCTGGGAGGTACAGGCTGGGATGGAGAAGGTGCTGGGCTTGGCGGGGACAGACCTGACTGCAGACTCAAGATCTGCCCCCTGCTGGCTGGGTGATCATGGACACAACCATCAGCCTCCCTGAGCCTCAGTTTTCACTTCATGGGTCACCCTGGCAAGGATCCAGGGGGACCCAGAGGGGGTGGCCGTGCCCAGCACAGTGCCTGGCACACACAGAGAAGTTCTCGGTAAGATTCAGGAACTGTTCACCAGACGTGGCTGTCATGGCCTCAGCTTCCTCGGACCCTTCAGCCCCAGGCAGCAGCCTCCGAGCCTGAACCCTCTGAGGCCCAGCTCCTCCCGGGGAAGATGTCCACACTTTGCCAGAGATTGAATACGATGAGGCTTGTGAGGCATCCTTTCAGGGCTCAGCACGGCCAAGTGCTCAGCAATTATTTGCCAAAGGAATTAAACTCCTGGATGGAGTGCCTGCCCCACGGGAATGCGCAACCAAGGATGCCAGCTCCTCAGAAGAGCCCCAGGCTGGGCCCCGCACGGAGGATGCCCGGGGTCTCTCGGACCCTGTGGCCCAGGCTGCGGTGAGCTGACAGGCTCCCGGAGCTGCCTGCCCAGCCTCAGGGCCCTCGTGGGATTCAGCCCCTGCACCCTCCTGCGGCCACCTGTGCCCACATTCCTCGCCCCTTCCACCCCGGGTGAGCCACTCCCTGTCCTGCGGGAGGTCCTCCAGCCCAGGGCAGTGTCCCCTGCACACTTCCTTCCCTGTCCTGCCGGGAGGAAGGGGAAGGATGTGTCAGCCTGCTCTCCCACAGCTTTCACTCTCCTGGGCCAGCATGCTCACCCAGGGAGGGGCAGTTGTTAGAAGGGCAGTGAGAACGGCCCTGCCCTGCACCGGGCTCCGGGCTCCGGGACCAGGCTTCCCCGCACAGACCCACCTGGGTGCCGGGAGGCCTCTCTCCGGGTTGGGAAGTACCCATTGCACACAGTCCTGGGCGCAGGGTCATGGAACTGGAAGTTAAGGGTGTTGGAGCCACCGTTCCGGATCACGGGCACCTGTGGAGAGGGGACAGGAGCGGCATGGGAGGGTGGGAGGGACGGCTGCCAGGGCACAGCCAGACTCCACGGCGAGGCTCCGGGGCCAGCTTGGTCCTTTTGCGGGAAACCAGGGAGGCTCCCTGGAGCTACCCTCTGACCCCCTTCCCACTTCCCAGTCCCCTAACCCCCCTGCGCCCCACCTGTCCTGCCAGGTCCCCACCACGACGGGCCCAGCAAACCCTCTCCCTCGCTGTCTCACTCACCCGCGTCCCCCTGGAGAATGACCCTCCGTGGGCCCGGAGGTGGCCAGGGATGAAGTCGTCCAGGCTGAGCCCCGGGCGGCTGCAGGGTGGGGCCTGCATACTTGGGTCAAGGTCAGAGGGCTGTGGGTGTGCCAGCAGCTCCCCTGCGCGTCCTCTGCAGGGAAGGAGGGAGGAAGGGGAAGCCCTGCTAGACCAGCTGCCGTGCCCTCTGGGCCGGACCTCGGGTGGGGCTGGCCGGACAGCGGTGGGAGGGCGTCGGGCCAGCTGGGTGGGAGCTCCGGGACCCAGGAAACAGGCCGCTCTGGGCACCCGCCCGCAGGCTGCCAGTGCCGGCTCCCACAGGCACAATGGGCTGCTTGTTAGGCCGGGCAGGAGCTCTGGGTGGCAGTGGGGGAGGGGAGGCCGGGCGAGGAGGAGGGGAGGCTGGCCAGGAGCAGGCCTGCTGGACAAAGCCTCTGGCCGGCCCGCTGGCCAGCCCCTCTGGGGCTCTCACTACACAGGCGGCGCATCCCCCGAGGGAGGCAGGGGGACTGGCCGCTGGCGGAGGCGGCGGCCTGGGCAGCAGGACTTTCAGTTCCCTTCGTCTGCCCTGGGCCTGCCCTGGGCCCGTGTGCACATCTGCTCACCAGCGGGCACAGGGCTTCCTCCGGCCACAGCAAGGCCACCCGCCTACTGCCCAGCAGGGCCAAGGGGGAGCGCGTGGGGGCATTTCCAGGCAACAGGAGCCACTCCCCAGCGCTCATTCTCTCTCTCTCTCTCTCTCTCTCTCTCTCTCTCTCTCTCTCTCTCTCTCTCTCTCTTTCTCTCTCTCTCTCTCTCTCTCTCTCTCTCTCTCTCTCTCTCTCTCTCTCACACACACACACACACACACACACACACACACCACTTTCCCCTGCACCTCAGGCTGTTTTTCAACAGAGGGTCTTGGGACAACATGCTTGGCTGGCCAGCCGGGTTCTTTTCAACCCTCCCCTTCCCCCCTCCCCGGGCGGCAAATGTTAGCGCAGAGGAAGGGGCTTCAGGCATCCAGGAGACAGAGGGGACGGGGCTGTCCAACAGGGTTCTCCTGTCCGGAGACTGGGGTGCAGAGCCCGGTGGACAGGGCCAGAAGCTGAGCCACCATCACCACCTTCCAGGGCTGGACCCCCTCTGGTGTTTTTGTTCCTTTAGGCCTGTGTGTGCCTGAGGAGACTGGGGCTCACGGGAGGGAGGGAGGTGCTGGGTGCATGTGGTGGAAGGTAAGGGCAGCGCTGTGCGTGTGACTGTGGGGGTACCGCCGGGTGTGGGGCGTGTGAGCAGCCCCAGGGTGCGAGCACAGAGGGTGTCAGCTGTAGGCGGGGGTGCCCAGTTCCGAGGTGCGGTCCCATGAGCAGCACAGGAGTTATGGGGAGCAGAGCGGATGCAGGTACAAGAGGGGGTCTGCTCGCTCCTGTACCCGGTCCCTGCTCAGGCCACTGGGGGCGGAGCGTACAATCAAGGCTGGGGCACCTCCCGGTCACTGGTCTGAGTGGGGACTTCTGCTGACCCTTGAAAGATCTACTGGTGACATAGCTTGCCTGTGCCCGTCCCTGCCCGTGGGGGGAAGTGGAGAGCTGAGGCCAGAGGAGGGGCAGCCCACCAGCTGGATCCAATTAGGACTCCTACCAAAAACAAAACATGCAGACACACCCGGTTCCTGCAGCTCCCCCTCCTCTCCCCTCCCCCCATGGGGGAGGTTGAGGCAGAGAGAGGGGGAGATGGGGTCCGGGGCAGGCTGGTTCCTCTCCCAGCCCAGCTGACTGCTTGTGGCCAAGTTGCGAGATCAGCATCAGCAGTGCCTGCTGTCAGCTGACCCTGCCTCCTTCCCACCCTGCTCCCCCCGCCCCAGCCTCCATCTGCCCCACCCAGGGAGGTCCCCGCAGCGTGTTCTGGGCTTGCTGATCCTGGGAGGCGGGGAGGGGGGTCTACCTCTCCCTCTGGCGCAGCTCCAGGGACGGGCAGGGGAGGGTGTGGAGGGGCGGGCTGAGTGTGTGCTTGGCAGCCTGGTGAAGGGACACATTAAAGGGGGCTCCTCACAGGGAGAGGGCGGCATGGGGGAAACTGGCTTCACATCCAGCTGAGGGCAGAGGGCGCCAGGGCACCTGGAGGTCCCCCCAGAGTTCGGACAGCCCTCGCCCTCCGCAGCCAGGTCCAAAGGGCTAGGGGAGGAGAGGGGCTGGGATGTGCCCACCAGAGACAGTGCCCGGGCCTGGGGCTCCGTCCTAGGCGCCTGGCGGGTTTCTAGCTGCGAGTCCACGTGGACAGGACAGGCTTTCCCAGATCCCCCTTTCTGTGGACGGAGGGGACTAGTCTCACCTCTTTCCATCCCGGAGTTTGGGGCAGGTCCCCAGGGGAAGGGCTCTGTGCCTGCGCTCAGGGCGGGCTCCGGGCCGCCGCGGGCGCCCTGGCCACCCCCTCCCCTCCCCTCCCCTCCCCTCCCCGCACCTACCTTCCCCCGCGGGCAGGTGGCAGGTGGCGGGGCTTGCGGACGCCGCCGGGGAGGCCGGGGCATCGCAGCCGGACCCCGGGGACGGCGGGCGGGGAGCGGCCCGGACTGCGCTGTCCGCCCTCGTGACCGCGTCAGGCCGGCCCCGAGGAGGAAGCGGCTGGACGGGCCGGCGCGTGCGGGGAAGGACGGGGCGGGCGGCGCGCTGCCTCCTCCGTGCGGGCTGTGAGCGGACAGGGCGCCGGGGACCCGGGGGCCGGGGCGGGGGCCGGCGGGCCAGCGGCCTCCGTCGGGTCGCGGCGCGGACGCTGTGCCCGGGCGGAGCGGCGGGCCGGCCGCGGGGAGGCGCCGGGAGGGGCCGCCGGGGTCCCCGGGGAGCCCGCCTGGCTTCCCCGCTGCCGCCCGGCCCCCTCCGCAAGCTGGCGTCGGGGCGGGCGCGGGCGGGGGGGGGGGGGGCGCCACTCAGAGTTTCCAGCGGCGTTTCCAGCCGGCGGGCGGGCGGGGGAGCCGGGCGGGCGGGCGGGCGTGGGGAGCCGCGCGGCGGGCCGGGCCGGAGGAAGGGCGCAGCGATTACACGGCGGGTGCGGCCCGCGCTGCTGATACGGCGCCGACCGCACCGCGCTGGGGCCGGGCGGGCGGAGGCCCAGATAGGGCGGCCGCAGGCCCGGGGCCTCGTGGACCGAGGGGGAGGTTTGGGGCTGGTGTAAGCATGCGTCTGGGCGTGTGCAAACACACCCATGCACACACGCGCATGCATGCACACACACACCCGCACACATGCACACATACACGCGTGCGCTGCCCAGCGGGCGATGCTCACAGGTGCGAGCCCCGCGGGGGGTGGCCCAGGAGGAAACCCGCCCTCGGGAGCCCCCCCAGCCACGCCCCCAGAGAGGATGCGAGCGGCGCCGGGACGGGGTGACCAGGTCTCCGTGTTCCCACACACCGCGTTTGTTTTGATCTCGCTGCTTTTCCGCTGTTCCCGCTGCTCTGACGCGGCCCAGGAGTCCGCACCCATTGGCTCCCTGACTTCCCTGACCAACCCCTCTCTCTCCCGCCTCCAGCAGTGCCTGCTGTCATCCTCTCTCCCCCTCCCTCCCCTCTCCCCCTTCCCCCTTCTTCCCTCCCCCGTTCTCCTTCCTCCCTCCCCTCTTCCCTTTCTCCTCTCCCCTATTCCCTCTCCCCTCTTCCGTCTCCCCAGGCGCCAGTGTGCGCTCAGGGCCTGTGATAGGAAGTGAGGGTGCTCCCTGGCTCGGCTCAGGGACCCCAAGCCCCAAACCAAACAGCAAAGAGGCATTGGGCTATTTCAGATCTATTTTGAGAGTGATCAGTTCTAAATTAGGAAAATAAACATTCATTGCGTTCCTACTAGGGGTAAGATTGGTGTCCTGAGGCCACCGTGCACTCGAGCAGCGATTTTCAACCGGTGCACCACTATAAGTTTTAAAACATGCGACTGCTGACTGTTTAGTCAGGAGCACTGACCTCTTCCCTTAGGCTGTCAAATTTTAAAAATGAAAACAGCCCTCCGGAGTGACTGCCCTGTCTTGAACCATAAATATATAGGTCATATTATAGAATTGCATCTTATTGGTCACGTCGCATAAGGTTGCATCTGATTGGTTAATTCTTGGTACCAGACATCCTTATGTACAAGTATGGGCACCTGACTTTTTAAAAAATCACGTTGGAGTAAAAAATGGGTAGATAATTACTATTATTTTTTTTTATTTTGAAATCAGTAAAAATTATATCTATTCTTTATCTGATTGGGGGGGAAATGTGTTTTGATTGTGCTGCATGAGGCGAAAATCACTGCTCTAGTGTTTTCCAAGCACATCATTCAACTCAAAAGCTGAGAAGGGAAGGAATGGAGAAAAGACGAAACATTTTTTTAGAAAATGTCTACAATCGTTGATGCCCTTAAGTCGATCCTTTCTCAGTTCCGTTACTGGGCTATCCTGGTTGTGGTGAGCCAGCATGCAACAACATCACAGACCCACTGGGGAAGGAGGGCGGTTTCGGCTGAGGGGGTGGCAGCTGGCGAGCTCCCAGTGTTTGGGGGCTGCGCTGGCACACGGGGGGCCGTTAGGTGCACACATGGAGGCAGATGCAAGGTTTCCAAGGAAGAGCTTTTAAAGGATCACAGGGGTTCCTGTCTGCAGGGTTTGGGGTAGCTGCCTTTGTAAAGACACTGCACTGAGCAGGGAGCTGAAGGAGATCCCCACTCAGCCACCCCCCACCCCCCAAGACTCAGTGGCTGTCCTGGAAAGCTGCCGCCCCACTTGGAGAAAACAGCTGCCCAAAGAAGGGCCAGTGGCAGTGCCTGTTCCCTCCTGTGAAGCTCGGCACCCCCCCCCCCCACACCCCGCCACCATCCTCTCCCCTCCCCCCCGGGACAAGAGCTGCGCCCCTCTCCCTTGTCGCCAGTGTTGGTCCCCACCTGTCACGGTCCTCACGGCTAAGAGGGGCCACATCTCTTTCACGTTCTTCCTTGTTCTCCAAAGACGGTGGCGCCGAAGATCTTCCGGCTCCAGGAATCCTGGTCATGCCCCCCTCTCACCAGCAGCGAGCTTCTCTCAGTCTCTAAGGCTCTAACCTGGACTCCAAGATAAATATTTAATGTGGAGGGTGC